TTACTCTTAGGCTGAAATAAGAAAAGAATGAGTTTCAAGACGAGCTCTAAATCTCAAAGAAAATGGTGGGACTCAAAGCTTGGCACGGGTTCATTTACTCGTGTTCTTTGGCGAGACAGTTAATTTTTACCCGAGTGTCACCTCAGTAACTTGAGAGTGAGAATTGTAACTGGAAATTGAATAGAACCGAGCTTCCTTAGTTGGGAAAAAAGGAGCGGGAAGAAGTGTGGTATCCAGGGAGCTGGTGGTCGTGGCTTTGGCGCGTATGCATTAGGTATTTAACAACACTTAAATCTTTTTTCATAGGTGGCGCTTAAATTTGTAAAGAGGAGCTCCGTGCAAGAATTTAAAAAGGTTAGTGCAAGTTTATGTTTATGTAAGAGGGAATGTAAGTTGTAAGTTTATGTAAGAGGGAATGTGTGTTAGTATTTTGGTTTCTACTGCTAAACAACGTGGATCACAGAAATAACCATGACAATAACAACCTTATTGTGTAGTGTCTGGGGGAGAACTTCAGCGGCCATGAACGTCATCCGAGAGATAATTTGGGAACGGAGAAATTAAAATGATTCAAGACCTGAAATTACTTTGCATTCTGAGTTTGATATAAGCAGGTTGGGATTGATTGGAAATTTTGGAGCGGATAATCATGAATTGCAGTGAATAGGTTCATCGTTCGCCTGTTGTCTTGTATTCATAAAGATGTTTATTTGTTGCGCGAATTTCTCTTCCCTCAACCAATCAATTTATCTTGATCGGGAATCAAAACTTGGTCTCGACTGCGGACCGTCACGGATACCTTTGCATTCCTTAAAAATGCGATCGAAATATTGATTGGTCTCAAGAGTTTATGACAGTTTATAGACTCTTGTTTGTCTCTGATGGCGCTGCATCAAAATGTATCACAGCTGTTTTCTCCAGATAACCAATGGACTCCTGTTGTCATTTAGTTTTTAACTGAAACTTATTAAGAGTAGGTTTGAATTGTATTGAAACTTTTATCCTCTCTCCCCTCCCTTGTTACAGCTGAGAGGAAGAGAAATCCCGGCTGAGGCTTATCTGATGAGTCGAGTGCGTCACCCAAACGTCATCCAAATCTACCAACTCATCTTTACAGAAGAACATTACTGTTATGTTATGGAACGACCAGAATCCTGCAAAGACTTTTTTGACGTCATACAGGACCGTAACTCCGCAGGAAACCCATTGTCAGAAGATGAAGTGAGACGATACTTCACTCAGATCTTGGAAGCTAACATCACATGCGAAGAAAAAGGTGTTGTACACCGCGACCTCAAGCCTGAAAATATCTTGCTGGATTTGACAAATGATGAAGTGAAGTTGATTGACTTTGGGTTGGCATCTGAGATACAAGAAGAGCCTTTTGAAAGCTTTAGAGGTAAGAACTGTTCCATCAGAGAAATCTGTTTCGAGTGGTGTCAAATCCGCATGACGAAGATTAATCAGGCATCCAAACATCTACGATCTCAGAAAGAAGGCCAGCCCAGTTGACAGATCTTGTGGGAAAATGACCCTTTAGTCCTCGAACTTAGCCTCTTTATTTTTGCGTATCTTATTATTGCTGATATTCTTGGTCCTGATTTTGCGTCTTATGACATCATATATCGTTCCAATTAAATAACACTTAGCATCACGCCACGTGACGGCAAGAGAGTTTGTTTCCCCTTTATTCTTAAGTAAACCTATAAACTCTCTTCAGGCTTTTGGTATTAGATATCTTATTAGCTATCAAAAATTTTCTTTTAGGTACGAATCAATATATGCCCCCTGAATTCATGAAAACAAGTAAATATGACGGTTGCGAGGCAACTGTGTGGGCGATGGGAATCCTCTTGGTCGATATGTTGTCACCAGTTATTTCTGCATTTGAAAAACCACAACATTGCCTAAGCATGGAGCCCAGAATACCTCAACACTTTTCATCAGGTGTGTATTAGTTTGGTCACTTATACTCTCTGTGTTCAACCGTTCAGTATCATAACGAGCTCTTACTGGAATTAAAAGTACTCGGAAATTCTGGTATGATGGTCGGACATCTTCGCCCTCAATTATCGTCCTTAGAGATAATGCAGTGATTTTGAGGGCATTTCCCGTGAAAATCTGATTCAAATCAATAATTATCTGTTTTTTCTTTTTAAAACAGAGGTCAAGAATGTTGTATACATGTTGTTGAACCCCGAAGCAGATCAGCGACCAACTCTTAAACAAGTTCTCCAGCATCCCTGGTTCTCAATGGAAGTCTAAACTCCTCTCTGTATTAAGGACCTTGTTTCTTGATTTCAAAATGTCTTTCGAATTTTGTTTTATTATGACCGATTATTTATACTCAGAAAAGGGGCCTTGTTAAATTGTATGGTGTTACTGAGAGTCTCTTACAAAAGCCTTGAAATGTTTTGTAGTAAATTGGAATACTTGAGAAGTAAATTAGGACCGATAGGGTCTGGTAATGAACTACAGTTAACTAAAAAGTCTCTGAAAGGGACTCTGTGAGAAACAGGAAAATAGAGAGTCTTTAGAAAGAATATTATAGTGTACGGTGAAATGAAGAGTTTATAAATGAGTCCTAATGATGAACAGTAAAATAGACATCATAATTTTTTGTGAAAAGGACAGCCTATATATGGGTTCTTATAATACCTGGTAAGATGGAGTCCCTCAAAGGGACCTTATCATCATGGGTAAATAGAGAGTCTATACATGGGTCCTCTAAGATATACAGTAATCGAAGAGCGAAATAGATAGTCTACGAAAGAGTCCTTATTTAGAATAGCGAAATAGGGAATTTCTGGAGCCTCGAAATATCGAAAAATGGAGTCCTTAACGGGGCTCCTATGATATACATTAAGCGCGATTCTCTGACAAACAAGGCCTCACTCCGAAACAATATCTTCAATGTACATAAAGACTTTTTTCCTTACGTGATGCTGTAAATCTTAATTGAAGTGTAAATAAAATGTCAATTTGCAAAAAGGGTTTACAAAACGCTATGAACTTTGTTTCCAAATTATATAACACAGCTATATTATCCAACTTTAATTAGAGGTATTCCATATAAAAGGTCAGTCTATAAGGAGCCTAAATAGGCGTAATCAAAACGAACTTTCTCTAAGTACTAGTTTAGTTAAACGCTTTTTGACCGGCTGCAAAGAAAGCAACCGAACTGATGCAATCAAGGCATGTACAATGCATGTACTGCTCTTAACGAACATGACATCTCTAATCTTATTCATAGTGCTGTTGGTTTAAGATAAGAACAAGCAATCTTTATATCCTCCCCAAAACTTCTTAATAAGACAACCGAAAACAACCAAACTGATGCAGTCAATCATGATAAAGGAATGTACTGTTCTCGAAGAACACTACAAAACATCTCTAATTTTATGGTTGTTGGTTTAGGATAAGAACAAGCATATTTATATCCAGCTCAAAACCTCTTAATTTCATTCCTGACAATTATAGTTGCCATTATTAAGTGTGTTTCGCAGGAGCTTCAAAATTTAGTAATTTCAGTGTCTTCTTTCCGAGATGGCATTCTTTGAATATCCTTGGAGCTTCGAATTCTAGGAACCATTTCAAGTTTGGACGAGTTTGCACCCAAAATAGATCACTACAACTACATTACTTTTTCACAGCGCAGATGTAAATTTTCGCCAGAACAGAGATATCTCAGGTACCTATGGCGGCCACATGAAACGCGCATTCTTTGAAAAGAAGCTCTTCTATCGTTAATCGCGGTGGTGGAATGACGTTGACGCCCTTGTCATAAACTTCGAAACTTGTATTGATTTGTCAGTTGATTCGTTTAATTAATTCGTTTCTCCACCATAGTTGCCGACTTGACTTCGCCGTTTTTACGTCACAGCTATGTGGCATGATCGTTTCAGCAGTGCGCTAAATGGGGACACTTTTTGGCCGCTAAATCGTACTTTCAATGCGCAAAAAATGGTCAAGGAGACCTCGCTAGGCGCTAAAGGCCGACTATTTCAAATTTTAAATACAGTCATAAACCAGAAAACGCAAGAAAAAAATTCCGTGTCATAAGCTCTCAAAACGACATTCAGTTCAGTATTTATTCTTGCACCTCGTGGACTACGGCACCAAGTCTTCAGAGGCATGCTGTCAATGCTGAAGCTTTACTCACGGAAGACATTGCGGTGTACAACAGAGTCACACAGAGAAGAGGGCCACTCTTACAGAGTCTAGCCTAGGCACTTTTTGTTGGGTACCAACTTAGACTAACCACGCTGAAGATGCCACATAATTATTATGAAATCGGCACGAAAGTTTATCATATGAAGCTCAAGAATACAAGTGAGTTGCACGTAACTTCGCATGTCGTGCGATATAGCCTTAAAAAATCTTTCAGCACTTTACTGTCCTGTGTCACGACTTTGTTGATTATCCGCAACCTTGAAGATCTTCGTCAAGTAATAGGTTGCCAAAAATGCAACGTTATTGGAAATTAAATATCTTTATTCAAAAAGTTCGCTTCTGCTCGAGTTAATCTGCGTATTCTCTGATGTGAAAACAGGCCGTTTCCCTCGGGACCATACGTACGCTTTGCCGAGGTTAGCAAAAGTTCCGCAGATTCCATGCATAATGTTATGACCTGTTATGTTTTCCATCATTCAAAATAAACTTATTAGCTAAGAATCCTCTCGTTACACTTAATTCTAAAAAAAAAACAACTAAAATTCATGGTTTATCACGCGACAGAAGAATGGGAGCGAGGCCACGCAATTTCATTCTGATTGCACGTTCAGTTTTAGTGATTCAATGAAGAAAAAAAAATTTTCCTTCGCAATCAGATGCAGAACATGATGACGTGCGGCATCTCACGCGCACACGTTTAAAAGAAAATCACGAGTCTTAACAAAAACTCAGTTTAGCCTTTTGACCAATCACAGCGTTTTTATTATCGGAACTCTAAACTTGTTTTATAATCTTAATTTTGATTGGTTCATTCATTATTCCTTCTCCCTGTTGCTCAAGTAACAACCTACCGCTTTAAGACGATTCGCGACCGTAAGACCGGTATCTCCCTGTGAAGGATTTAAAGAACTTTCATCTTACTCTGGTAAGAATTTGATTTTATATGTCGAGTTTGAGATAACGATATCCGTTCACTCTGATATGAACTTGGAGATTCTTAAACATTAGTGCTACATGTCGTTTTGTTTGATTGAAAAGCGAATTACAAACGGGAACGTCGATAATTAGGCGGAGAACTCACGTCACGAAAACATTCTTGCAAATGAAAAAGCTCTGCGTCGAATTTGAACTAATAAAAATCTTTGTGATTCCTATAGTTTCCTTTATGATATTATGCTTCAATTGACTGACAAATGATACGTAGCAGATTGAATCATGATGTTAACATTTAATGAAATGAATGACGAATAAAAACCTCTTTTATTAGGGATATAAAGATTGCTCATGACAATTTTTTTTTATCTCCTGTTGATATGTTGTGCCAAAGAATATTGTATAACTATCTCGAACCTTATACCTTTGGACTCTGAGGAGGAAGTATGATCCATTGCCCAATGTACGCGGAGAGTATGAAGAGGCGACGTTTAATATTGAACTAGACGCATATTTGCGTTCTCTCGGGCTTTCTGTTGGAAAGAAACTTTGTTTTTTGTGCCTGCATTTGCCTAAGTTTTTTATGCAATTATTAGTTTATCCTGTAACTGTATTTTCTCTTGGTATGTCGGAGATGCAGGTTTCTTACATATGTATACAGAGAGCTGAAAACAGCATTTGTTATGTGAAAACCCTTTTCTGGGGTGTGTGGGGGGAGGTAGTGCCTCATATTATTGGCTGTTTTTTCAATACTTATCAGTAGACACTATGTCCATTTTTTTTTTTTTTAGTTTTGATGTGATTAAATTTTGTGTTGCAGGTTTAGTAGATGTAGTGGGGTGAGTCATTTGTCAAATTAGCTGTCTTCTTATGTTTTCTTTTTCTTGGTTAACAAAAGATTTCATGCTGCGATAGCTTTTAATTATAAACAGCCCTAAGTACTAGGGTGATGGCAATTGACCCACTCAAGAAAACCAATTGCTTATTTTTCTTATTACCTAAAGGAATTAAACAAGTCACCACCAAAGCTTATTAGCAGATGAACTATTAATTTTATGTGAAATATATCCTAGCATGTTTTGTACTTTTACCTTCCAATTTGTCTGTTTCCATTTGGAGTTAGGAAAGAGACTATAGAGCTACAGCACAACTAAGATTGAAGTTTATGGTTTCATTCACACTGTTTTGAGAAACCATCCTATTTTCAATATTCTCAATGTGTACTCCTCTCACTTCAAATACATTATTGTTATGTATACTCTGAAGAGAGGGGCATTGGGGCCTATTAGAAACTGCAAAACCATAGAAAAAGTCATCCAAAACTGAAAAATCTAAAAAAATTAAATCAGAATTGAAAATTGCATGCAAAACTGTCACAATTGATACATTTTCACATCCCAGTTATTAAAACCCTGATCGATGAAAAGTGGAGCATAGAGAGTAAACTACACTAATTTCATTATAGTACTTGTGAATGCTATGGACTTGGCATTTGTATCCTCTAGTATCTGCTTAAATTACAGGCTTTATCTGCAGACTCAGCAGCTGGTGATGGAGCCCAGTTAAATAAAGGAAATTTGCACAAAAGTCCTCTAAAGGATTGCAATTTTGCAGTCGCACAAAGCTATAGCTCTGGAAAGTTTCATCGAAAATCCCTAATCTAACATTTCCATTTGTGAACTAAGACCTGAAAGATTGGAGATTCTATTGGAATCTTGAATCAATCAGTCACATGTGGCACAAAAACTGAAAAACCATTCTAAAAATAGCCAAAACCACAAAACCAAAACTCCCAGTACCCCCTTTCTGAGAATAATCCACTTAACTATCAAGGGATGGTACATTGAGAAGAACACTTGTACCTTGAGGCTGCCCTTTACCATAGAAATCTCTAGTGTGAGAATTAATGTCTCGCTCTTTAAGGACTAAGGACATTGTTTTACCTCTTAGTTGTTGCTTTGTAATTTGTTGGTTTCAGTTTAATATATTTCTTTTACTTAACAGTTTTTGTATTTTTCACACAGGTAGATTTTAAAATGGATTGTAATGAGAGTGTGGCTGTTATATTTGGGGAGGTGGCTAGGATAAAAAAGGACTTGGAAAAAGGAATTGCTGAAGTTAGGCAAGTGAAAGCTAACTTGAAATCTACGGCCTCAGATTTGAAATCCCAGATTCGTGACAGTGTCAGTCGCCATATAGAGGCATTGAGAAATAGAGAAACATGGCTACTTCAACAGGTTGAGGTTGTACAGTGCATAAAAGATGGTGTTCTGCAAGAGCAGATCGCTGCATTTAACAAAGCTCTTGGAAGGATCCAGTCAGTTTATGCTTTGTTAGAACAGAACAGTGAGCTCCTTGATGCTGAAACCTTGGAAGATCTTGTGAAGGAAACTTTGCAAGATGTTAGTTGCCTGAACTTAAGTCCTGAGGAAACCAATGTAATGAGCTTTGTTGCTCATAATTTTGAGCTTCAAGAAGTCATACACAAATTTGGAGCACTGCTTTCTGATAGTCGTCTGGTGGAGGAGCAGATAACATTTAAAGAGTGGATCAGAGAGAATAATGGTAAAAGTTCCCAGCAAGATATCCTGGGAGCCCCGTCTTCAGAATTGAACATCCATGACTGGCTCAATCAGAATGCAGTGCTGGCCAGGAAAGCTCCAGAAAGTTCACTTTCTTTACCTCAGTATCCCTTGGAGTACTGGCTAAGCAAAGCCAAACCACAAGGCAAGCAAACAGAAAATGGAAGTAGTTTGCCAAGTGAAGACAAGGAAGATGTGGCTGTGGTAAATATTGAAGCAACAGAGGCACAAAGGTGGCATAAAGATTCATTGATGACAACTACACCCCCTGAAATGTCTTCAGGTTACTTTAAAATTGTAAGAATGTCTGAGTCAAGTCAGTGGCTCAGGAATTCTGAAGGAACAGGAGAACCTTCTTCCTGTGCCACTCGGGAAACATGTACGAAAACTGATTCTGTGCTGGATCTCGGAGAATGGTTGAAGGATGCATCTACCACAGAGTCTTGTAAAGATCATGAAAGTCATGCCATGACTTCAGTCTTCACTGGTATTGAGAATCTCAAAGCACATTTGGCTTCTCAGGCCAACCAACAATGGCTGCTTCCTGGTAGGGAGAGCATTTCTGAAGAAACAGGAGCAGAAGAGCTGATAAGTAGTGGTATGAAGTCCTACATTGACTCCCTTCCAGTTGAGAGCAACTGCTGGCTGTTACCTTCATCAACAAATAAAGACATTTGTGGCTGGCTGGCACGCACTTCCTATGACCAATGTAAGAAATGCCCAGTTATGTGTTCAAAAGGACTCTTTAAAGTCTTTGATGAGATTGCAAGTCCTCAGGATGGTTGGCTTATGTCACAAGAACTCTATTGAGCCCTGAAATTAATGAATAGTAAATGTTCCAAGTTTGACAATGAAAAAACATTATTCTATTCTCCAAACTTTGGCATTGATCTATGAACTCCAGTCCTATGGTCACTGTGCGGTATTTTATTTTATGATGTAGTTTATCAGGGGGTCACTCTAGCACTGAAAAAAGCTTTTTTACAGGATATAGGAGAGTAAGGGGCTAAAATTTTAACAGTTTGAATCAGTTTTTCTCAATTCTGATCTAAAACCAGTATTATCACCATATTATGATTCTTTTACTTGCTCTACATGTAGCAATACTTTGTCTATTTTGAGGTGTTATGTTCCCCAGAGGAACGTCTCCCTTCCGTCAGGTTTACTTAACAAACAGGGAATCCATGTCAACACATAATATTACTATAACGAAATGAGCAAATTAGCTTTGCTTTCAAGACACAGGTTTCTGTTACCCAGTTTGGCATGGAATTGCATTAAGGTGGAGATTAAATGTTAAAAAAATTAAGCTTGTGTTCTAGATGTGATGAACTCTGTTCATTCTAAACAGTAATTAAGGGGTGCTTTAAGACGGGATATTTAATTGATTAGATTTCATTACAATTTGAACACAATTATGTTTAAACATTTGTTTGAGCAGTATTTTAATAGGAGATTCAGACTAGTGTAATTGAATCTTTGTTTTAAAAGATGTCATGTAACATTTTTGAATTCCCAGGGTACTGTTAATTATCCATTGTAAGTTGTATCTAAGAATGACGTGATAAGCTGTCTTAGTGATTTGAATTTAGTTTCTAAATGAATGCATATACTCCAATTTTATTGGAAGTTTTGTGCAACGAAAATCAGAGATTTTAAAATTATATATAGAGCGAGATTTGCAGCAAAGTTGCAAGGTTTGGAAGTGTAAGAGGACTTGTTAGATGTATGGTGTTCATGCATGCTTGTAGAAGAATGTGGATGAGTTTCACCAATGTATCGTTGACTTATAATGTAGTTTCTTATACGAACCAGCCTTTACCAGGCAACTTACATGTATAGTTTTCTGAAAGTTAGTCTGCCATGGTAACAAGCATGTCAGTGAGAATTCTGGCTCTATCTAGTGAATAACCTAGTGGAGCCTTAGATATTTTGTGCCCTGTTTGATACTTTGAGTTTATATTGGGGCGGTGTTGTAAAAAGAAAAGCATAGTTTGTTCAGTAAAAGAGCCAAGAACTCTCACTATTGGGCAAATTCAATTGTTAGTCATCAAATTCTCTTCTTTGTGGGTAGTTTGGTCATTGTTCAGTATGTGGTAGTCTTGCTCAACTATGGTTTTGCTTCACCCGTCGTTCTTCTGTTACCACCTCAGCATTCGGCTGACATTCTGGTCATTGACTGGTCATTAATCGACACTATAGATAGCGTCCAAGAACAGTATGCTCACTTCAGTGACCTAATTCACATAGGGTTAGATTCTATCCTTCCCAAAAAGCGAGTTAAGTTCCACCGAAACGACGCACCATGGATTTCACCCAAACTCAAGGCACTTATAGCACACCGTCAAAGAGCATATTACCAAGACAACAAACCATTGTTCCACTACTACCGGAACAAAGTAAACAGGGAACGGAAGCTCTGCAAACGCTCTTATTACAACACTAAAGTCAGCGTTTTGACCGAAAACAATCCTAAAATGTGGTGGTCCGAATGTAGGCGGTTATGTGGAATGAACAAAACATCTACAAGTGTTGCAAATCAGCTCCTAGCAAGTAAACCAGCTACCTCAATCAACCTTAAGATCTTGGCTAATGAAATCAACACAGCTCTGCTAGAACCTCAAGCTTCGTTTGACCCACTTTTAGATAATATCGAAACTGTGAGCACTGAGGGTTTTTTTTTACTTTTTAACTCAGTTAAAGCGAGCTAAGGTACCATCACCAGAATTAGTGAATTTTTATGTTGCTTGCATTCAATCCGTCTTACTTTATGGATGTCAGGTCTACCATTATAGTCTCCCCGATTATTTGAGCTTAAGTTTAGAGCGTGTCCAAAAGAGAGCCTTGAAAATTATATACGGTTATGATAATCATTATAGAGAAGTGCTTCAGATGGCAGAGCTGAAAACCCTAAGGGATCGGAGGGAAGACCTTTGCTTAAAATTCTTTAACAACATCGTCTCCAATCCCTTGGATTGTTTGTACCACTTACTGCCTTTCGACAACCGAGATCAACTTATGGAGTTACGACGACGCAGACCATTTAGAGTTTCCTTTAAAACAAATCGGTTCAGAGATACTTTCATTCCAGCAAGCGCAAGACATTTTAATTGACATCTATTACAATTGTATATGGGCCCATATGTAAATTAGTTCCCTTTTAGGTTTGATTTTATTGTATAGTTCTATTATATAATTTGTACACCTTTGTAATTCAGCTTCCAGCTGCTATTAAGGTATTCTTAATAAACGTCTATCTATCTATCTAAACATTCATACTCAAAAGTAACTTTTTATTTTCATTGTTTCCCAAAATTTATGACCAAATTTAACTAAATCGTGCACACTGATTAGTCAAAAATCTCTTGTTAGTGTGCCGGTAAACCCATGTAAAACTCAAACTTCTTCCTATCCCAAGAAATTTAGCCACATGAGACAAATTCCCATATTTTAATTGTAGGCCTTTGGTTTGGAGGATACGAAGAGGATATTCTGTATGCTAATAACAATGAGAAATATTTTATCTACCTACACTTAAACATTTGCCAGTGAAGTGCAGTTAAACTAACTGGCTGTATTGTTTAAAAAAGCATTTGTGGTCTGAACACTATCCCAAACATTTTGTGATCTCAAAAATGAAAAACAGCTTTAACACTTCTGATGCTTCCAGTTAACCAAATGAACCTTTGACTGCATCGGCCAAAACAAGAACTTTCGTGTGGATCTAAGGCGAGTGCAGTAGACAACTAAACACTTCCACTTCTGGAAGTTAGACATGGAAACTCAACATAATAGCTTGAAGACAAATAACTTTGGACTTTGAATTCAAATCCTAATTTTAATTAGCATTCAGTTGAAACTAAATGCTAAATAACCACTAACTAAATATGTCATAACATTACATCAACATTAATAATAATTAATCATTCACCAAAGTGGAGGTGACTAGTGATAGGTATCCACCACTTTCACTGATTTACAGTAATAATTAAAGGGATGGATTCTTTGGGGGTGTATAACAAGATAATTTGGTTTTATCAACTGAGTTGATATTGTAAATTAGCCACTATGAAGCATTTCAAGGCTGAGGTTTCAAGCATTAGCTCTTTGTCAGAGCAAATGATGGAGCCTAATGTGTGAAACTTCAGCTTGGAAATGCTTTATGCTGGCCAATTTACATTATCAACTTGGGTGATAAAACCAAATTATCTTGTTACACTCTAATCAATTTATGTCATGTTGTCCAGATGAGCTCTTGCAAATTTTGTTTGTTGTATAATTTTTTGGGTTGGTTCTTGCAGGCCATCCCCCAATAAACTTATTTGCCAACAAGCTTTGCTTCTTGCGTGCTGTGTGCGTTTTGTGACATTTTGTGCTTCCGCAGGGCTTGCGGCTGTCTGTCCCTTTTTACACTTGATGATTTCCCAAGTTTTGGAGGTGAGTGCTTCCCTGGCTTTAGGAGAATTAATTCTGAAAGAATCACCCAAGAAAAGTTGAGATAGAAAATGATCTTTGAAGAAGAAATGTTTTAGGGAGACAAAATGTTCCAATAGTTCATGTGCTAGCCTCTGGGTAGAGAAGGTCTTGGTTTGAGACCTGGCCAGGTCAATCTCTGTGTGACTACCCCACCAAGGAACATAAATGATGATGATAATAATTGTAATAATAATAATTATAATTATAATGACAACAATAAACTTTATTTAAGTGTCATTAAACTTTCATTTGAGCTATATGGAACAAATGGTTAGGGGAGCCTGATAAAATGCTGGTGGTTAACCCAGTGATGAACTAGCATGTCATTCAAGGGAGCAACTGTAGTTCCAGTCACTTCACACCACACAAATAGGGATAAGCTGCGATAACTTTTAGTATAGCTCTGAACTGCTCAAAGAAGTTGTTAAGAGGTGGAAGCAAGAGGAGTACAAAACTGTTTTGCCAGAGATAAACTGCTAAATAACTAAACAAATTCAAATTGGATTTGGTGGCATCTGTATTTCAGCACATTCCAAACAGTTTTAAAATGGTTGGATTACACTTTGGTCAGTGTTCGACTTTCTTATGGGCCTGAAACTAGACAAACTAGGGAACCTTAGTGTAGAAAGTAAGGTGTACACTATATGTGTCATACATAAAAATTGATCTCAAGTCTTACCCAGATTGCTCTCGTCTGGCGCCTGCGTGTAATCTAGTGACGTCAGCGGATCTTCCATCCAAGATGTACCCTCAGATATTACTGGACTGTTAACAATTCTTCCTCTATCTTTTAAAATGAGTGGCCAGAAGATAACTGGCTGAAAGTTTAGTTATGAAAAATCATCTTTAATAGTTTTGCAATCGGCTTCTGCTTTTTCATGTCAAAAGTTGAAGATCAAAGGCAGATGTCTACCCGAAATGGCGTCTACATTGTTCAGGGTGAAATGTCTCTTGTGGTGGCGGCTTTACGAAGAAATGTTCGTGGCGGCTCCCACAGTCACCAGGTATGATTTATCGTAATTTCCTTGAGACGAAATTTACTATTTAAAACCAAATCGCCCTGAATGTAGACGGCGATTTGTTACTTAACTCGATGAACCCCCGTTACGTTACACTTTTTACAAATCTAAAATTTTATTTTGTTGAGGTTCTACATTGGGTTGGTTTAAATCCTTTTTAGATAAAATTTTCGCTTTTTTAATGTATTGTGCTTTTAATCATTGTAGTTGTTATAAATTTAGTCTTGTCTCGAAGGGTGCCTTGACATGAAAAATAGTCACCTAGTGAGGGATCAATTTAAGCCTGCTCTACTCATTCTTCCCTCTAACTACAGTGGAGGAAGGAGCTTTAAGGAAAACGTTTACAGAGTATCAAAGGAGTCTCTTACATGTATTTCTCTGTACACTTTTTTCATACCTTGGCAGCTCCAAGTGTGCTGTGGAGGCTTCTTTTTCTTATATACAAAGTTAACCCTTTAACTCCCAAGATCAAATTATTTATTCTCCTCTCAAGCTGCTACACATTTCCTTGTAAAGTAGAAATGAGAATTTGGTGTTAGATCAGGATAATAACTTCTACCTAATAAGTTTGAATATTCTCATTACCTATTTGCTGGATAATGTAAGGATATAATAGGGAGAAGTTTCATTTTGATCACTTCTGGGAGTTTGATGGTTAAAGAAACTGATGTGTACATGTATTTATTAGGACAATCTTTTTTTGTATGATGTACTTAGCTTACTGTGTTATAAATTTTTGCTTTAGATGCTATATTTTTTTTCATTCTCTTCCCACATATAATTACATGTTACTGTAGTTAAAGATCATAATAGACTCATTGAAAGGTTGCTTTGTGTTCACTAGATCTGATGTTAATCTTTTTGGTTCAAATACAGGATGAAGAACAAGATCCATTACTTCATGGATTTTCTCAACTTAAAGACCAGCTTGCGGCTATTTCTGGTAAGGATTTGTAGACTATAGACACATGGGCAAAGCCTGTTCCGGTATCAAACAAGTTTTAAAAGAGTTTCAAATTGATGTGTTTCCAGTGTGTGTAAGCCAGCCAGCTAAATTGCCTTTCAGTTGAAAAACTTTAGTTCACTGATTTAGTTCAAGAAACACATGTTAATCTTCCTGTGTAAAAATGTGTAAATTTAGCAAAGGTTTAGGAAAAATTTGTAAGGAACAGATACATGTAAATGCAAATGCTGGCAAGATCTGAAAGGAGAATTTAACAGTGAATTTGAGGTCATTAAGGGCTTTCTCCCATGCAACCTTTCAATTGAAGGGACAAAGAAAAGAGGTCATTCTTTTATCCCATTCAGAAAGTAAGGTGAATGGGGTGAAAGAAGTTATTTTTAATTAGAAGGGGTGCTTGTTTACTATAGTGGTGAAGGGAGCTGGATTCTCTTTAGAAGAAGGGGATCTACATGTTTAAGAGCATGGAAACTTTGTCAAGGGAATCTTGTGTACCTATAACATAAAGCTATTGATTATCATAAGATGGGAATGTTTCAAGGTTGTAGTGGTATCTTCCTGCGCAATTTGTTTCATGATGTTTGTATGCATGTTAAAATAGTAAAATGTTAAACTGTTTCAGCCCTATTTGGTATGTATGGATTAGGTTATGCCTTTACAAGTGAATTTAAATGAAACTACTATTTATGTTTATTTTTTAGTTATTTAAGTACATGTGTTGTGTCATATACAATTATTTGTGTAGTATTTCTTAAATGTCATTTGATTTGTATTTTTGTGTGCTTATCTTGTTGCAGATTTGAGTGAAGTAGATGTAAACACTTTCTTGGGCCCATTTCTTGAAGTCATTAGGTCCGAAGACACAACAGGACCTGTTACTGGTGTTGCGTTATCATCTGTGAACAAATTTCTGTCTTATGGACTTGTTGGTATGTTTACTTCCTTTTATTACTCAGCCTCAAGCATTGTGTTTTGGCTGGGACTAAAAGATTTGCAGATTTCAGACTTGGGATAGATAGCTTGCAAAGAAGATACTCTCTATTAACCCTGGGCAAGTGGATTTTAACTTACAGTGTATACTGACCTAAAAGTTTTCTGGAAATTAAAGTGATAGTAAGAAAATTCGCAAGAGCCAAAAGCTTTTCTTTTAAGGTGATTGGATGGAAAGAGATTTGCTCATAAATAAAGACACTCTAAAGCCTTATTTAATGAGAGTATCCCTTAACTGTGGCCTTCGATCCTAACAACGGTGGTAGTAATAAACTTGTACAATGGGTTTAGTAATAAACCTCTGTAGAAACACTCTTTACAGGTCTAATTAAAAATGGACAAGATGAGCCTAAGGAGAAACTTATTCAACCAGGTTTATTTTAGGAGAGTATTGTGTTGCAGATCCAGCCAGTGAAAGTGCAGCATCTGGTATTGAGAATCTGGCTGATGCTGTTACTCATGCTAGATTTGTAGGCACAGACCCTAGCAGTGATGAAGTAGTACTCATGAAGATTCTTCAGGTAAGATAATTTTGCTTTGATGAAGAATCTATTTAGATTTCGGATTATAGTATTGTCCTTTTGTGATGACTTTTTGGCTACAGTGATTATGATGTGACTGGTGGTCTGGGTGATACAGTGCACCTTCAGGGTCTAATTCCTTTTCCAGTTTTTCTCTTACCATTTATTAAAAATGGTCTAATTAGCTATTTTAACAGGTTGAGGCCCAAAACCTTCAGGTAAAACTGAACATCTACTTCCCTGTGGCCTTAGTTATTGTAGAGTCTCTGGATATGAACTGAATATACCTCTTAAACAGAAGGCAAAATGTGCCGAATTGAAATCCAGGACCGAAAGTCAGGGAGCCTGTTATTTTCATGATGTATTTTTCATGATAAATTTAAGTTTACTCAAACATAAAGAAAAAACCCTCACAGTGTATTTTAAAAATCAATCAATATTCTACTACAAAAGTATTATAAATGATGTTTGTTAGGTGCTCAGGACACTGCTGCTAACACCTGTTGGTGCACACATGACAAATGAGTCAGTCTGTGAGATCATGCAGTCCTGCTTCAGGATTTGTTTTGAAACAAGACTCAGTGGTAAGTAAGAAAATTTGGTTTAATCAACTGAGTTGATAATGTCAATTGGCCACTGCAAAGAGTTTCTAGGCTAAAATTTCTGATGAAGGGCTAGAGTTTGAAACTCTAGCTTAGAAACTCTAAGGGTGGCTGATTTATATTATCAACCCAGTTGATGAAACCAAATAACATCTTGTTACACCTCCTACTGAAGCAGTACCACAGTATCTTTACAAACACACCCCCTTTAGTTATTGGTAAGTACTTTACAATAAGTATGCTTGTAAAGAAATATGCTTGGTCTACCCATTAAGATTGTGAACTTATGGTCTTTACCACATATGCTTTAAATCTGGGGTAAGGATTGGAAAATCCTTTTGTTTGTATTTAAACTCATTTTTTAAATAAGCTCCACTCTCTATGGAATAGTAAACATACATACATACATGGTACATACTGGTCAACTATCTAAATATATGTAGCTTCCAGTGAGAAACACTCAAAAGCTGGTTTTCAGGTATTATGAATGATAAATTTGCTTTAAAAAATATAGTATAGATAAGGTTAATAACTTGAATATAAACAAAACATGTAAAATCAAGTTTATGCACTTAATTTTAACCAAAATTAATACAGGTGTATTTGTTTTTCATTATTAAGAACTGCTTCGACGTTCTGCTGAACAGACCTTGATGGACATGGTACAGCTTCTATTTTCAAGGTAAGCTTGTATCCTGAATTGTGCCTTTATTTTTCCTTGTTACTGTGCCAGTATACTCTCAAGATCCAATTTACTGAGGAAGTCAAAATGTTTGACCCTGTTGAAGTTTAATTAAATACAGTCAAAGGTATTCATGGGGACAGCAGAAAGTGTCATTTTCACCTCCTTGATTATGATCTCAAACAGATATGATTGGTTAAAGCATGCTAGAAGTTGTGGGGCATCATAAGCATTATATTGATATCCATGATTTCAGTGATATTGTAAGGAGAAATTAGATGCTACATGTCTCTTTCAGGGGTTACATTCTCAAGGCGGGAAAATTTTAATATTATTACTTACTACAAAGGAGAGATGTAAACCATTGAAACTAACATCAGCATACATATGATTTAGCTCACATTTCTTTGATTTTGAATTCCTTAGACTCCCTCAATTTAAAGAAGAGCTAAAGTCAGGGATGATCCCTAATATAAGAAAGGTGAGCCCAAGTCAATTTGACACATTGATTTTAAATTAGTTGTTTAGGTAAAGTTTAAAATTTTTCGCCAAAGAAAAAAAGAATTGTGGTGGATATTTCTAGGTGATATAAATATTCACCTTTGCACCAACAATGAGATGAATAACTGTTACTAAATAAAAGCAGCAGGCCTGCTTAATCAAACTGATGCTTGCCCATAGTGACTATTTTGTTTTATACAATTCGCAAAGCTTACAGTTTTAATAGCATAGTGAGAGAGGGCATTTGACTCATCTTTTACTGGTTGAGAAAAGTAAGTTTTTTGACATGATGTAAATAAATTTCTGAACTAGAAATGAATTTTGAATTAGTCACCCATCCATTTCTATCTATTTATATCTATCTATCTATCTATCTATTTTAATTTATAGCTATTGTTTTAATAGGTGTTCAAAAGAGCTGGAGCCATCGCAACTGGAAAAAGGAAGAAGCATATGTCTCCTAAACCAAGACGAGGTCACTTTGAAGAGATGCCCCTTGCAACAACAATAACAACAACAGTAGCTACAACAACAATCACAACCCCCTCTGATCCACTGAAAGAGGATATCAAACCTGAAAATGTCTCTGAAACCGATCCAACTCTGCAAGAAAATTTCTTGCAAGAATCTTCTGAAATATCAGATTGTGTACCAGGACAACCTGTGTCTGATGGAGACACAGGCAAGCCTGCTGGAGATTGCACCAACATCACTGAACCTCTCAATGAAGAAGGGCCATCTATAGCATCACAGCTAATGAGCAGTGAAGTAGAAGGGGATGGTCTGAGCATGGAAGGAATTGTTATGTCTGAAGATGAGCGAGAGGTTGCATGTGAAAAGTCAGCAGAAGAGGTAAATGTGGTGGCCCTTTTTACATACAAACTGTAGCGATAGGCACAGGGCCATTTATATTCAAGAGATAAACTGATTGCAGAAATACATGTACAATTACAAATCACAAACTTCTTTTAAGAAGAAAGGATCAATATGATTAACAACGATTATTTGGTCTAGTATTTAAAAAGCATCCAGTCACTCAATGTGTAATACTGTTATCATGTAAAATTCAACTTGGCTTATCACAATTGTGATGCACAATGAAGACCATTTAAGAACACTATAAATAAATATTTCAATTGATCTGAATGCTAATTATGAGGGAATCAAACTTTACTTGCATGACTGTCCAGAACTACTGGAGAAACAAGATTGCCATTGTTTATGAAAAGGCTAATATGATTCAGAAATAAAAACTACATGAGTGCAAATATAATTCTACTGTTGCAAGATCAGATTGAAATGTTAGTTGAAATTAATCAAAGTTAACAGGAATCCAATGCCAAAATTTACACAAACCTTGCTTTACTGGTGCCATCATGAATTAGGAAGACAGTTATTACATGTCTCAAGTTTAATGTCTTTGACACCTTGGGAGTTATTTTAAAAATTAATGAGTAGTCATTCTTCTGGCAACATTTTACAGTTATGATGATAATATAATTATGTTCATATTAATGTGTAAACTAGGTTGGCACAGACATTGTTGCTAGCTCCCTCATAACAGAGGATGATGATCAAGTGAAAGAAATAATGGGAAGTACTGCATCATTAGAAACAGTTGAGTCAGAGGACTTGTCAGAAGTAGCAGAGGGAAGCCAAACAGAAGCAATGCTGCAACAAGATGACTATGTTAACCCTCGTGGAGTGCGTTTTACCCCACAAGAACCTGTTAAAGAGGGTATGTAGTGACAGACCATGGTTAAAAATGTATTCTGATTTGGGGTTTGCTTTCATGAAACTCAACAATGGGTGACTTCAACAATGAGGTGGACATCTTGAATGGCAAGGTATTGGTGAGGGCAACCAAGAGAAAACTACTTGTAAAACAAAGGCGGCATAGTTTTGGAGTAATATTTATTTTTTTAAGCCTCATTTGAACATTACAGACTGATTTTTTTTGTGCTGTGAGAGAATTCTGTTATATTAATCTGTTGTACATATATATTTTTGGCAGTCTCATTACCTGTCATATACTGACTTCAGTATTTCATGGCAGGTGCCGGTCCTTTGGTTCCCTATGGTTTGCCTTGCATTCGAGAACTATTCAGATTTCTTATTTCTCTCATTAATCCCCATGACAGGTAGGTTTGAAATGTGAAAAAATAAGCTGTGATTAACAGGATGGAATGTCACTTTTGATGTTTCCTGAGTGTTCTTTACTTACAGTAAACAGTGTATCCAGAAAATCCAGTTGATATATATTACTCAGTTGAACATTATACACTTTTTTTTTAATTGATGTGATGTTGTAATGTCTTAATTTTTTATAATTATTAATGCCGTTTTTAAGGGTAAAGGTGACTAGGATTTTGGAATATTAGGAAAATTGTGTTTTTCTTTTTCGTGTATTGTAAGACCCAGCTGAAATTTTTCATTAGATACCTGAGGAAAAGAGGTCAAATGATACATGTTAAATGTGATTGTGATTATAATCATATGACAATTTTTATTCTTCTTTGCCTATTTTGTCTTATTGTCTCAAATTATTGAGTGAACTTGAATAATTTCCTCATTACCAGGCATAATTCTGAAGCCATGATTCACATGGGACTGTCTCTCTTAACTGTTGCTCTTGAATCTGGTTCCCATCACATTGGAACTTTTCCATCACTGATGAATTTTGTAAAGGATGACATGTGCAAGAATCTCTTCTGGGTATGTAGGGTTTAAAGTGTCTTTATAATGGTTACTTAGGGGCAGATGAGAACTGTTTTTAATGAAGGAAGTAATGGGCATAATTCCAATAAGCACAACTTAGTGCTGCAGTGATTAAATTAGAAAAAAATGGTTTACTTGATCCAAAAGGCATTTCTCAACTTAATCCATTTTTTTGTCTTTTTGTTTTTCATTTTTCTTTTAATGTTTCACCTGTTTTTTATGTTCAAGGAATACATATTTTTATGAACCAGTCATTCAGAATTTATGATTTTATGTAAATGATGGTTTTCCTATTTTGTTATTGAAACAAATGGCTCAATTTTATATTGATAACTGCCAACTGAAAAACTTTTTTGGAAAAAAAAATTGTTTGTCACTTTTCTGGAGATAAAAAGAACTGCTGATTACTCTTGTTTAACTACACACATTTCTTTGTTCAATATTTCGTGGATCTTGAAAAATCCAGCAATTCATTTGGTATTTTTTAATTGTTGAGGTGTTTAACAATTGATGGAAACTTTGATTTTTGGCTGGAAAGGTTAAATGACTATCAGTTTTGTAACAGCTACCTGCTTTATAGATAATAATTATTTGCTTTTAGCCAACCATAGAAAAATGGGGGAGTCATATGATAAACCTCTTTAGCTTGTATCTTTTGTTTTTGCCATATAGGTCATGTGACTACTCTAAAGAACTCTTTCTCTCAAATTTTTTCCTGTTCGCTTGCCTACATAATTGTCAAAGGACAAGTGGGGAATTTCCTTGAGATCTCCACAAGCTTAACAGTACTATTTCCCTTCTGCTGCTCAAAGATGAATAAATGCCTCTAAGCTAACCAGGAAAAGTGCACATAAAGCACTTTCCACTTGTGTTGTAGTTTCTAATATTGATTATTTCCCTGTTGCATGGTATTTCTTCAGCTTATCCAGTGTGATGTTCTTGGACTCTTTACCATGGCAATGAGAGTGTGTTTCCTGTTGTTTGAAGGGCTTCGCACTGAATTGAAATTCCAAATGGAGGTTTGTAATGTGATTAGAAATTTTCAGCTAAGCAATTAGGAAAGAAACAGCAAATGTTTAGCTCGATATTTATTTTCCAATCATGTATCCAATGTGGTCCTAATTGTTAGCCTTTATGTGCCCATGAATAATACTTCCTAACCTGATCCATGTGCAGTGAAACAAGAGAATCTTAGGTAATTAATGTGTCAATCAATTTGAAGCTTCAGCATCCTCCTTCTATTCAAATTCCCACCTCCTGAGGCCAGAATTGGGTTCAAATGCCCTACTTATGTGCTGGATTTGATGGCCAATTTTTTTAATAGGCAACATCAGTGACTGTGACTTTTTACTTGTTGACCAAGCTTTAAATGCTAGACCTTGTAGAATTTTTCTTCTAAGCCTTTTGCTGACAAAAGTGAACTTGATACCTTTAAACACCTAGACATTGATAGATATAACACTGTCTTGTATTCTGCTGGAAAGATATGTAAGGTTCAAACTCCCCTCCCCCTGGGTACAGACAACAGTCAATGCACATGGTTTGCCTGGAGGGCAATACCAAATGCAATACCATTGCAACACCTATTCATATAAATAAATCCATTTCATAAGCCACATCCAAACCTCAGTAGATTTCCCATATACAAAGAAATCAACACCACAAGTCTGATTTGTGACTAAAGCTAGAGGATCTAACATTGATGTTTTTTATCAACATATTCAGATGTTTTTCAAGAAGCTCATGGATATCTTGTCACTAGATCCCCAAAGTGTACCCTATGAGAAAAGAGAACTTACCCTTGATGCAGTCAATCAGGTGACATTGAGTTAGTTCTTTTACTAAAAATATGTTTTGATGCAGTTTTGTTAGAAGCATATGCATTCTTTAGGCGTAGTCAGGTGGACATAGTGCCATCAGCTACCAAGAATCCAAGGTGCTAAAGCAGTGAACTGTACAAATTAATAATATTTTAAATTTTATACAGGAGTTTCAACCTGGTAGTAAGTCTTCCTTGTAACATAAAAAGAGTTTACCCATTGCAGGAGGGAAATACCCTTGATTAAGATAGTACCTATAATTTGATGAAATAGTCACTCTAGTTTGATACAAATTACTCTGATGATTTTAAAAAGGCCGATGAACTTTTTTTTCAGAAGACAAGCTTGAAATCTTCTTTAACTACGTGTACATTGAATTGTTTTCCTTTTTCCAGTATAGAGGACAGTGGGTCTTGCTGTCCATTCACTGTCTGGCTAAATGTTTTGGTGAGACTTACGTGTAAATAAATAATAAATTGAAATTAAATATTTCTTTACAATCACGTATTTTCTGTCTCTAGCTTTTCAGGGTTCCAAATTTAGTCATGGAACTTTATTTGAACTACGACTGTGATGTGTACAGCACTAATGTATTTGAGGAACTCTGCAAACTTCTCTCCAAGGTATACTTTGCAATTTTAGTTTGTCACAGGTTTGAAGTGATGACTACTGCAAGAAACACCAACAAAGAAAATTCAACATTTTGATTTTCCGCCATAGTTATCAAAGGTGGAAGCGAAAGAAATGCAATCTACTGATTGCTCTGTAGTTTTGTTGATTGTGTAAGCAATTCTTTTCAATTATTAATTGTTACAGTGTACAGGTATGTTAGTCGACTCGTCAACGTAAGAAGAGGCCGTAAAAAAAGGAAAAGGCATGGGAAGAGTCTCTTTTCTCTGAATATTTTAAGTAGGATGTTCTTTCCAAAACGTGTTTCATTCAAATGCTCTTTTATTCTTTTTTAAAAAAGGAAAAACAAAGTATGTAAGTACTTTTGCTCTCCTTTTTCTCTTTTTCTTTTTCTTTCCAAAATGTGTTTTATGCAAATACACTGTTAGTCTAAAGGAAAACAAAGATTGTGCGTTCGTTTCCTCATTGACTTTGGTATCTATGCAACTTAGTTCTTTTCGTCATTCTTTCTGCAGAACGCCTTTCCCTCAGCTGGAAGCCTTTATAGTGTACATTTACTTTCTCTTGATGCTCTCCTTGCTGTGGTCCAGAACATTGAGGAACACTGTCACTCTGAGCTTTTAAACACAGTAGAAAATTCCACAGATGAAAATAACGCTGATAAATGTCCAAGCAAGACGACAGGTAACAGGATGTTGTAACTTATCTGTGTTGTGTTATATTTTAGGTGTCGTTCAAAAACTAGACTTGAGCCTCTCACAATATTACAAATAAAAGGAGCCATATTCACTTCAGAGTCTTGTATATCTGCTATTTGAAAAGAACACACGGATTATTCTGATAAGATTTCAGCTAAAGATAATACAACCGGGAATTATCTTTTTCCAAGGAATCTATTTACAATACTTTTAACTGATCATTGATTGGATGAGCGTTTATGACCAGTGGTTTGTAGAGTGGCTATTGTTAGCTGTTTAGTGCCTAGTATTAGCGTGTGAACTTCACCCGTATTCCAAAGAAGACAAAATTGGTAGTCACGTCTACACAGTTCCTTTTCAGTTTGTTAGGTGAAAGATAACCTTGACAAATCTACTTTACATGGAATTTTACCCTCTTGCTTTGCTAGGAGATGACGATTCAGGCATAGATGACAAATGTGATTCCTCCTCACTTATGTCTCCACCGTCGCCACCAACTTCTGGCTTTGCTATGGCCAAAAAAATGACCGTGGGTGTGGCATCACAAGAGCTGAGCACACAAGACAGTGCTGCAAAGAGCTGTGATCAGTCTGGTGATGACAAGTCTTTCAACTCATCTCTCGGTCTTCTACTCTCTTCCCACCTTCCAGCAGTTGAGACTCTGGCCAAGCTGAGACAGAGAAAGAAGGTAGAATTAAGTCACCAGACAACAAGTGAAGAAGCACTCCCCTTCATATAATTTAGAAATTCTCGTTACCCGTTTTGTTTGAAAAAGTCTGCGCTCAGTCTTGGATAGTGTTTGTCTGGAGAGTTATTGTTGAATCACTTTCAGAGAGATAACTGAGTTTTTTTTTTACATCATGCAACATACTCTGCTTCAAACTAATTGATGTGTTTTTTCTTAGATTCTTCAAGCTGGTACTGAGCAGTTCAACAACAAGCCTAAGAAAGGAATTGAATTTTTGCAAGAGCAAGGGCTGCTTTCATCTCCTCTTAATCATGAGGAAATGGCCAAATTTTTGCGTGAAAATCCACGTCTTGACAAGAAAACGATTGGCGATTACCTCGGTGACAAAAAGAACACGCGAGTTTTAGAAGCATTCGTGCGGTAAGTATACTAACTTGCAAACGACTTGACAATTATTGGTGACAGACGGAAGAACTTCCATTTTTAGATAGTATTATTGTATGGTAAAGTAGTCCTAAGGTAAATCCAAACATTCTGATTAGCTCTTACATGGTCCGTAGTTTGCCGTACTGACCTTTCTTCCACAGAAACAGGATATCGATGCATAATAAAAAAGACAACAATTTCAAATGGTTTGCTATTTCCATATACTCTTTGCATTGACGTAACATTCCTTGTCTAATCTCTCGTCAGGTCTTTCCATTTCCATGATTCAAGAGTGGATGAAGCTCTTCGTTCTTTCTTAGAAAGTTTTCGTCTTCCGGGTGAAAGTCCTGTCATTGAACACATTATAGAGTTCTTTTCTGAATTGTTCTATGTAAGTTGAAGGTTTTGTTATATATATTACATGGCCAACTACAAATAACGTACTGAACCCCCCTAAAAGTGCCTATTTCGAAACTCCTACTTTATTTCAAAGTATTAACTTGCAAACGCTCTCCTTAGAATTGGCTGGGCCCTTTTTTCTCCGTTCACATTGACGTTTTATGGTGGTGTGCTTCACTGGACACGTGAACCTGAAAGGATAAAGGCATTCAACAATGAATTAGTTTCCATATACTGTAGTGTTAGCCAGACACGTAAAGGAAATCGGAATTTTTTTTCATCGCAATTCAGAAACTATTTTTATCACTTTTTGTAGACGCATTTGTCTTAATAGCAACCAGAATCTGGTGTTTTACCTCTTAACTCGTACAGCCGATCTCTTATAAATCTAAAGTCAGTTAGATATTTGACCGTGTGATTACTCCACCTAGTGACAGTGGACTGTGTTTACAAACTGCATTGGTTTAGGAAGTCTCCCAATAAATCAATATATCAGTCGTGGTGTACTGATTGAGTGTGCGGCCTCTTGATAACTTATAGGAAGGTAATCCAGAGCCATATGCCAACAAGGATGCTGTATTTACACTCTGCTATGCTGTTATTATGTTGAATGTGGACCAGCACAATTCCAACATCAAACAACAGAAACCAATGACATGCGAGGTACACCACTAAACATTAACGAAAATTACTATACCTTAGACTTTCTATGTAAAATATAATTGGACGAGAGCATTTAATCGATATACAATAGCGTACGAAGTTTTCCTGATAAATGCAATATCTGTAGCAGATTTTGCATTTATCATGTCGAGTTCAAAATCTGCCTACTTTCCAAGCCCCCTCGTTTGTGTAGTGTTCTCAAACTTTAAAGTGAATGGTTTTATATTTTGTTACAGAACAACGTTGTATTTACTGCTTCTGTAGCGACTGTTCTAGTAAAGATTATATGTGATTTATTTCACATAGGAATTTAAGAAAAACTTGAGAAAGACAAATGGCACGGCGGATTTTAAAGCAAGTATGCTAGAGGAAGTGTATCATGCAATAAGGTAAAGACACTCCACCATACAATAGATTCATGATGAACACGTGGAACACCAGTGTGATGTGCTACTGTCAATGTCAATCACTAATGAAATAAGAGACAACTGAGTTGGGGCCGTTCAGCAGTAGAGCTGTAAGAAAATGTGTTTAATTACTTTGGAATGTGGGAAAAGGAGGGTTTATTCTTGTGTATTTTGTTATTTGTGGATATATCGTTGTATGTCTGTCTTTTTGTCTATGTGTTGGCGTGTATGCATGTATGGTCCGTAGACATCTCTGCATGTACAGATGAAGGCATCTATGCTTGCATGCGCATGTTCATTTATGAAAGAACAACGCGTGCTAGTTTATCAAAAGAATCATAAAAGCCAGTATTTAATTTTTTATTGTAACAAGGAATTTATTCATCCAAGTTGCTCAATGACGCTCCTCGACTCATATGGTGTGGTGGGGGTTGTTAGGTGAGCTTATGTCCGGAGAGTGCATACTTTTGAGCGCAATAAATCTTAGAATCTCGTGAACATACTTGATTCAAAACAAGACAACTCTAATTTTGTTTTCCCTCCTCTGCCATTTGAACAATTACAATACGATCCAAGAAAGGTTTATTTGGTCTATTTCTTAGATGATTCTTTTAAAATAAATCAGGAAATACTGTGGATGACTGCGTTAGCGTGTTGGGTAATGAATTATTAGCTTTCCTTAGCTCCATAGAATTTATGAGATCAGAGGCTTATATTGTTTCTTCTTCCTATAGAAATGAAGAGATTGTCATGCCTTCGGAGAGAAGTGGAAAGATAAGAGAGAATTATGATTGGAAGGTTAGAATAAAAACTAGCATGTTTGTTGTATGCTTACAGTCGTTTTTATCAAGACTGGTTGGTTCCGAATCACAAATTTGTTCCAACAAGAGAAGGATATTGGATAGCCGTGCGTTATATTTAAGGAATAGTGTACTTTACCCTAACACGAGGAGGGTTTCATGCAAACCCGAGACGCAGTCGAGGAAATTGAAATGTATAGGGAACAGTACGGAGAACATGGATACTGATGTTAGGAAGGAAAGGGTTGATCATGTGACCTTGAACTGCAAGCCTGGGCTTATTTAATGGAAGGAAAAGCTACACTTTTGAATTATCTATCATAAGCAGGTTTATTTGTGGGCGTTTCTTTCCTTTTTTTTTTGTGGGAAGGTCTTTGTTGAAGAGCTATTATTTCTCCTTTTCCACCCTTTATGTTTTAATTACGCGAAAAGGTTACTACGTTTCTTCAGCCATGGAACCTATAAATTCATTTGGTTTTGTACCAAACGAAATAGATAATCTGTTGACTCATTTTTTGTATGTACATATTTTGTCAAACAGGTTTTGTTGCGTCGCAGCAGTAGTCCTGAAGGGAAGTATATTAATGGCTTGGGAAGCAGCTTTGATAAAGACTTGTTCTTAATCATATGGGGTCCCACTGTGGCTGCTTTGTCATATGTTTACGATAACGGACTGGAAAAGAGTGTTGCACAGAAAGCTATCGTCGGATTTAGGTAAATGTTGGTTAACCATCATCCTATTTACAAAAATTGCCTCCAGCCTCTCTCAGACGCATTTCAACATACTGCTGTTTAGATAAAGGTGTCAGAAAAAACTGCACGCGACAATCTCGAAAAGTAATGTTGGATTCCGTTAATCAATGAACTTTAATGAGTGAAATGAATAGATGAAATCGTGACATTCGCAATGCCTCGTCCTTACAGCGATGTTTTCTCAGATTTCCCTGAAATCTTTGGTTAAAAGGAACCGTGACTTGAAGACTACACACATTACCTTTTGGGGTTGTGGCGCGCACTTATACGCTTTCGTCGACAACCTTTTTCGAAACAGCTGTATAACCCTTTGACCTGTAAGGGTGACTAGCATCTAGTTTCTCCTTACAATATCAACCCTGAATCAAACATTAAGGTCACAAGAATAAAGGAAATGATCACCAACTAAAGAACCTCTTGATTGTTGAACAAATTCTCCATATCAGAACCTTAGGAAATGTCTAGGGAGTAGTATGGAGAATATGCACACTGATGATAGGGAGTGAAGGGATGATCAGTCAAGCTGATACAGCGTATAATAGGAGTCAGTCTGACTTACAAGCTGAAGGATTAGTATCATGCATTGACCGGCACATTCGTATTAAACTTCCTGTTTGGCTGGACCGTCAAGGGTTTTTGACTGTTGGTTTTTATGAAGCGTGAAAGACAGAAGAAACTGAGAACCCCCCTGGAGCTAGTACGGGAACCAAACAAATCTGACTGACGCCGTGGGTCCGTTCCTCGAAAGTCTCGGTACTTACTTCGTGCTACTACTTAACAGCCATACTTATATCTACAGTAGCATCGTGGCAATACTTCTATTAGCACATGAACCAAATACTTGACGATTCTAAAACATTTTCAGTGATTGCCTCCTATTTTCTTTCAGAAAATGCGCCCTCATATCAGCTCATTACAGCTTGTCAGATGTGTTTGATAACCTGGTTATTTCACTGTGTAAATTTACATCACTACTTACCCCACCAGAGGTGCGAAGAAACGTATCTTCTCGTGTGCATTTATCTTTGGCGACAGAGAGTTTTAATAGAAATACTGTGGTAGAGATGTTCCTATTTTTTCATGTCGTATTATAATCCACTATTGATGCTTTCAGCCCTGGATTATCGGTGGACTTGATGCGAAGGAAGTCAATGTTTTACTTCATTTCTGAAAGGCGTGCTCGAAGGAAAACGTATATAGTTATATTACGACAGCGATGTAGATTTGATTAGTTTTATAATCTTTCTTAAAGGACAGTTTTCCAAAATTATTTGGTTGATTAAAAGTCTAAATTAAAGTTGATTACTCACACAATGATAGGTTAACATGTCCAGTGAAGTAAATCCATTTGCTGTTTGCTCGTTATGTTAACAGACTGGAGAGAGTCTATCAGTATCTTTTGGTAGAAATCTAAAGTCGCAGCAATCAGCAAGAACCTTGTTCGCTTTGGCCCATCGTCATGGGGATATTTTACGAGAAGGCTGGAAGAATATAATGGACTGTATGCTTCAGCTATTCAAAGCCAAGTTGTTGCCCAAATCTATGGTGGAGGTAACAAATATCACCTTAATAAAGCAGAAGAAATTGTGTTTTTTTTTTTCCGGCCACCTTTGTGTTATTTTTGATTTCGTTGTTGTGAGGCAACAGAACCCTCCAGCGGTGAATGTTGTAACACTTTACTTTACCGATGTTATTTTTAGGCGGAAGACTTTGTTGAAGCCAGCGGGAGAGTTAGTCTTTTACCAGAAGAACTGCCATATATAAGGTTTGTTATTTGAATGGATGATCAAACGAAATGGAAGTTATCTACTCAACAATATGCAATAATTTGGAAACATTTGGAATAAACCATCCTGTCACCAGCACAGAGCAAACTTTATTAAAAACGTTTTTACCGGTGATGTTGTCATTAAGTTGCCGCATGAATTGAGATTGGATATTGTGCACATGTGTATGCGTGCACATGTGTATGCGTGAGATTGAGGCAGTGGAAAATTGTCCCCAAGTGCAGGAGAAAATTTAACATTTTAGACTGCCTGAGGTTCTTGACTTTTGTTTAACTTGTGTTCTCAGGCCGGAAACATCTCTATTTTCGTGGTGGTTTGTGAACCCAGAGCCAGCAAGTTATAGAGGTCAGACCACAGAAGACAAAGAAGCACAAAAACAAGCACATACCTGCATCAGAGTAAGTTGAAACTGAGCGTGGTGCAAGTCGTGTGTGCGTACGAATGACGGATGAACCAAACCCTCGAAGTACACAAGTGAACATTTTATGAAAAACTTATACTATGAAAAGAAATGAATCGTTGATCTTCAAGCCGCAGGAAACGGTTGCTCATTAATACCGTACTGTACAAAAGTATTGAAAACAGTTATCGCCAAATATCGCGCTTCTCCTTCGAGATATCGCCTATATATCGCCGATTTAGCGCGCCTTTTTTTTTCAACGATGTCTTTCCAATGAAATATCACTACAACGATATTAGAGCGCGCGGCATATCGTCGCTTCAGCGAAATATAGCTACTGTGATTTAGCGCGCGGCATATCGTCGCTTCAGCGAAATATAGCTACTGCGATTTATGCGTCATTGCGATATATCGTTCAAGCGATATAACGCTATAGTGATTTATCATTTGGCGAGAAATGCATGTTTTACTTATCTTCTAAGCTGGCGTTTGAATTTTTACCCAGGATTGCCTACCAGAGCTCCTCATCACAGAGAGCAAGTTTTTGAGACCTGATTCCTTGAATGAGCTCATAAAGGTAATCTGAAATGTTGAATTTTTCAGCGTCTGTGAACTTAAATGATTAATGTTGTGTTTGGCGTTATTAAACCAGGATGAGGAATGTTACAAAAGGCCACGTTGTTCAAAGAATAACAAGAAAGACTCCAATATTTCAAATTTTTATTGACCTGCATATTGACACCTGGGTAAGCTGTTAGTGCTTTCGAGGCTGCTAGGGTCATACCCACATAAGTTACTACCAGGCTGAGTGGTTCAATTTCAGGGAAAATTACGATTCCTCATCCCCCGGATTGAGAAAAGGATAATGTATCCGTTCTGGTCGGTTTATAATTCTAAGAACACGGGGCGGAGTGTGATATTTGTCATGAGTGTGATACAAATGAAGAAGATTACTGTTAGTAGTCGTTGTGCCATTGCCACCGATGTAAGAAAAAATCAGCACCAGTTATGTACTTTATTCAAATCCCCGCCCTGAATTATTTTCAACATTCAGTTTTGAAAGTTGAACCTTCTTATTAACGAAGAAATTCAAGCAGCAGCCTCTGCAGTAAGAAAAGCGTATCAGCGCTATCCGACCTTTCAACAACCGCGGCCAAATGTTTTGAATCGATTATATTGTCAGGTGCTGATTTACAATTCAAGTATTGAGAACCAAGAATCTGTCCCTTACGATGAAGAGGCTGCGGTTTTTTTCCTGGAACTTCTAATAAGAGTTGTTTTGCAAAACAGGTAATGGTGCAGTTGTATTCTGGCTTTTTACCCTACTATATATGATTCCTTCATGTTTCGAGAGGAGTCTGGTAATGTGGTGTAATCCCATTTTTATTCCTCATTTACTGTTAACTAAGGATGTTTGTGCGCGAACAAGAACCTTCACCCCTGCACCTCTCTCCACCAGGAAGAGAAAATTGGTACAAACCGTCGGGAAAGTTGACGCCGGGGGGAGGGGTAGGGTAGGGGTTATCCATGCGATGGACTTGCATCGTGCTCAGGGGGTGAGGCAATATGCCTAGCCACTTCCTGCCACTGAAACCTGAATACTCTCTGACCTTCTACTTCGCAAGCTGGCGACACTTGACCTCTGTGTCTAGAGTCCCAACTACGGCAAAGACTAATAACCGTCATGCAATGTTTTTAAGTACACTGTTCTTATTACTTTTTCCTTCCACAAAAGTAGTTCACTCGCTGGTTTTTCCCACCATATGCCAGGTTAACTATTAGAAAAACGGAGGGGTTTCTCAATTTTTTTTCAATGACAACTTTTTTTGTCTTTTTTATTATTTCAAGGTTGGTGTACACTTTGTATAATTCATATCTAAATTTCTTGAAACCCGATTGGACGATTTTTACGGCTAAATTTTATTATTAGGTATTAAAGTTTACTGACATACCTTTTGTAATAAAAGCTTGTCTGAATCTTCCATAGTTTGTATAATTTCAGGGTAACAATATCTGATCTAAAGACTTGACTTTCTGATATGTATAATTTGGTTTACAGGGATCGTGTGTCAGCATTATGGGCCACAGTGAGGGATCATTTGTCAAACATTCTTGTCAATGCAACTCATCACAGGTAAGCAGTTAGATGGAAAGTGATGATATCAGTTTTATAGACATGTTTAAAGTGTATACCTTTCTTTCTTTCAGTTCAATTGTGGAGAGATCTGTTGTTGGCTTGCTAAGGCTGGCAATTCGTCTCTTGCATAAAGAAGAAGTATCCAGTCAAGTTCTTTTAACCCTTCGTATCTTATTGTTAATGAAGCATGATGTTCTGCAAGATTGTGGGAGGCAAATTTCTTTCGGACTTCACGAACTGATCCGGACTAACGCCTCTAGTATAACATGCTCTCGAGACTGGGTCACAGTTTTTGCTTTGCTGGAGTGTGTAGGTGCTGCTGCTTCACTACCAACTGTTACTTCAAGTAATGTGTCCATGTCCACGGCATCATCCGATGTGGGAAGTGATTTGACATCGAGAAATTACGAACTTGCGGACGGAATATCAAACTCAGAAAGTGAAGGCGGCTCATTTACAAGTATTGAAGCGGATTCAGGTTTGAGTGGAAGTGTTTTAGGAGACACGTGGTTGGTGATTACAAAACAGGACTCAGAAAGCTCTCCTGCGAACCAGTATGAATTAACAGTGGGTGCAAAATTAAACAAGCATGATAGTAAATCGTTTGTGAAATCGTGTCAGAGCTTGGCCTTTTTGATCCGCGACAACGCTCATGTCACAAAGGAAAATTACCTGCATTGCGTTCACGCTCTTCGCTTATTCTCAGAGGCTAGTCTAAATGGAGGAGCTGGATATCGCCAAGATGACTGGCAACTCAAAGAGAGTACAGCTGATTACAAAGGAAGTTGGGGGCGCTCTAGCAAAAAGACATCATCGTCATCTTCACGCTCAAAGAAAGTGAGTCCAACAGGTTTGAAGACACGTAAATCTACCAAGTCGGCCACCAGTAGTCCAGCCACGAGTGAGGATGAAGCTGAGATCGTGGAGACTATCAACAATACTTATGATGCCATGTCTCTCCAGCTCCTTGAGCTCATGTACACTCTTCACACTCATGGAAGAGGAATTTTTGATAAATTCCCAGGTATGGCTGATGGTAGCCCTGATGTACCAGTTCACGACCAGAGCTTGGACTTTCTGTGGACTAAGTGCTGGTGTCCCTTGCTGCAAGGAATTGCACGCCTTTGTTGTGATGTGCGCAGGGATGTGAGAATGTCTGCTCTTACTTATCTTCAGCGGGCGTTACTCGTTCAAGATCTTCAAAATCTATCTGCCATGGAATGGGAAGCATGTTTTAACAAGGTACTTAAAGTCACTTCTTCGAATCTTCCAAACAGTGGCGTTAACTTTTATATCCCAACAAAGTTGTCCTGAAGGGAAACGGGAACAATACGCTGCTCTTCTTGTAAAAGCAAGTTAAAGCACATTGTAATTCTCGGTTAGAAATAATTGTTTTACTTTTAATATGCCTGTGGAATTCGAGATAGAAAATTTCGGCGCCTTTATTTCATAAATATAACACGTTTCAAACTTTAAAGCTTTCATTGTCATCTTTGAGTTGAAACATTTATCAAGAAAGTTACCGGTAAACAAGTCGCCATTTTTCACAACTAACAGATAAAACTATTTTGGGTTGGGGCTACAGAGGCATATTTACAGTGAAAGATAATTTTGGTAGTTTGTTACTAGAAGTTAATGATTTATTCAGCCAATCCGTTGGCTTTCAGGTTTTGTTTCCCATGCTGTCTCAACTATTAGAAGTCAATAGCAATAGTGATCCAATGGGTGTCGAAGAAACGCGCATGAGAGCTGCTACTCTACTCTGCAAGGTATTTGACATCATTAACTAGTCGCTCTTCGCTCACTCTAAGAAAAAGAGAAAGATTTTAACTTATAGAAAACTCCTTTTGTACGATTTAAGTTTGACCGAAAATATAAGTACAAAGCGCCATAGGATTTATGATCTGTTCTCCTCTCCTCGAGTCCAATGCAAGGGACTAAACAAATAAGATAAAAACTCGCTTAGCAACAAGTGAGGTAGGAATATCTACGAGGAACCTGAACTGTGAAGACTTTGCAACATCCTTTGAAAAACGATGATGAGTTTATTTTATTTTTGATGCGTCTTCTTTTAACTTATTAGCTTACTGAACAGAGAATGGGCTGGAATTTTGTGGCGTGAAATATTCGAAGCTATGAAGATTTTCTAGCAAAAATCATCAGAGCATTAGCTGAATTCATGTTTTGGTTGATTTAATATGTTACAGGTGTTCCTACAGCATTTGACGCCTTTGTTGTCTTTATCCACTTTTACTGCACTGTGGTTGACAATCCTGGAATTTATGGATAAGTACATGCATGCAGATAAGAGCGATCTTCTGGTGAGTAAATATTATATTTTGTTTCTACTCGAGCATAAAGGGTATTAGAGGTGCAGAGTGCATGGGAATCACACTCATGGTGATTGTTTTTAAGACTTGGTTATCCCAGCGGAACGAGAGACCCAAACGTCGCTAACGTCTTCAGTTTCCAGTAATGGATTTTTGTCTCTAACATGACGCCCCCTTAGATACTTAGACGGTTACACCGACTACTTTTTCGTACAATAGAAGATGTGAGGTTGTTTCAACCTTACTTTCTTAGAGACATCCAGCTTATCAGTGATGTTTCCTCAACTATATCTTTAAACTGTTTCAGGAGAAATTATTTTTAGTTACAAGCAAATCTAGATTAAAGCGCTAATTGCGCTTACTAAAGCAATCTTTAAGAAGGAAAAATTATCGAACCCACTAGGAATATAAATTTTGAGGAAAACATTACCCTGGATTCCGTCTCCTTTGGTGTGCTCTTCAGAACAAATGCATGCTAAGGCTCTGCTTAAATGGAACTTCATCCGTTAGGCCCTTCCTCCATTCTTCGAGTCAATTAGCAACTGACATAAGACCAACCGAATTGGAAAAAAAACACAATTCCTTCGGGAGACGGAAAGTCGTTCAGTGGAATGTTGGTTGTTGAAAGTTCAATTTCCAGCGTAAGGCTTTGTCTCTCATACGTAAACTTTTAGTTGGTTTTTTAGCACCACAAACGGTTGAGAAGGAAAACACTGATCGCATTCCATTCGCTCTCACATTTCACCCTCACAACCAAGCAGTTAAATCTGTTATTCTTAAAAACTTACTTCAAAACGATTCAGAGATTGGTATTCCCACCAATAGCAGAGCTCGATTTTCTGCGTATAAACTCACACAACCCACAATTCCTCCAATCGCTCTGACTAAATGTCAACTCTGAAACTCTTTACGGTGGCCAATTTACGTTATCAACTCACTTGATAATATTAAATTAACTCACAAAGATGCCAAGGATGCTTTTCTAACCACTCCATTAGAAACAAGGGTCGGGTCAAATGAAAGTTGCGCGAAGGTGGCCATGCGCGATTTAGTAACCCGGTTTTTATCATAATTTGACTGTTTGAGCTGTGCCAGGCACATCGTACATGCACGTATAACCATTGTTTTAATTTCGCGTTGTAGTTTGAAGCCATTCCAGAATCTCTAAAGAATATGTTACTAGTGATGTCAACAGCAGGGATATTCGATGAAGAGGAATGTACATTAACAGCTGGTTCCCAAAGTGATAACCGCAAAACACCTGCCAGGCCAGAATCAGACATACATAAGTACTCTGCACTATGGCAGGTCACATGGGAACGGATTGACTGCTTCTTACCCAACCTCCGCCAGGAACTTTTTACACCTCGCAGTCAATTACCCGTTAGCAACATCCCTAAAGTGAAGCCTGAGCAGGAGAAAACAGTTTCGGAGGAAAGCAATCGCGCTATGGAGTTGCCTAGTAACGGTGAGAAATTATGTTGCTATGTAACAAATAGATTCCAAGTTGCCTTGCGTCTGTACAGTAATAGATCACAGATGACGTCAAAATGTTGTAAGAACAAAAAAGTGGCACACGAGGCGCAGCTGAGTGTCACTGATGTTCTTACCATGTTTTGACGTCCTCTGTGATCTATTACTGAACAGACGCACAGCAACTTGGAATCTATTTGTTTTATATAATTAAGAATTAAAAAAGTTTTAACGATGACGTCATCTATACGTCTGTCCTTCAATATATCATAAGTGGGAACCAATCAGAATGCGTGCATAACTGAGCATATTATATAATGTAATTTGGTTTGATTGGAAACTTTCTTCTCTTAAGTCGAACAGTTCTACAAAAATAATTACAACGGCCAATCAGAAGATGGGAAAGTAAGTTGAAAAGCCAATGAGAACCGAAAGGAAAAACAAGTAACCTGCCTAAACTGCAGGAAAACGCGGGCGATGAAGTCGTGATTGGTGTTAGTTTTGCATTTGATTGGTTGAGAGAGTGGTGCGAGTTTTCCGGACCAATCATAGAGTGGAGTAAACCAAAACCAATGCAGACCTGTTTTACTTTCCACTCTCAATGGAATATTGCTCTAAATACACTTAAATCATGATTACAATTCAATCGGTTGGTCCTCCACCCAATGGGTTATATACAACTAACGTACTGAACTTTGCTACTTTGTAACTGTGAATTAACCTCCGTTTGCATTCCGTGCTTCTTTATCTTTTCAGTTGATAAAATGGATAACCAAGACAATCCAGACGGTGAGCGAAGCTTGCCTTCCAACCAGAAAAGCAGCAACAGCAGCATCTCTTCTCCTCCCGGTGGTGGACAGCAGCAAGTTTGTGTGGTTTTACAGCCACCTCTACCTTCATTAACAAACCGGAGCACCTCTCCAACACACTTGGGCTCCTTAGCAGACAACGTACGCCCCAGTTCAGTGCCCATTATTCTGGCTCCCAGTCCAGCACTTTCACCAGCAGCCCTTTCCTCGCCTCAAGGGTCTCGATCCCCGACACCTACGGATCCAGGCCCTAAGCAGCTAGAAATGTCAGAGGAAGTTCCAAGGGAAGATTTGAAGGCTGACCAATCAAATGGCGAGTCAGGAAAATCTGATGCACCTTCACCAGAGAGAATGAAAGCTTCGATATATGACATCTAGGTTTACTTAGTACGGTTTTGAGGACTACTGTGTGTTCCAATCGCCTATAATTTTATTGTAAATTATTTACTGTACCGGTTAATTGAAAACGGAGGTTAGAGTTATCTTAAATGTTTAGAATCGGATTCTACCAGTCAGAACATGTAATACGCATCCCTCCACGTTGTAACAGCCACTGATCAGAGAATTTGTGAACTGGTGACAACTTTATTGGCAAAGGATTCAAATCGTTCCATAACGGGTCAAAGGTCGCTTAGTCGTGGAATGACAATGACTTAACCCTTTTTTCTCCCATAAGTGACTCAAGTAGAATTTCTTCTTACAATATCAACACAATATCAAGCAGACAAGTGATGAAATGAATGAAAATAAAGAAAAATATCACTTAAGGGATTATTAGTTAATCCAGTACTGAATTCTCTGAACTATCATCATTAGAATTGTATGGCAGACAGAAAGTGAAAGGGCTAAAAGCGTGTAGGGCTAAAAGCGTGGAGGGCTATTGAAGAGACCATCTAGTTAAATCCTTCATGCATAATTTGATCAAAATTTTTCTTTATTTCCCTCACTCGCACTTATACAGTCGGTTACGAGTCAGGACGTGTGGAATTGCTGACCAGCTGCGAGTGGTACTAAAAGCCCCCATCATTTCAATTCTAACAACGAAAACAAAATTCACCTATTTCTCGGCAACATCCACCTACCAAGAGCCAACAGTTTTCCCAGCTTGAAAAATAATTGAAAATATGAGATATCTGTTGTGAGGGTGCGATGTTTTACGCTAGTTTTAGGGACGATTGTTTGCCAATAGGTTTTGTAATAACTTTGGAAAGGTGACCTTCAGCATGAGTAATGAGGCGAAAAATTAATTGTTTGCCTCGATTCCTCGGTTGACATATCTGTTAGATCCTATTTGAGGTTACATCTCAGCGACACTCCTTGAAATCAAGCAAGACTCCCAAAATTGATTCTGTTCGTAATCAATTATAGAAGTTATGATGTGCTAAAGTCAAGAATAAAATAACAGAGATAATTTGTTTTGCATGTCACTAAATTGCATGATTAAGGGTAATGTCAAGTATTTTAAGATGGTTTTTTTTTATCGCTGGTGAATGCTGTAGCTTGTGTATGGAGATAGTGTTTTTATGTGCACATTTGCGCGATAAGTGGTAGAGCCGAGAAAACGAGAGGCGAGACTTGGGCCTAGAATAATTTTTCGTAACAAAATAAATTCCACTAAACCAATGTTAAGATTACATTTCGCTTCAACTGATGAAAGATAATGGTTATATTTCAAATAGCATGCAATACTAAATAAGGTAGAGGCGAGGGAAATGTAAGATACTGCTGATATGCGTGAAAGTGAAAATACTAAAACGGGCTATCAGGGTTAGCGTTAGCAGGGTTAGCGTTAGCAGGGTTAGCTAGCGATTGGAAGTGAAAACGCCAGTTTTCACTGGTAATGGTCAACAAAAGTACAGGTGTACAATGAAAGCAAGCAACAAAGCAAAAACCTTCATTGTGACTACACAAAGACGAGTTATTCAATGTGAAAAGTTTATTTAGGACGAGTCAGCCGTCTTGTAGTACAAGCATCCTAATATGATCGTAACATGTGTACACTGAAAACTAAGGGTTCTACAAAAAGAACCTGTGCTACGCCAGATACGAAAAACCACTAAAAAACAACACTTTAGAAGTGGCCAAAAAAATGTGTGGAAACGTATTCCTCATCTAATGCAGCAGCACAATACCCCGAGGAAAGGGTAAACTAATCTGGTTACTCTGCTTATCACAAAGAAAAATCAATGAATGTCGTGATATTTTTTACAGGGATTTGAAAAAAGAAAAGTACATCAATACGAAAAAAAAAAGAAAAGACTGACCGAATCATTTAGAATGTCTTAATTTTCTAGCGAAACCCTTAAATAATCCAAAACTTCCATGATGCCATACAAACCTCTCCAGCGTGCCAGCAGAATATTAATTTCTGACTAATTTGTTCCCATGTCACTCAAACGCCAGAAATAACAGTTTACTATTCTACAACTACTATGGCTTTTTATATATATTTTTTGACATATTAGAATGAAAGAACTTGAATGAACTCGATTAAATTGGAAATGGTTAAATATGAAAAGTTTTATGAGTAAATATGTTCCAATCAAACACATGTAAAAATCAGTAAATTTTCCCGTAACACCATGCTCTGTTCCAGCTAAAATCTTGAAAATGGCCCGGTGCAATTAAAATGACGCATTCTAGCGGCAGACGTATGTTTGCCTTTTACAACTGCGAACAAATGAGTTGTAAAGTAACAGAGTGTCACGGAGGTCAAAATCAGACCCACAAGCATATGTTTTCGCCATTTCTTCTTCCACACTTTCACTACAGCAACATTAAGATATGACATTTGTAGCCAAAATGAGAACGAATTGAAAACGAAATCGATGGTGAGTGCAATGGACACGCGGATGAAGAACTCCCCAACCAAACCCAGGTCAGAGAAGGCCAGACTATTATTGTTGTACATGAGGCTATACAGCTGGGTGAAGCCAACCGCTGCTATCAACGCAGTCGATTCTCCGAGAATCGTCTGAATGCTCATGTCTGCAATAAGACGCATGCTTCTGGGCGTTCGAAATCTGTCCGCCCTTAACGCATCTTCAGCATTCGCGTCACCTTTACACTTTTTGTAGATAAAATACCAAAGATAATCCCGCACAACAATGGTCAATCTTTCCAGTAAGTCGATTGCACCGTGAACAAAGCTCAGAGCAATGAACAGTTGAAGACTCGTCAGTTCTGCTTGCATGACGCGAAAAACGATCGCAAATACGCTGTATAGAACATTCAATAGGATATGGGAGTCGCCGGGATGGAGAAAATCGATCCTTTGGGCCGCCAATCGGACGATGACCTTCGGTACAGCGGTCACCAAAGGAAGTGCGCCAGCTATAACCGCCCTGTTCGTCTCATTCTGCTGATCGTATGATGGAATTAATACGTAAACAAGAACTAAAGCGATAGGAATCCCAAATGCCAATTGTGCTGCGAGTATAGAAGAAACCTTGAGGATTTTTCTAAGTTTTCTTCTTCGATCCCTGGCCGTTCTTTTAACAATTTCTCTTCCCACTAGAACAGAGTTCATCAGAACCATAGCTAGAAATAAAGCGTTTAAAGGAAAAGACATCCATGACTTCTTGTATATTCCAAAGACTTGGAGGTACAGCCTGTAACAGGTATCGAAGAATGCTCCCAGTAGATTTAGAACTAATAGATTAAGTCTTTTCACTAATGGCCAGCCAAACATTGTGATTATCAGAAGAAATGACCACATCTGGATTATATATGCTTCCACTGTCTCGGCTGTCACAATAATAGCTTGAATCTTATGAGGTAACGAGTTCCAGTGACCATGTAACTGCCTATCGTAGCAAAGATCAACAGAATTAAAATCCAAAACTAAAATCAATAGAGCCAGCGAGCCGAGAGCTAAACCTCCTATAATTTGAATAAAGAAAACACATTTCACGGCCTTCCAAAGCGACATCCACCATCTTGGCGGCCGAGATCTCCTCCAGCCCATGTTACTGTCGTCTCCTGGCGGTGGATCGTACTCCTGAAAAATTGTATCATTATCGACATTATCAAAGTTTCTGAAATCCTCCAAAGGGTCCCTTCCTTGTATCAGCGGAGCATCTTCGAGAAAACTTTGTCCCTGATAAGACTGAATCACACCGGCAGTGAATGTTTCCGTCACGTAGGCAAATACGCCTTCGAGTGTAAAGGACGCCATGCATTCAACTGAATTCCGTTTGTGCCAGAAGACTGTTATGTATTAAAGATTCTTAGGACCCACAGCTGCACCTATCACAGATACAAACTGAAACGTCGAACCTGGGAAACTGAGCGACTATATAAACCGAAAGTAGATTCTTCTTCAGGCCTCTGTAACTAGATATCAGTTGACCCAAGTATGTTGACGTTATCTGCTCTTTTCGTTTATGTCTTCTTCCGGGCGGTGTGCACACTCTGATGTTGCATCATGGTCGTAAAACAAAAAGCGAGTCATTTGCATCCTGTCGCGGTCGAGTGAACATCTCCGGCGACATCAAGATTTTTTTATCATGAAATAATCAGTTTTATTTTTACTATTTTAAAGAATTTTACCGTATTTCGTTGAATAAAAATCAAAGTTCCGAAAATTATGGCTGGTTTCCAGTTATATCTTCTACCAGGCGTGAATTAAAGTTCTAGTAACTCAGACAATTACACTCCCTATAATACGCATGATCATTTCGTCAATGACGATGCCAAAAATGATGGCGAAGTTCCACAAGATATAAATATTCAGCTCGTTTGGGGAATCAATGTTAAAACATCCTCTTACAGGAGGATGGAGGGAGATCTATGACTTCGATAGTGGGAAGCACAGTGTTCTTAAATGTAAAAATTACAAAAGTAGTCAAAATAAAAGTAAAGAGCACATGCTTTTTCCATTTCTTCTTCCAAACACGCACCACAGCAACATTTAAGTAGGACATTTGTAACCAAAGCAAAAATGAATTGAAAACCTTTTCTAGACAAAGTAGCAAAAATAAACTAGCACAACAAGATAGTTAGAACTGTTAATCTTCCAAAGCGCCATGTGCAAAGCTCAGTACGATGAACATTGGGAGATTCTTGAGCTCTGATTGCAAGACGCGGAAAATTATACCAGATGTAAAGGAAAAAAATACCACGAGCAAAAAAATAATTTAGTTTGTTAGCCAGTAGCTATCCAAACATCACAAGAGTAAAAATGAATAGAAAGAGCTCAATGATAAAAAAAAGCTCCCATGTTTGACACGGTTATTCCATTCTATGTTTTTCTGATGAAAAAAACCGGGCGACATGACTCGGATTTTGGTTGACCTGACTCTAGTTTCAGGCGACATGACTTTTGGGTGACTCGACGGTAATGAAGGGGTAATTTTCTGACGAAACTGTGGTGCTGCGTCGGTGGGATTGTATAACAGGGTAATTTAGTGTTATCAACTGAGTTGAAAACGTAAATTGGCCACCGTAAAGAGTTTAAAAGAGGCCATTTCGAGCGTTAGCCCTTCGTCTTACAGGACAGTAAACCTACCAAAATTTCCGAAGACCACCCGAAAAGCTGTTCTGATGTTGCCCAGGTTTTTCATAACATTCCGTCTTAATCTACTTGCTTCAAGAGAAAATCTCCTTCCAACGGCGAAGGCAGATAAAGAGAGAACGATTGTGTTGTGGGACATTGTGTGTGTGCTTACATGTACTGATAATTTTGAAGCCTTAGTCTCCTTTACAGCCGTTTATGGGAATGTCACGCAACGTGGAGGAGTGTTGCGTGACATCCCATCCTACTTTGAAGGAGACTACACTCAGTCACAGGATGGCAACTGAAAATTCTCACGCAGCACATACTCTGAAGCCATATCCATATCAGGTGGCTGGACATGCGGCTCAAGGTGAGCCCTATGAATAAGATAAATTCACAATACGTTAATTTGTACTCGTTGAGCTCGCGAAAAGTTTTGTATGTTCTTCAGTGTTAACTGAACGTGATCGATTCTCCTCCATATGCACAATTTACCTCATTGGTACTTAATTTCGCGATTTTAGCGGAACAGTATTTCTCGGGGTGTAATGTTCGCGATTTTAACGGGAAAAAAGGGGCATCGAATTTCGCGATTTTAACGGGAAAAAAGGGGCATCGAATTTCGCGATTTAAGCGTTCTCAATTTAATTTTATTTTCGAAAAGTCTGAACTTTAAACCTTCGGCCAGTTTTGCGTGAAGTCAATAAAAATATCTGTTGGTGTGAAAAGTGCGTAGGAAGTTATTCAAATACATTGAAAGGTTGGAGGAAAAGGAACTCACAGGATTGTAAAATACCACACACAATTTTTATTTAATTTTTAATACTTGTGGCAGATGGATGACGATGTGACACCAATAAAATGAAAGCATTTGAAAGGTAGTCACTTTGTAACCGTACGCAATTACATGTTAATTACTATTTCATTTTCAGAATGCTACTGAAAGACAGTATTCTCAGAATGTAGAATTTCAGCCGAAGATTAACAGTCAGTTAACCTGAGATCATTACAATTCTTATTTTTAGGGGCATTGAAATTGACTGATGATGGATGTGTCCTTAAACCAGTTCAGAGACCTCCAAAGGGGATGAGAGAAGTTGTTTTCTATGACACAGTATTCAACCAAAGCGAAAAACGAGAGGAGATATTACAGCTTAGAAGACTTTTGCCTTTTTATCATGGGATTGTGGAAATAGGTATCCTTAACCCTTCTTCTTAAAAGGAAATAGAAATTACTGTCTCTTGTATTTTACTTGTTTTATCTTATTTTAGGTAGTAACTTGGAAAAAGTTGAAAATTTTGTGAGCATTGCCATCACAACTTCTAGAATTCGGATTAAAACAAAAACAAAAAACAAATCAATCTGGAAGCTTGTTTCCAAGATTTAATGCACCAATCAATTCAAAGCTTCAACATCCCACCCCCCCCCCCCCCCCCTTGGGAGTGGGAGGCATTTGAACCAAATGTGTGAAGTCTTTCCAGCATTATATGTGTTTTAATGAAGGAGTAAAAAGAGAAAAGGTAAAAAGTGTGTTTCCATGAGTGGAGTGATACTTACAAGCAAAAAATCCAACAGCAATACCAAAAACTAATATGTTACTTTAAAGAATTCAACAACATTTGTTGATCACACAAAGAATTGTTCTATATGTGGTGGGGCATTTGAATCAGGGAGTCAGAATTTGAATTGGGGGGGGGGGGGGGAGGGCTGTTGAAACTTTGAACAGATTAATCTTACTGTTTTCCTTTATTTTCAGTTTAGAAATAAGTTTATTACATCTGGTATTTATTTTTTTTAAATTTAAAATTTAAAATTTTTTCTCTTAGACATCTGAGTTATCATTTACAGTCCAATAAGACCTTTACAGCTTTGAAATAATTCTGAAGCCACAAATGATCTCGTACTGCAACTGATAATTATGGATAACCCAAAAAAAATCCTTGTTAATAATTCAAGTGGTATGAATTTTTTTCATCTGAAGTTTTGCAAACAGCTAATTCATTAGAACAGTAAGGCTTAAGAATCAGAGAAAGATAAATTAAGATCCTTCATATTGATACAGGGGCATTATGAATGAATCATACATTCATTAAAGAGGTTTGCCTAAGAGGACATTGATTCATAATATAAGCCCTGTATTAATACAAACACTTTTTTAAATATTTCTTCCTCTAATTTATTTAGAATCTGTTTGTTTAATGTTTGTTAGTCCTAAGTTTGCAATGAAGTAGCTACTTCTAGTACCTTAGAAAAAAAAATCAACACCTTTTCAGATTTTTTGAAAGGATCATTTGTGTACCTGGAATCATTTGCACTGCTGTACAGAACCAAGGATGGGATCAAGGAGACTTTTCAGGCATCAAAAGATCAAGTTCTTGATTATGATTTTTATATTTCTTTCTATTTTGTTATGCTTCTTGATCCCTGGCCCAAAAAATACTAGCAGTTGTAGTGTTAACATCATCATCCACACATCAGACAATCTAGTTAACTGAACTGGCCTGATCCCTTTTATCTCAAGAATTTCCAAATTTCACACAAAGAGTAGTAGTTAATATCAAACAACTACCTTCCAAAACATTACTTTTGTTTCCATTTTTGTACCACACAAATCAGAGGGCAAGGGGTCCTATGGAATAAATATCTTTAGTTTATACCAAAACAGTGGATAGGGTTGAAGGTCTGTTCTGATTGGCTACTCAGGTTTTAAATATCCTCTGCTATTCACCTACAAGTTACTCATGCGAGATTTGTGCTGAAAAATATTGTAATAGTTACAGGGATGAATGAGTTAAAACGATATTTTTGTGCTAAATTATCGCACTGTTGTAGTGTATGCAACTATTCCTGGAAGTGAAGGTGGCTAGTGGTGGATATTTACCTCATGGCATTGTAGCTCAGTAAATATCCACCAATAGCCACCTCCACTTCAGTGAATAGTTGTTTACTACCAGGAAGGGAGTTCTGGAAATGTATAGTATGGAGAAGTAAAAGATCCTTGGGATTGTCTCACTCATCAATTCCATCTGGCTTGTTTGCTTCAGAAATGCTATGGGAATGCACTAAAATCTTTGAACAAACAGTTAGCAGGCCCTTAATGGTTGATTTTAGATACATCAAAGTATTTAAAACTGGAGAACATAACAAACAAATTTGATTTGCCATGTGTGATGGACATTAAGATGGGAAGAGTGACATGGGAAGACAACGCAGATGAAACATTTAAGGAAAGAAGACAGAAAAAATGGCCTCTGAGGGAAGTCACAGGTTTCAGCATTCTTGGATTTATGGTATGTTTCAATGATGTTATGTTAACAAATTACTGAACACAAAGAAAAGTTTCTTTTGATATTTCTGTTAATTTTCTCTTGAAACCAATTTCTAACATAGCCTTTGGTTGCTTCTTTAAATTATGATGACAAAGGCATTCAACAAACCTTAATGAGGAGACAAGCAAAATACATATGTGTTAATGACCAACTGAGGGGTCACACTGACAGGATAGTAGCCTTGTTCTTTTTTTGGTGTTTTTGTGGACCTCAACTTTGTCTTGGTCTATAAAAACACAAAAAAAAGAATCAGCCAATATCCAGTCATTGTCACCTCCGCTTGGTCAATAATGCATGTCTATTTTGCTTGTTTGTTGTGCGCACTTATCACAGGCTGTCTTGCTTTGCGGCATAAAGGGTGAGGTTTATTTCATTTTTCTCATTTTTTGCGCTCATTTTCCTTAGTAGCTATCTTGGTTTACTAGCTAAAATTACTCTTAGCTTTGTTTAATTTGTAAATTATTTACTATCAGGTCTACAACCACCAAAAGTGTTGCCATGAACACTACGATCGTGAATGGTGCCAGAAGTTGTCTACAGTACAGGATGCTGAAAAATGTAAGGTTTCTAATATTTTTTCTATTCATGATGTATTATATACTGAACTGCTTGGACTTAACAATCTTGGTGAAATATGTAATACTTGTTTGTCAATCAAAGACAATTATATAATTGCCCAAATAATGTTGGAAATCAAAACCACGCAATAGTTCTTGTCAGAGCCTGTTGAAGTACTTCTGGGATTCAATCATCTCAGATCCAATCACACTTGTTCATATTTCAGCAATAGGGAGAAGACAGCAATTCACGTGATCATCTTGATTGAAACAGAGTAGGGGTGATATTCCTGGTTTTAGGATTTCATGTTTTCATTGCTTATTACCATTTTTTGTTGTTAAAACATTAGCCCTAAGATCTCACTCTTAATTGTTCCCAGGCTTTCATCAGTATTTTGGAGGTGTACAGTTTGATATGACATCGGACATATTGGGGCAGCTACTTACAAACCTTATGGATATCAAACAGTGGTTCACAACTCAAAGACTCTTCAGGTTTATTGCAAGCTCTATCCTTATTGTATATGAAACTAACTGCTCACGGAAGTTGGGAAAACACCAGAAATCCCACGAACAGTCTGAAACAGTGGAAAACATGCATCAGCGTTCCCCAACAAACCTTTTAGTTGATACAAAAATAATTGACACTGCCCATGTATTTCCATCAACAGATATTGATGATAATTATTTATTTGGCTTGGAGAATTTAATTTCAATATTTGAGAAATGTAGACAAGAATATGCTGTCAATTAAAGATTAAATTCAGCAAGGTAAAGCTGTGAATGAATGAATGAATGATAATGGAACATTCCCTCATAGGTAAGATAAACAAACTTTTTATCTTGAAGTCCTTTTGATTGAAACTTTGATGGACACAGCTTATTTAACTTTACGGAGATTTCTTCGGAAACCACACAAAGACGCATTTCGTTAATCCCAGCAGTTTCGTTCTTTAAGTTGTGGTGATAAACAACTATTTACCGAAGTGGAGGTGGCTAGAAGTGGATATCAGGATATAGTAGTGCGGTCAGATAATATGTCAAAAAAAGATGATTCTAACTCAGTTATTCCTGCAACGATTACAATATTTTCGGGTGCAAATTCCGCGCGAGTTGCTCAGAGGTGAAAAGGAAGGAAGAAAACCCCTTCTGGCGGCTGGTATGTTGGCTGATAATGTCCATAGCCGAGACATTGTTCGAAAAATGAATATTTGGTCGAGAAGCGATATTCGAGTTTGAGTAGCCAATCAGGGTGTACCTTCAATGTTATCCACTGTTTTAGTAAATCTTAACCACTTTTATCTCCTACCGCATTCCTTCTCGATGATTACTTCTTCTGCATTTTGAAGTTGTCCCTTACCAACAAATTTAAGGTAAATTTTTCATATGACGACTAGCGACTCAAACTCTCTCGCGATAAGTAAGACACAATGTTTTTCACCGGGTACTGTGCCCGAGGCTTTGCACTACTTTGGGCATGTGTATTTTGCAGATTCGAATATGACAACCTTCTTGGCTTCTTCGTTTGGTGCCTTCTTGGAACACACACCCGTTCAAAGTTGAATGCTGTGATTGGTGATCACGTTCTTCGTCTGCAATTTGTGTCAATCTTGTCTATCCTCGTTTCTTGCTGGTAAATTCTTTTATATTTTGTTGTCATATGTTACCTGTTCATGGTTAAAATTTTTTCGCCACCAACAATTTCGGTAAATTGTGATGCTAAACTGAACACATTCTGTTAACAACATTACAATTTCATGTCCGAAAGGTAATAATTTGGAAGGAATGTTACTGCATTATTTTCAGTCTGTTTCAAGAGAAAAATTCTTGATTTGGATCATAATTTGGACACAAGAATTTTCAAGGAAGTATCCCAACAGCAATGCATGCTGGCCAGATCAATAACAGGTAGCTTAGGTTCGCACAGCGAGCCCGCGTAAAAAATGAAGAAAAATGGTATTTCTGACGATTGAGTCAGTGAATAAGGCAGAAATAAATATTTTGTCGACACGAGATACGACAAGGCCTAGGCCTTAGGCCCGAGCATCATGGGTAATGATGCAGTGGTATACAAGGGGAGAGTATAGCACGTGACGTCCATCTAGCCTTGAGAACCAACCTTGCACCTTTGGCTGATGCCAAATTTATTTTAGTTGAAAAACTTATTTTGTTTAACTCTGAAGCCTCGTAGGATTGCCTGCTACCTGCTCTAAGTTTGACCATGGTTCCTACTCAGATTTCTAGTTATGTGTTTTCCCCAAAGGGATTTTTTCTGGAAGGTTTTTCCTGACCTCTGTATAACCATAGTAGTGCCCTTGTAATCGGTTGCCCATCTCTGTTAATCCCGACTTGGTGAAGTTAACACACTAGTGATGTATACCTATTTTTGAATGTGTAAGGAATTGATTGTATATCAGGATTGTACATGGTATATCAATTGCGAATGTGTGCATGTATGTATGCCTCGGGTTGGTTCTCGGCAGGCTTCCCTAAACTTATTTGATTTACACTACTGTTACTTTTTGTGTGGTGGAGACAAAATTATGCCAGTATGTCTATATTGCTCAACAGGCGAAAGTTTGGGACCTGAATGGAAATGAACGGTTGCAAAGTAAACGATTTAAAAACAAGCTAGACGGCCGGAAATCATTCTAGAAAACTCGCAAGATGCGAGGGAATAAACGCCAAGGCGAGGTAACTTGGTTTTCATTCGAATTTCAATTAGATTGCGACCATTCAGTCTTAAAAAAATCCTTTCCTTTCGCCTGTGGTGCGACATACACATATTTATAAATTGTGCAAGCTTGGGCTACCTGTAGATATCTCTCACTACCCGAGTTCGAGGCGCGTACTGTAGGTTACCGATTAAGTTATTTCTGCTCGGATTTGTGGCTCAAGAGCGAAGCGAGAAAAACAAGTTTAGTAAGTTATGTATCATATGTTTGCGTTCAAATAGAGTGGGAGGATTTCAATTCAAACAAACTTTTGAATTCAGCGGGGCGTACGATGGAATTCGGCCTGCAAAATTGACCAATCATGGCGCATGTACTGGCCTTGAGATATATCCTTAAAAGATGACATCACAACAATAATTGGAATCGCAATTTCAAATTCTTCAAACATTTTACCACAAATTAAAAGGAATAAAAGTAACTCTGAAGTAAGCCCAAGGTGCAAAACATACCAACGTGGACCAATCTACGCAGACACTCGAATTTTTTTCCGATGAGTTCAGTTAATCGAGTTCTTAGAAAGCTTTTCGAATAAGTTCAAAGTAACATGGAGCAAACAATGAGAAAGAAGTGACGTAAAATGTCAGCGACTAAGTTGCGATTGTTTTTGATATGGCGCGATATTTCTTAACCGAACACAGAGCCAGGTGAGTGAAAACAATCCCGGATTGCATCCGACATGCAATTAAAACTGGTTCTAAAGGACTGAGTCATCATTATCATTATATATATAAATATATAAAGTAAGGTACAAATGCTAAAATGAACTTCTACATCAAATGCCTGATAAGTCAGTTTATATAGAATCTTTTAAACACAGTGATAGGAGAAGAACCACTCTCACAGTAAAAAATCTGACATTTCTTGCTATCATTGCTGCGACGCACAAATCATAACTTTCCGTGAACCTCATCTTTCAACAAATTTACATCAATAATCCTTGTTACCTGGTTATCCTATGAGTAATTCATTGAATTTTTTACATCACTGAAAGGAACCTTTTATAAAACACGAACACATCACAACTACTTTTTCTTCCCGTTGTTTACAACTAATTCACGTGATCTTGGCCTGATACATATATCTCCCAATTTGTTTTTGATTGGGTTCCCGGTCATTTCACTGGATTCATGATCCTGATGAGGGCCTGGGTCCATGCACCGTCGTGCCAGGGGAAGACTGAGTCCGGTGCGCTCTCTGAAAACGGAAAAAATATGGATTGAGGAAGTTGCCTTTAGCACACGTTCAACGCTTTATAATCGTTTACAACGCCTAGTGTACAAAACAAGTGTTGTGGTGACTTGATATGTAATTTTTCGCGCCACGGTGTACACAGTGACGGCAAGAATAAAGTTTGCAAAGGTGCATATTTGGTTTGATGGCTGAGAGTCGCCTGTTCAATACGTAAGAGGGAGGTACTTCATTTGTTTTCAAACTCGAGAATGTGTTTTTCTTTTCTTACAAAATGTTATAGAATACAAGGTTCCTCGTATTACACGATGGTAAATTTCGCCCATCTAAATACATATCAAGTAAAATTACTCTGAACATTTCATCCGTATATCCTATGAATTTGACCCTTCAGAAGGTGAGAAACATATCCTTTTTAAAAATTTCAATCTATCAATCTATACCTGCACTGTGTGAGTAGGCGGTGAAGAATTCGCGGAAGAATGGGACCCACTCAGCCTCTCATTAGAAGGATATCTGGGCATGCGCGGTGAAGGTGGAGTGAAGCCGTAACCTGAAAGATATAAGGATCACTTCACAGGAAATGCGCACAATGTAAAATTATTAACGTGTTGAGAAACACGAGAAAACGACGATTGAATCAATTTATTTCATCGAGGTACAAGGATTTAACGTGTAAAGAAAACATCGCCAGGCGACATATTATCTATAAATAACAGAAAATCTTCGACCCTTTTAAAAGAGTAATAAATACGTAACTTTTCTGGGCAATGTCAATAAAGTATCAGTCTCAAAAACAAAATTGTTTGTTAATCGTCTCCTTATTTTGACATACAACTGTGATTCCCTTGTCTATACATCAAAGCGTATCACAATCTCAAAAACTAAATGGGTGGTCTCTGAGATTCCGTTCAAAAGGGTATCTGCATTACAGCCTGCCTGCGCAGCAAATCATCCCGACAAAATGTTTTCCAATGGTCAACTATCTGCTAGAAAATTGAACAGCTGGTTGGCAGGGAGTATAAAAGTCGGAAGTTGTGTTCTTGCAGTTCTAGCTGCACCAACTCTCGAATTCGTTGAAAAAAGAAATAAGTTGCTCACCTAAGCAATCGCTTTCATATGCAAAGGGCTGTTCGGAAAAAATCTATTATGCATGTAAAATGAATTCCGAGGGTGATGAAGAAATTTACGCAGGAGTATATTAACCACACAAGTGGAAGCAGCCAGTACCTGGAGATATGGGTCTGTTGGTAGTTAAGGGAAGAGGACTGGATGACGTCCGGTCTCTCATCGACTGAGTCCCATGCGAAGTCATCTCATTGAAGTGTCTGAGCATTAAAACGTTGTCAAATAAGGGAATTAAAAAAACAAAATTAGAAGACTTTCAGCTGATTATTTATTTCTCTTTGACTCAGGGTTACGTCACTAGGGAAAAATCTCGAAGTGAGACTCTTTTTGGACATTAGCAAAGAGGGAATGTACCCAGACCCCCGAGCCATCGGGATACTAACCTTTCATCATCCATCTCCAAACTTGACTCACTCTCTGACAGCTGTCTACTCAGAGCTTCTCGTCTTTCCATCTCTCGCAACAGTTTTCTCTGTAATCTGATATTTTCTTCTTTAATGTGGCGTTCTTCCTTTGCATAGGCTGCCATCTTCTCACAATCTGAGGAACAGAGAAGGAGAAATGCGACCACTGTATTATGCTGAGTCAACACAACTCAGCATGGTAGGGGAGGGCAGTGGATAGAAGCTAACGCTTGGCCACTAACTGAGATTGCGGATACTTTTAATAAATTCCATCACTACAACATTTTTCAACAGATCACATACCAATCTGTTTTGAAAAACAGTTTCAACATGGTGGTCAGGGTTGCACTGGAACCAAGGTCCTCTTTCTCATTTTCATTACTCTCTGAGACGATTCCACAAACTGCGTCTCTTTTGCCGATTTTTTATTTATGGCATTGATCCATTTGAAGCTTCAACATCCTGCCTCCCTCCTCTACTGGGCAACCCCCCGGGCATTTGAACTAATGAAGATTGTTTCGTTCAGAAGCCCCACCCAAGAACCAGATTTGACGTTTAAATTTTTTTTTGGAAAAGGAAAAAAAAAGACCTTGACTCTAACATTGACCAAGCTTTAAAACCTAGACCTTGTAAACCTTTTTCATCTGAGCCATTCACTGGCAGCAGTGAACTCTTTATCTTAAAACACTTCCATATTAAAAGATATAGCATTTGTATTCCGCTGAGCGAGCTGGACACCTCCGGTTCATATGCCCCACCCCCTGGCACGGACAACGGTCAAATGCCCATGGGTTGCACGGGGAGGGGGGTGTGGAAGCTTCGACTTCATCGGCGCATTATTCCCGTTGATGTTCAAAAGCCTTATTGACATAAAGCATTCATTTCCGACATACTGGATTTACAATATAGACCATAAAAATGCCGTTTAAAAAAGGACAAACAATTAAAAAACATGAAAACGACTATCCGTCTTGTGTATCTGTTAAATTTTCTGACGAAATCTTGTTCCGATGTTTAACGGAAAATTCACGATCAGTCCCAAAAATGATAAATCTATTAGGAAGGTACTTACAATCAGCTTCAGACTTAGCTAGCTGTTGTTTTAATCTCCTTATTTCCTCCCTCAGTGACGTTATGTGAGAAGCTAAGTCCTCCACAGCGTCCTCTCCATCTGCAAACTGTCGGGGGGAGGGTGGCTCAGAAATGGGTTCTTCTAGCTTCTCTTGAAGCATCCTAAACACAGAAAAAGACAGTGTTTACGGAGATCTCAGGTTTAATACAAACGGATAACCTATCACAGTTGGGCAAGGAAGGGGGGATAAGTACATGCATAAACCACAGGACCGTTATTCATAATTTTAGATAAAAGTGTGGGCGCACCATCAAACATATATAGGATAAAAATAAATGTATTCTGGTGCAACATTTTGCTTTTGTAATGAATGAGCCAAGGGCATTTCGCTTTTCTATGAGCATATAAGAGAGAGTCACAATTCCTTCTTGATTTGACTCGCAGGTTCTGTCCAGTCTTCATGAAAACCACCAACCTTCCAATATCTAAAAAAATAATCCGTTCCTAAGTTTGATTCCAAAATGCTCGTCAAAACTTTAAAAAAATTTTCATTCTGGATTAGCCATTTCTTGCTATTCACTAGACAGTAGGTTTTTTCTTTACTTACCTCCAAATAACTAGTTTAGGATCTTCAGGCAGAAAGAAGAAAAGTAAGGCTAACAGCATACAACCTTGTAACAGTCAAAATACCACTTACAGGTGGTTGTCTCAAAACTATCAACTAAACCATCCCTTAACGTCGCAATATTTGTAAGGGTATGAATTCCAATACATTCATATTCTAATACACATTTGTTGGTAATTCTTGTCACTGGCTTGTAGTAGTGACCTCTAGATTTCCATTTCCAGTTACCTGACTGTATTTCATGTCACAAACACAGTTTCAAAATAAAAAAGAGAATGGTATAATTTCAGAGTCCTATATTTACCTTTTTTCTGCCTCCAATCTGTCCATCCTTTTCCAGAGTCTATTAACTAGTAATTCTTGTTCTTGTTCCAATGTGTTCTCAAGATCAACCTTTTCTTTTCTCAACTAAGGAGATGTACAAAATTAAAATTTTCTAGGTTGTCAATGGTTTGTCAATGGTTTGTCAATGGTTATCTACATTATTCCAAACCATAACAGGTTCAGAGCCATTTTAGCATATCAAAAAAATCAGGCTGCTCTGAATTGTATGTAAAGAATCATGAAAAAAACTTTGCAAAAAGCTTAGTCTTGATATGTTAATTGCAAATTGATACTGAAAAATTAAGCCACCCAACTTATTTTAAGATGCAGTCACATAGAGCCAAAATTAAAGGTGTTTCAACAAGCCTGTAAAGTTTTAATTTCATTTTTGTAACAAAAACGATCAAAACATTCTGACAATGACTGGACATACTTTTGCCACCACTTTTGAGGGACCACTAAAGAAAGCCAGGTAACATTGATTCATGAGACAGCTGTTGATTAAAATCAGCAACACCATTTTGAGTCCCTTTGATTTAACAAATTAATTACCTGTTCCAAAGTGGTCTGTTTTGAAGTAACATCTGACTCAAGCTTGTCAATCTTCCTCATCAACTTGTTGACTTGATACTCTTGTTCTTGTTCTAATGTTTGTTCCAACTGAATCTTTTCTTGACGCAACTTAATTTCAAAGAATGCACATCAGCTACATTCTAAATGGCATACTGATCTTACATCCTTTTTCCAACACAAAAAAGCTCATAGCCCTTAGTTACCACACATTTGCTACCCATTATTAAATTTATAAAGTATCCATGTAATTTTGCCTCTAAAAGTTCTAGTTTTCTTTCCAAGCTATACTTGTTATACTAACTAAAAGGAGTTAGATACCCCACAGCAAAAATATATGATACAAAATTATTACTCCTTGTGAAATTTTTGGAGTCTCACAGGCTTCCTTGGGTTCAATGATGCTCTATTGTCTTGACACACAAGTGTCCTTTATAGGCAACAAGCACAGACCTATTCACAGACCTATGCAAAGCAATGCTAAAAATGATACACCTCTGTTGACTTAACAGTAATTTCATGATACATTTATTGCAACACACAGAGACAAAATTTACACATTCTTCTACCACCTTAGAAAACAGAACATTGAAATGCAGTTCCCATAGAATTTGAGTAAGATGGAAGAATCAATGCTTCTTTAACAAACAAAACAAACACCACAAACAGTGAAGTATAGAGGACACATACACATCAATTAATCCTTTAACCAGACATCAAATAGATCAAAGAATGTTTACACGCTGAAAAAAAGAGTGCTTCCTACCTGCATAAGTTTTCTTGACAAATCATTTGTGAGAAATTCCTCCTCTTGCTCGTAATTCATTGCCAAGGTTTCCTTCTCCTTCTTTAGTGACTGAATCTTTTTTAGTAGAGTGTTTGAGATAAATTCTTCCTCTTGTTCTGCTTTTGCTTGCTGTATAATGCATACAGAACCAATCTTAATATAATAAGCTTAATACCAGTAAGCAAACCCAATATACAATAAACCATGCAAAACTGACAAATGAAAAGTGCAACTATTTTGGGCTAATGAACAAAAAAATTATGTCATTATTGCACATATGCAACTTATATCAACATTCCTATCCTTGCAGTATGCAAGGAGTTTGTCACTATGGACCTAATTAAATGGCCTAACTTGCCATGACTTTCCTATAGCTCAGTGGTAGAGCATCCAAAATACTCATTGGAAGGTCATAGGTTTGACTCCCATTGCAAGCACAGGGGAGCTTTTTCTCTATGTATGCCTATGCCATTCATTGAATGAAAATCTCCTTTCAAAACAAATATAGTTTACAGTAAAGAATTTGTTTTAACAAGTCTTATCTCAGAGAAATGAAAATCTTAATAGTGTAAATAATCATAAATAGAAGCTGAAAACATTCCCTTTAGTGATTCAAATTTTCTTTTGGATGATTTTTTGGAACCAGAGGTAAAGTTGATGTTCTGGTAGTTTATCAAACTTTCTGTTACCAAAAAGACTACCTACAATTCCACTGGTAAAAATAATCATGTAAAACATGACCGCAGGATCAGCATGAGTAGGATCACTTAAATGTGAATGGTCAACCCTGGCTCTTTGAAAATTGTGTGGATTTTCATACTAAACAGTCTTTGAATGTATGCAATTGCTTACTATAAACAACAGACTATAGAAGTGTAGCTGGGCTTAAGCCATTGAGATGACCAATTTCATTGTTCATCATCATGGTAATGAGAATTTTTAGCTCTCTTTATGACAGTAAAGCAGCTGATTTAGTTAATCTCATGAGGTTTCTGTTTATTTTTAGTAAAACCTCTTTCCAATTTAATATACTGTTACATTACTTTACTTGAAATTGACCAGGATATCCTGGTATATCCATGACTTGATATTGTAGGAAATCAGTGCTTCTAATAGGCTAAATTTTGAAGCAGTAATTCACGAATTCAGGTGTCAGTGGAGAGAAAGTAAGGCAATACTTCTAAACTACTCCAGGTATTAATGTCACATAATAAATGAACATGTAAAGGTAATGGATTGTATGGCTAGGGTAAATCTAACTCCCATTAATTTTCAAGGGCTTTGATTATAACATGTAGCTTAGATTCCCTTATATTTGTCTCCAGCATACAGCATATGTGTCAATCAATTTGAAGCTTAAACCCCTCCCCCCTCCACCCAGGTGGGGGGATGTCAGGCATTTGATTGTCATCTGTGCCCTGGGGGAAGAGAATTTGAACCAGAAGTGTCAAGTCTTTCCAGCAGAATACATGTGTTTTATCTTTTGATATAAAGGTGATTTAAGGTAAATAGTTCACTCTACAGAGTGACTCAGAAGAAAAGGTCTGGTTTTAAGCTTGGTCAATGAGAAGAAACTCACAATTGCTGATTTTGTCTTATCAAAAAAAATTTGAACATCAAATCAGGCACTTGCATTTGAAGATAATTTTGGCCCCAGGAAGGATGAGAATTTGAATGAACCAAATTCAAATGTACAGGGAGTTGAAGAAGGGGGGAGGGGGTGGTGGTTGTGGCTATACATTCCACATTCCTTTGTTGATTTTTAGATCAAGAAATTGTGAGTGCAAATTCAATTAAATATATCTGCAAGTCAGAGAGCAACTTAACCACTAATTTGAAAATAAGGGAGTACAGGAGGTCCCATTAAGAAAAAGTATTCAAAAAGTCAACATTAGGTGTAAGACATGTACTTTGCTTTTTCCACAACAAATTTACTTTGCTTAAGCAGTACACTCAAAACATTTAAAATTTTGAAAGCTATCTTAATTGAATGGTAAAAAAATGTTATAGTCATACCATACAAGATATGTCACCACTTTGAATTATTAGTTTCCAGGCCATGGCATTCTCTAAAATTAAGTCACACAGGATTTCCCCAATATGTCAGGTCTGTTTCCAAACCTTGCCTCTAATGCAATGTAAGTCTTGTTTTAAAAGTTAATTCAGTTGTGGCAGAAGATAAAATGAACTTGTTTGTTCATTAAGTCCCTCTGAAAAGTCAGTGTAAGTATTCAAAGGTGAGTTGTCAATAAGCATTTTGTGGTGCATTTTGCAAAAATACATTTGATGGATAATAAACACACTGGCCTCCATTTGGCTTGAAAATTTACTTGTACCCAGGTCATTGGACATTTTCTGTTCATTAAAGATCAGATTTTTTTTTAAGCTTAACTCTCACAAATGGACAACTTCAAGGTCTCTTTCTGAGCCAGATTAAGACTATAACAGAATTCTTGAACACGACTGGTTTTCACCAGTTTGATTTGAGCACCAATAAACACAGTATATGGATCATACTTGTGACTGACAGTGTAATCAAAAAGGATACTTGTCAAGCCAATGTAATTGGACACATCATGTGTGCACGTTGTTGTTGTGCCTTTAACTAGAGCAGGTGTCTTATTATTATAAACAAAAAGACTTGAAAACTTGTTTGTTTCTAAAATTTTGTCATAGATTTGATCAGTTGGTAACAGGACCTTGTGTTGTACAATTCTGTCTGGATTTCATATCCCTGAGTAACAAATCAGACTTCACTTTGCCATCATACAATTTTGTGCAAATCAGAAAGTATAACTACTGACCATTTTGGATTCTACTCATTTCTACTACAGTTACTTAGGAAGATCTTTATATATACCAAGATAGCCGAAAACATAAAATAAAAATTAAAAAAAAACCGTAACTAAAACTCAATATTTAAAACTTTGAACGGAATTGTGTTGTACCGTTGTGTACTGAGTTGTATTGCAAGGTGATGCATTTTACTGTTGACAAACTCAAGGACAAAAAAATTAGGTCCCAGGAACGTCTGCTTTAGATTGCAAGAAATTAAATCTACCGTCAATATACTAGATTATGAAACCTTCGGGTTATTGTACATATTATTTATGGAACTATTCCAGGTTTGGTATTTCAATTCGTTGCACTTCTCATTAATATCAGAATTTTTGTAGCTGCTCCCAAAATAGGTTATTTCACGGTCTATTTTCGTCACCACCAATAGCCTTAAGAAAAGCTTAATTCTATTAATAATAACATTATAGTGACCTCACCCGTGTCTGTTGTGTGCATAAAAAACGACCTATTCATTTGAAAAATAAACACCGCAGCGTGTTCAATGCAAACATGGCAAATACAAAGTATTTCGCGACCTCACAATATGGAAGTGTGGGGTGAATGGCAAACAGATGAACTTACAATTGAGACGCTCGCCTGGCGAAGAGCCCTGTTTTCCTCCTGAAGTTGTTTACAGCGCAATTTACATGTTTCCAGTTCCATTTTCAATACTCTGTTCTCCTGCTTCAAAAGGGACATGAGATTTTTTTCTCTATGAGCAACAGACGAAGTGCTTTCGTCTGCGCTCATGTCACTGTCACTAAACCCAGTGACTTCCATAGAGGAGCTCAACGAGCTCGCCATATTGGAAACACTCGATTACCACAATGCATTGCGGGTACTCTCAGATTTTTTAAAAATTATTTTTTTAATTTTATTTTAAAAACCTTAGTCATCGGTGTCATGTGAGTAGTGCGCCCTACTCTGAACGGTCACCCAGAGCTAACCTGCAGAACAGACGTATTTGTTCTTTTTTCATGAACTTTAACGTAATGCAACCAAAACGTGATAAAACGTGATCTTACTGTTACCATTCAAAAACCATACAAACGAAAACGCCAAGGGATACGCTGGTGTAATCTGACACCACAGTTCTTAAACTTATTGAGTCAAAAGTGATTAGTTATCATGCTAAAAGTTTGGTCTGTATAGACTTTCGACGCTTTTGAAAATACTTTAACGTTGCAAACTTCGGGTCTTCATTTCCACGACGTTTAGTTCCCTTCAAAAAGATGTTTTTGAGAAATCACGATGAAAATGCGTGGGGCATTTTTTCATTGAATTTAGGGACAGCAAATCTAAGTATACAATAACGTGTACTGTTCTTCTACTTAAGAACGTGACACACGGCTACACATGCGGTTTTTCGTCTTTCTATTCAATCATGAAATGAGAGAATCCACTTCTAAACATAACCACACAGTTTCAGTCATCTATCAACAGTAACTTCAAGGTTGCGCTCCTCGGGAGTTACTAGAAGTGTTTGGGAACTACTATAATTAGGGAGGTTCTTATTAAGTTGTTTGAAATTGTTTATGCTTGTTAGTTTATTTTGAAATCTTATACGCGTCTTGTGAGCCTAGTTTTGTTATGTGCTGCAGGACCCGGCTCACTCTTATTTTTACCACTTGAGTGATGTGTCCTTGACCGTTGTGATAGGAATTAATTCTCGTGCGATAATCGTCATCGCTAATCATATTTGGGTTTTTTCTTGACCTTGCTTAGAATCCTCAAAGGGAGGTTTTGTTTAGGTTTTGGTTCTCGAAGATTAGTTGTTGTCAAGTACTTTGTTGTTCATTTCGAATGTCCTGTAACATTGTTTTGGTTAGCATTCTAAAATTATGTTTACTCTCCCAAGGTAAGTTGTCCTGTAAGCCCAAACATGCCTATCGATAGAGCATTTAAGAACGTATACTAAGAGCTGAAATAATAGAAGTGAGACAGTGTCTCAGAGAGTGAAATAAAGTTCCTGAACAGACGTCTCCTGATGCCTCCCGTTTACACGTCCGGTGTTCAAGTTAGTCTACGCCTACTGTCCAACACTTGCACGGCAGAGTAGTGCTGAGGTGAAATTATTAGCATTGTATTCCCATCCAATAATTGTCTCAGGGATTCTTCTCCTTCCGGGATTGCAAGTGATCTCTGATAATGGTTTTGGATTTTTTGTCGGCTCGCCTAATCGGATTTAAAATTCCACCTCGTTTTCGTCTATAACAGTTATCAGCATGCTCTTTGAAGGAAGAAGTCAGTCTTTTCTTGTCACTAAAAAAATCACCACCAGCCTTTGGCTTTGAATAAGATATCTGCAGAAAAGGGGAATGAACTTGTGTGTATGTGTGTGACTTGCCTATTGTTGGTAGTTTTTCGTCACATTTAGGGCTCGGCCAAATTGTCGGTGAATTGTTTGTTAAAGTGATGTTATGTGCTCCGCCCGATATTCTTCGTTGCCATAACTCCCCGTAGCTAAACTTTCTTTCTGCTTTCCACCGTAAATTAGCAATAAAGTCTTCAGGTTTATCAAAACGTGGGTCTAATAGATCCATTTTTAACTCGTCTTGAAAGAATCTGCGTGCAATTTCATTTGCATCTTCAGGATTTGTCAAGTCAATTACTTCTGCTACATCAACTTGCCGCGCTCGGTTCACTCCGGGTGATGTTATTTTACGTTGCCCAAATGATCGTTGACCCGTAGGAATACCCGAGTTGATGCGGCTGGCTCCGACAAACGCCGAGGTTTGTCTCCTTGGCCGCCATGGATCCATTCGTGAATCTGAGAAACTTCTCGTGAGAGGTTTTATTCTGGCAGTGCCTATTCTGCGAGGTATTTTATGCGAATCTCTCATCACTGATCCTTTGTTTTCTTCAACAGTTTCCGCTTCGTGCAGCGCTGAATGAACCATTGCGAATTGATCCACTTCATCTACGTCATCTTCGTTTATCTTCAAAGCTTTGCGAAAGTCCTGTATTTTGTCATCATTTTTCTCTTCGAAGATGGAGGGGAGAAACTTGTTTCTCACCCGCGCCATGTCGGCGGTTGCACGAGGGGCAGAACTGTTCTTGTTATTGAGAAATGCTGCCATCTGACACAGACACAACAATTTCAATGCCTTAGCTTTGGTCTTGATTTACTGTTTGAAAAGTTTAAACAACCAGTGCAATTAATTATAAGGATATTAAACTGTTAACTGTAGTAAGTTTTATTCCCAAGAGCCTAAGTTCCATTATCAGTAGCTGCTGTAATAACCTCAACTAAACTTCTGCGAAAAATAGAAAATAATGGGTTCTTAAATCTCTTTTGTCTTCTCGGAAATGACATCAACAAAAGCATTCCTCGGCGTGGAATTTCAACTCAACTCACTGACTCCCTTCACAGAGCTCTCCGACCAGCCTGGCTTGTGATAGTCAGCGCTTCTGCAGCACAAGACCAGGAACTTCAGCCAAAGAAAGCATCACTGTTCGAAGGAAAACTCTTGGCTTTTTATGAAGAAAAGCAATTTCAGCACTATTCCTGTCGGCCTCGTCGGCCCGCCTTTTGGATCAATTCCTTTGTATATAGCGATTGTCATAACAATGAAAAGTTTGGACCAGTCCCTTAAAACTTTACTAAATTGGGCAATGTTTATGACAGAAGCTAAGGATAGAAAGGGAGAGAGAGAAAAAAAAGAGATGTTTGTTAAATAGTTTTATACCTAGAGCGGGTTGCTAAGGTAATGTATAAAGCTCCGATCCAAGTGTCCTAGCCGCAAAGACACTGGCCAACAGTCTTCATTCGTTACGGTCTTCGACTGTAAAACCTGTTATGAAATACAGCAGGCAGGTGGTAAAACACACTTACCGCATTCATTCGATCAAATGCCGTATTCTAGAGCAGAAATATTAATAAACGCCGCCCTCGAATATACGACTCAAAAAGCTTACAACAGATCGATGACTACCATGGCAATGATATACGGGTTATTGCCGGGTTGATTGTCTGAGACTTGTTCGAGTGCCTTACTCACGCATTTCGGTCCAAAAAATCGATCGAGTAATTGAGCCAGGAGGGTGCACCAAGTATATCCAGGCAGCTGGAATAAGTCGTTCAAGGCCGCTTGCACTGAAAAGTATGATGGATGGCTAAGTACCGTGGAAATTCACGAAGAAACAGCTGCTGGAAATTTGAGAGCTCCGGCCCCCCGGAAGAACTATTTTGCAGTGGACTCTTGATTTTTCGGCAGAGGTCATCAAAAAGTCTCTCTCAAGATGCGCGTTGAACCCCGTGGACGGGTGGCAAGGCGATATGATTCACTGCCACAAGGAAGGACAGCCTTGTAGCAATGGACGATCATTGCTTCGATCGCGATTTCAGTCGGAAATTCTGAGTGAACCAGACTCAAATGTGAGAGCTGCAGTTCTGATGTCGAAGAAGCATATACCCGACATGACATCTTTCGGACTCGGATGATGAAGAGGATAGCGAATGAATTGAATTTTGAATACATTCCGCTCTCGAATAAACACCGTACTCGATGCTGATGCGCCGCACGAACTCTAAGAGCGAGGCTCACGAAAAGTCAGTAGGGCCCTTTCCTTTCGCGGGTCTTTCGTGGACTTAGAGTTGAGCGCTGCAATTCAGAAGTAAAAGGGGTGTCACTAAATTCTTTAAAAGCTTATTTTAGGGAGGGAGTGGGGCCACTGTGAGGATTCATAGTTGTTGTGGTAACTTGTCTGTGCTCTACTAACAAATAAGATCAATGAGAAACAGTCTTTGTGTTCGTGCTAGTATCCCTTATGGAAAATAAAAAGCAACCGGTGGGTGGGACCATCTCTCTCCAGTATAAATACAATATAAGATATGAAATTCATGATAATAAAATTATATGGATCATGTGCACTAAATGTGGCAAAAGTACAATTTTCGTCTCCTTGGGTCTTTAGAGAAGCGTGATAGTTTCCTCCTCCCTACAAATAAAAAATGAACTAACCCCCCTCCCCAAATGTTGATAATCGAGAAAACCTGTCCTTAAGAGGTCCAAAAGTAGTCCAAAAGTCCAATGGTCCATTGGTCCAGTCCATACTTTACTTATGTAACGTGTAACATGATGTTTTTCCATCATTGTACAAAAGGCATAATCATAATCACTTCTCGGTTACTTTCCGTTTGATTCACTGATTCGTCAGAAGATGACTTCGGCAACGTATTTGCTTGTTCGGCTCCAGCAGTATTCAGCCAGCGTAGCAGATCCTTAGCGACAGCAATTAAACCTGATCACGCACTCATGACTAAGGGCCAAGACATCTCGTCGATCTCAGACAGAGCAGTGAGGAAGATATGGCTACTAGGCAGTCGTGACTGGTGCAGTTACAAAGAATTCACCAATAAGTGCGTCTTTTTCTGCCAACATCAAGAACACCTATTATCTAATTTGACAATTTTTTATTCAAATTTGTATTTATATCAAAAACATCACTTAGGTAATGAGAAGCTACTCGTTGTGCTCAGTAGGCCGATAACACGGCTGACATGCTGATATCATCAGTCACTGTTAGAAAGAATTCTTCCATGGCATCCTAAGATGCAGAAGAAAAATCCGCCTTATCTTTATATCAAAAGGAAATGAAGTCAGATATAAGATCGCATTCTATCTGTATCCACTAGTAATTAATCAGCTGAAAGATATAAATTTAATAAAACGTCGGCAGCGGAAAAGTTAAACCTGCGCGGCTGAAGGACCTGGACACGGATTTGTAGATAATTGTTTCTTTGCGTGATTTTTACTTTTCCACGTTATATCCGTTTCAGTGTATGTTGCTTACAGTAAACAGAAAAATTTACAAATTGCACACATACCAAACATCGAACCCGAAGTCTTAAACAAAACTCGACCTGTTAATATCAATACAGATTTTTTCAAAAATTTGTTCCACTTGAGTTGATATCAACATCACGTAACAGAAGACATCTGTACGCAAGTCTTATCATCATAAAATGTAATAAATATAATTTACTCTCGCTTCATGCGAGACTCACCAGTGAAACATACGCAGCATATTCATAAAAAAAAAACTACATAAATATCGCCAATCGGTACGATTCCAATTGTTTGGTTAATAATTGTTTAAACAATTAACTCCTCACGCTCCACAATGTCACACTCTAGAACCTTTTAGTTCGTTTGTGGTCTGTTTCAGTTCAGCGTTTCTTTTCTTGAACATGGCTATTTTCTTTTCTAGCTCGACTATGTCTTTCTCCATTGCGTCTGCTTTCTTTTCAAATTTCTTCCTTTTCACGATCGCCCTGGTGATGTTTTCTTTTAGATGCTCCACTTTCTCTACGTACTGTTTTTCACTCATAGGGGTATAATTCATTTTAATGCTGGTTCCCGCACGCTCGACTGCCCTCAACTTTTCCTGTATTCGAGCCATGGTATCTCGAGCGACCATCTCGCGTTTTTCTGCGGCAAGAATTAGCTTCTCTTTAGACTCGATGATCCGCTGCATGTTTGCAATGCTGTCCACAACTTTTTTAGCTTTCTCTCTGAGCTGTTTCACGGTATGTTCCATAGCATCCACGTCCACTTTGTTGTTCTCAAGAAAGTGTTTCATCTTTGAGTTCTCATCATAGCGCTGCAGTGCAAAATGCAATCTCTCCTTGCAGTAACTCTCCTTGGTCTCCACTTTTTCAATTTCCTTCTCGACTTCTTTTATTTCGTCGAGTATTTTTCTCTTCTTACTCAGGGCACCTTCCTCTCTTTTATTAACTTCAGCCAATTCCTCTTTCACTCGCTCTTCCCTCAAATTTTCTTTTTTAGTCGCCTCGACAACCGCATCCATTTTCGCGCGGACCGATTTGATCCCTCGAACCAGGTTTTCCCTGGGTTCTCCACGAAACGTGCAAGCCATGTTGATGAATTTGAGCAAGGCTCACAAGTCTGATGTTCCGTCACGCTGTACGCGACATTGAAATAAGTTGATATCCACTTTCTCAGCTTGAAGTATTCGCTACAGCTGACCGGCCTTAACCAATCAAATGCCTTGGTTTTGTTCTCGGCAATCATAGGATCAATTAACATCAAGAAACGGCCAGTATTTCCTTGATCATCTGTGCGATAGTTACAATTCATCTCAGTGAAAGGCTTTGAAAAACCCAACTATTTCATAAAAATATCCAAGCTGAAGACACATCCTTCATAGAGAGTGCAAGAGGACATTTGAATCAAGCTTACTTAGAAGCCAGATTTGCAAATTGCTTCATAGCAGGCATTCTCTTTCAAAGTCAATAAATAGATAACACAAACAAAATTTGAGTTTCCATTTCTATTCCTCATTTGAAGGATGGAACAGCGAGATCTGATAGTTTTTCCCCTAGGATTGTATTTCCATTATTATTTTTTCAAAATTTTTTTTATTTTTTCTAAACAGAAAGGACAATTTGTTACGAACCATTTCAATTCAATAGAATATCAACTCATAGCAAGATTCAATCGCGCAGAAAAAAATTCTAGAAGGGTAATCTTTATAGAGTCGCCTCAGCCACTACGTTAAGCCTTTGTTTACACAGTCCACGAATACTGTTTTTCGGCAATATCACAGTTTTTCACGCACCCTTAACAGTTGCACTGTAACTGTATGAGAATCTATTAAAATTGTGCGGGAAACTTGGATGCGTGTAATCCACCGGCCAACCAGTTTACGACCTAAACTGAGATACGGGACGAGCAACAATTCCGCAATGTCTTAAAAGACCCTTAAATCCTTTATAGGGTGTATTTACGATACTCCACAATATTAACATGGACAGATATAAGATAGCTTCAGTTCGACTATTGATAAACCAAAGTGACCCGACATCTTATCTTGCTGTGCATCACGTCGCCCCACTCGACTCAAGTGATTACTCTCTAACCAAATATAGAAATTCGTCGGCTGGTATCTCTGTCAAGCTAACTGCCGTATAACAACAGCCACATCAGAGTTTCAACAATAATCAAAGAATGGACACCAATCATAGACTACTGTAATGATTCTATTTCGCGCCCTCGTTTTATTCAGCGCCTCCGCTCCACTAAGTGCCCCCCTCGAATTTGTTTTTGTCATAAACGCCCCTATTCTAAGAAGCGCCCATCTTGCGTAAGCACTTCAATTCCAATAATTACCACATTCTGTTCACTGATAGCAGTGTTTTTCCAACAGCTCCTTGGCTGGTCGTTCTAGCGAGTAAGGCCCCAGGGATAATGCGTCAGTTTCCCAGTCTTCTAGATCATTTTCAAACAAACATCAACGGTTTGTTTCGCACATTTTGGTATTTCTGTAAAAATAAGAATTAGGCCCACTGCTTCGAATAAGTGCCTTCCCTTGAGGCACCAAAAGTAAATAAGTGCCCCGGGCGCTCAATCTATTCATTTCGGAAAACGAAGATTGTAAAACAGTCTTAAGAATGAAGGGGGTAAGATTCTGAAGAAAATGTGGTGATGTGTCGGTTGAGGAGTATAACAAGGTAATTTGGTTTAATCAACTGAGTGGTTGCGGTCTTGGCCACCGTGCTGTTACTGTCTTACGACACCTGCTCAACCATTCAGATGCAAACTAAACCTTATTGCATCTTGGGTAGTTGAGTGCTCATCATCTGCTCAAGTAAGATGACAGGGGGTCACTGTTTTCAGAGAAGTTTTTGTGATTCAATGTTCAGCCAAACTACGTAAAATGAGAGGAAGTGCACAAGCTTGCAGCATCAGATAATTGTTTTGACAACTGTAAATTTGTGAACAGTCAACTTCTTTCCAAACTTTAACTCCAGTTATTCTGACTCTGAGCTTGAGCTGTCTACATCAAAGGGAGACATTCTGGACTTTTTCTTCAAACTTTCCAAAAAGTCTTTGACAAGCACTTTAGGAGGGACAATATCTGAGGAAATTCAACAAAGATGTATGGTCTGTTGCATGAATTAAAATAAAATAACTTTTAACTTTTGCTGTTACTAACTTCAATCTTTGTAAAGCTGTCTTATAACAAATGGCTATGACAATAACCTCTTATAAGCATAATTAACTAATAATAATAATAACAATAATAATAATAATAATAATGATAATAATAATGTTACCATGACATCATAATCTTTATCGATCGTATTACAATATATGAGACGTGATTAGTAAACAATTAGTCGAGTTAGTGAATGTATGTGTTTGAATATCCTCTCAAGGACTAGAGCCACAAATGTTGGTACGTAAATTCATTTTATATTGTTTTTCTTCTCAATATCCTGTTGTGTTCTAAGTACACCAAATCAGTTAGTGTTTTGTGATCTATTTTCAGTTGACCTTTTGCTTTACATGAACATAAGCGAAATAAAGTGAATGAGTGGGACAATGAGTCTTTATTGAGTGTATCCAACACAAGCACAAATAATAACAAATAATTACACCTTTTATTAGGATATACCATGCAAGCACTTCTTCCCTTGAAAATTGCAGATAACACTGTTAGAGAGGTAACATTGAACAATTATTAGCCCAAGGCCAAGTTATTATTGTTGAATAGTGCCCACAATGAAGCTGGGGGATTATTCAACACTATTCACTGAGCCTTCTGCAAATAATTGTTGTAAGTATAATTGTTCAGGTGCTTGAAAATTTTGTGACCAGTTTGTTTTGTTGTTGGAACTATTCTGCAAATAAAGAATGTTTTGAAAGGTCCTTGGAAATTCCCGCACAAGAATCTCTATAATCACCTCAGCAATTAAACTTATACCAATATAACATCTTCAATGTAACCATTTCCTCTCTTTTCTGGACTCTGTAAAGATTATCACCCAAACAACTTGTGTTACATGAAAAAAAACATCTTTGTCATGTTCTTGTACTCAAGAGCATGAAAATGGAGCTGAAAATTACCTCCAAGAAATTGAAGTTTTTCTTCATCTTCCACTACTTTAGCTGCAATAATAAAGAAAAGGACAAAGAAAAATTAATACAAAACATTTTGAAGAACTTTGAGAGAACTCATTTTCAAATTTTTTAGGTTAGATTATGAGGAAATTTTATTCGGTGAAAATTACTGACATCCAAGACTGCATGACAGTAATGCTGATTACACATGATAATACCTAAGATTTACTACAATTGGTTGAGAGCATTCAATCAATATACAATAGCATGTGCAGTTGACACAATAATGCAACATCTGCAGTAGATATTGCAGTCATCATGTTAAGTTCAATGTCTTCCTAGTTTTCAAGCCCTGCATCGTGTGGTGTTCTCAAACTTTTGCAACTTCAGAGAGAAACTCAAAAAGGCTAAACACTTTAAAAAGTTAGTAATAAATCAGTTCTAGAATTCAGTTTCCACTGCATCAAAACTTGTGTCTGTGTTAACTGCCACTGATCTTGGTATTGATAATTCATGATATAATGCTAAATCTCATTCAATAATTGCTTATAATTTGTCACTTTGTATCTACCTTGACTTCATTGATTAAGCTACAAGATTGGTGGTCTAGCTCATTTTGACAACTAACTGTATGTCTTTATCACTTACAACTCCTTCACAAAGTAAACATTACTTACAGAGTCCCTTGTAGGTCAGTTGCTTTGAATCACTCTCCTGTTTATAAGCAGTGATGGTAAGATAGTCAATAAATAATTCCTGAAGAAAAAAAAAATTATTTCATAGCAATTATATTTTATCTGACCAAGTTATTAAATCTTTATAAACAGCCACTAAAAAACAAACCATAACAAAAAAAACCCTTTAGTAGAGCAACCAATATATGATGAAATGATCAAATAAAGAACAAGCCTTGAAAATGGTTATGAACAAGAGAAAGAGAACAATCCAGGATCTCAGATATAATTGCTATTTGTGTATGTCCTTGGTGACCACATAATAGATCTGTAGCTGTTACAAGTTTGAAGAAAGGCTATCTCAGTCACATAATAAACTGATTATACATGCATTCTGATTGGCTTTTACCTATGATCCACAGGAGGACAGACACATTGATGATATCACCATCAACTTTTTTGCTTTTTATCCACATTGTCTATGGCCAGTAGATTAATAGATCACAGAAGACATCAAAATGTAGTAAAAAAAAAATCAGTGACACACTAAGCTGTGCCATGCGCCACTTTTTTTTTTTTTTTTTTTTTACATAACATTATGAAATCATCTGTGATCTAATAGGGAACAAAAGCACCCCAACATGGCATCTACTTTTTGAACAGAATACCTCAACTAACCATGCATCCTGAGATGTGAAAAGACCTTAAGTCTCTCATTTAAGAAGATTTTTCTAGCCTTGAAAATTTTTTATGCACAGTTTATGGTATGATTCCTGCACAGCCCCTAGCCTGCAGTGCAGGCATCTAATTAGTGGGAGCTAACATTATAACCTTGTGTTTGTTTATTGGATGGATTGCAAGTTATAGATGGAGTTAGAGTAGATGGTGGGGGTAGTGGGTGGGGGAAGAGTGAGAAGACACCTGCCTGAAGGAGCTGTTGAAAAGCAAAACACCCCCTGATTAGTTTTGCATCACTGCATTTCTGGAAATGAGCAGGTAATAAATCAACACAAGTTAAATGAAAAACTGGAAGCACTGTCTTTCAAAAAAAAAAAAAACAAAAACACATTGAGCCAGAACAGAAAATTCCCTGCTGATGCAAATACAAGTTGATATTTGCTGCTCTCTATATCCTCCAAATGACAATCTGTGAGTGTAGCTAACATTTTATATGATAAACAAAATAATACATGATTGCTAGTAGATATGTATAATTTCTCTTCTCGTGTTCAACTCGACATCTCACTCGTTCGCTGCGCCCACTATCGAGTTAAACATTCAAAGACAAAATTCCAGATCTACGCGCGCCCATGTATTATTCCCTATTTATTATTTTTTGTAACTTGTTAGTTCATTTTGTAAAGTTCTCTAAGTCTTTTAATACTGAGGTAATAAAAAATATAATTGGCATGTTCTCGCATTTCATTTCGTGAGATGGTTGATTATACATGGGACCAGGGAGAGTAAGATTTCAGGGGGAGATGGAGGTTTAGTTCGATTTTCGTATTTCGTGTACTTGCATGTTGTAGTTTCGCCTTATTTTAGGTGGTTGTTGAAATTTTTGAGGTGGTTGTAGATGGTTGTAGTTGGTTTTAGGTCGTTCCATGTTTTAGTACTTACCAGAGATAGAATTATCTTGACGGATGCAGCTTTAAAAGTGGAGAGAGAATGGGTGTGCTTATACAACCAAGAACTTTCTTGGCCTTTGGCTGGTTAACCACTAACAATATCAATTACTAACTTGATTTCCATCGGTACGGACTGATGTAAATTTTCATCGATTATTGATTAAATCAACAGGATACCCCGAGAGCAATAAAGATACGCTGACAAACTGTAACATAAAAGAGAGACCTACCGTGGCTTTTGTTATTAGGAAAACTGAATCTTGACTGAAATGTGGCTGTTCCGGAGAACTTTTCATGATTGTTTTGACTCTTGCGATTGGCAATTGAGTTGCCTTTCCCGCGCTGCTGTCCACGCTCGTTTTCTCCGCCATTTTGAAAGACACCAACCAAACTATGCAAACGGTCAGCGGAATCATCAAGCTCGTTCCACACTGCTTTCTTCTTCCTAAACGTTGTCGAACAGATGGAGGATCCCTCTGCAGATCCAAGTTCACCAAGCTACCAAATCTCGCCAGAATGTGAATCGAAGGTTTTAACAACTGATATCGAAGCTGAGCAAGATGCGAGGGCTCAACTTAGAGATGTATTTCTTCGTTCTATCTTTGCGTCCTGTAACAAGCCAGCTTGCTTTTTGATGCACGAGAAGACTCAAGTGGAAGCCATCTTTGTGGCTACAGACATAAACATAGAGAATTTCCAGGTATCTGAACTTCAAACTCCAATGGGAGTAGTCAATGAGGCTTTGCTGAGGTCGTCTGATGTGCTGTCATTTACAATAGACCTTGAAAAGAAATAGAATAACCTTGTTTGGAACTCAACCGCATACAACAGGAGACTGCAAGTTCTTCAGCTCTTCTTTTTCAAATCAGTTCCATTGGTAGGCACTGTTTGGTGGAAACAAGCAATGTTTCACACGGGTGACGGATACTTGGCTTTAGTGGTTGCTCGGTCCACATTTCATTTTAAACAAGGAATATTGTGTGAACACAAGACATTCCTCCATTAGAAGGCATACAGCCTAAGAACCTAACATTTCTCGCCCTGTACCAAGTAGTGGAGCTTCTATAGATTGTCGTAGTGTTTCTAATGCATGACTTGATTACTTGGAGTCAGAAATTCAACATACATCTTTAGAAACAGAATTTAAAGGAAGTGCACACTCGTTGAGGTCATAAAGAGAATATCTTTTAAAAATATATATTCTCTTATTGATGTAAAAACCATAGCCTTCATTGGACACAAAAATAGGTACATATATTTGTCTATGGAGATGATCTGTTCCGAGATGCAGACAGGCTTTCACAAAGAGGGACTAATCTCTGATACAAATCAAGACTCCGTTATCAACCTCCTTCCTTTTCATCCCCCTCTCAAAGGACAGTCTTGTAGAGCATTTGATTTCTTTAAGGTAGTGAATATTTATAATAAAATTTATTGCATATTTAAGTTTCTTTACCATTTTGGTGGTCTCTCCGCACTCTCTCTGGTGGAGGAGAGAGCTTGTTGCATGACAAACCAAACAACAGCTGCAAAGGAGGCCACCAGTAACAGTTTGAGGACACTGGTTTGCATATTTATGCACCTGATAAACAATTTTTTGAGTCTTTTCTCAAGTTGAAGAAGATTATCACACCATATGGTTTTTCTTTGAAAATGTTTTTTCCCATTTTATTTTTAAAGTACTCTACTTACTTAACCTTTTACTTTAAGAGTGACTTGCATCTAATTTCTCCTTACAATATCAACCCTGAATCAAACATCAAGGTCACAAGAATAAAGGAAATGATCACCTACTAAACAACCTCTTGATTGTTAATCAAATCCTCTTTGTCAAGACCTTAGAAGTAAAGAGAACAGTATGGAGAATATAAATACTGATTTTAAGGTGTCAAGGGTTAAAGAACATTTGCACAGGAAGCCTGACTTTAGGAAGTTTACTTTTGTTCGCTTTTGTTTTGTCCTTTACCATTTTTAATAGTAACTTATGTTGCAGTTTTTTTTTTGGCACTGTACAACACTAGACAGTATATTTTCTATCATTTCATATATAACGACTTCATTACCTTTTCACTTTTACCAAAGCTGCAATTGCTAATTTCTTGTGTCATTCATATTAAGTTTCCAACTCTCTGTGTTTGATTTTCTTGACCCTTGACATTTATAATACACCACTTGAAGGTCACATTTATCCAATATCTTCCTCGCTATATCATCCTATATCTGAAATATTGTAACCCTGTATGAAAGAATCTTAACTAAGGTCATCACGCCAAACACAACATCAGACAAGATGCACCTGCTGGGACCTTTCTATAGTCATCCAAAGGGTTAGGATGAGAAGTCATCACATTTTTAGTCTTTTGATCAAAGATGGCTTTAAAACCCTTTGCAGAATGGATACAAGCTCCAGGTTTAGAAGTCATTAAGTGCTTGGCAAATACATAAAAGGCCTGCCACACAAAGTAATATTACTACTTAGTTGTGAAAAACTAAGAAACCAAGAGTGTCAAGAACTTTCAGGCACTATTCCATTAACTTATGTGGTCATTAAGTCATTAAGTGCTTGGCAAATGCATTAAGGGCCTGTTAGTCAGAGTAATATTATTACTTAATTGTAAAAAAACTATGAAACCAAGTGTGTAAGGGACTTTCAGGCACTATTCCATTGACTTCTGTTGTTAAAGCTGCTCAAAAGTGTTGTCATCTAACTTCTGTATGCTTTTGGTGTCACTATCAATGAGTCTGCATCTATAAAACAACAAAAAGGACACAAAACATAAACTTCAATCAGAGTGATATTTTTACTGTGTGATTTTAATGAAAATGTCTTGCCAAGATAAAAAAGTTCCTCTCATAAAATTACCCAATGAATAGTTTTGTAGGTCAGCCTGCAGTCATCAGTTTATGAGAGCAGGAAAGATGGGCAAGTGCTTCAAATCTCAACAGACCCAGCTGACATGTAAACCAATTCTTACACAATATCTTCAACAAGGCATTTTTAAAATGTTTCAAAGATACAAGTTCCCTAGTTACTACACTTCAGTGCAACAGTATGCACAATGGAAATATGAAGCACTCCCATACAATTTACAATTTATATAACTCTGTTTCCTGGTGGGAACATTTTTTGTTCTCCATATAGTGTGTTGGTAGGGTGCCAAGCATTTAGGGAAATAGGTCAAGGTGGCTCTGAGTCATGGAATCTTGAGTCACCATCTCAGGGCATGCTGCAACAGCAGACACCACACGATGACCTGAAGTTTGTTCATCATGATCCTTAGGTGTATGGTCTCAAGAATATTTCAAGCTAGTAACAAGTTAAATCTGAAACAGCCTGAAACATTTGATGATAGGTCTAATTTATGAAGTACACTTCAACCTCTACCAATGACCACCTCCCTTCAACAGCTGGACTTAATATGTCTTAAAGGATGGTATAGGATGAAAGATAAGAAGTAAAAGTAGGTGGTGTTCAAGAAGGATGATCACTTTTACCGGACTCAAGAGTCTGATGACATTGGCTACAAGGGACACCTCCATCCAGGGAACACGAACTTTGGTCCAGGAAATATATTAATTTCATCTTCATACTTGTTTTCAGTATTGAAGGGGAAAGGAACACTTATCCTGGGTCCTAAAGCCATGTTTTAACCTCCATTCAGGGGACACCTTAGCCACTCCAGAGATTCTCACCAAAGTGGTAGTACAGTGTATGACATAAGAAGTTGTTTCAGTTTGGAAAGTGCACCTAATGAACTCTATCTTTTAACTGCTTATGGCTCTTGAGTAAATTTACTGCACTTGCGGATATTTAATACATAATTATCTAGCTGTGTGAAATAGAGACTCCAGCAGATTCCAAGCCAGAATAATAAAAATATCAAAGTTATTATTTTTTTTTGGTGGTGAATCATTAACAAACCCCAATCCAATCTCTCTCTAAGAAACACTTTCCTGGTTCTGAGGGTTTCCCCTGAATGAAGGTTCCACTGAAACTGATATCAGTACATTCTCTGTGACTGTAAACTTACAGTGTTCCTCAATAAGGTTTGGGTATATGAGGCCCACAAAAGAGTGAATTATTCTGGAATTGCCTTTATTCTGTTCCTTATGGGAGGATAGATCATCCCAAAATTTAGAAGTTTTCTCCACATAATCTTTAGGATGACGATGTTCAAATGACCTGGAAAAATTTGGTAACAGTCAATTAGTTGTATAATTAACAAATAGATTCCAAGTTGCCATGCATCTGTCCAGTAATAGATCACAGATGACGTCAAAATGTGGTAAGAACAAAAAGGTGGCACACAAAGGTGCAGCCGAGTGTGTCACTGATATTCTTATCACATTTTGACGTCCTCTGTGATCTATTACTGAACAGACGCACAGCAACTTGCAATCTATTTGTTTTATATAATAAAGAATTAAAAAAGTTTTAATTATAATGTCATCTATACGTCTGTCCTCCAATAGATCATAAGTGAGAACCAATCAGAATGCGTGCATAACTGAGCTTATTATATAAAATAATATAACGATCAGTGATAGTCTCAGTACAACTAAAGAATATGAGCAACATTAACTTGTCTGCGCTGAATTTGAAGCTTTTGTAATTTCCTTAACCCTTTAGACCCTAACATCAGTATACATATTCCCCATACTGTTCTCTATACATTTCTGAAGGTACTGACAAGAAGAATTTGTCTATCAATCAAGAGGTTCTGTCTTTGGTGATCATTGCCTTATTCTCATGCCTTTAATGTTTGAATCAGGGGTGATACTGTTAGGAGAAATTAGATGCTGGTCAATCTTAGGGTTAAAAGCTTAAAATTTACCACATGGAATGTGTCTGCACCAGATTTAGGAACTGCAATATATTGCTTTGATATTGTCTTTTCTTATGTTTCTGCAATATTTTAGAAATAATGCACTTATTGCAAACATCATCATTGCACAAAACTACTGCAACCTAGTTTTTCAAGGAATTACCTCGATTGAGCTTTCAGGGCATGATCAAAAGAGGAAACAAGAAACATTCTTAGGAAACCTTAATTTTTTGATAGACATAATAGGCCTTAAGTTATCAACTTCTATTGGAGAAATGCATGAGTCTATAAAGGGAGCTATTAAAATGCGTAGTGAAGACAGGCAACAGAAAGTGTTCAAAACAAAATCTACAGACTTCAAGTGTCAAAATGATGTCAGTTGTGATAGACAATAAGCAGTCTTACCATCCCATATGGACACCACACTGAGGGCAAACAGCTACCCTCCATGCATAGCCTGGAAACCAGGAATGCTCCTCAAAGGCCTAGAAGTTGAAAGCTCTACTCAGCTGCATGTGTAATTATTACTATCATTATTTTCAAAATTATTTGACTGATTCTTCTTGTATACATTTTCTTGTTATTATTGTTAGTTCAACTAGGCTTGTGTTTGTTATTTTAATTACATCTCATTTGTCATGCTTTTGTTTTTAATCAGTCCCAAGGATTAAAAAATGCTGGGTCTTAAATCACAGATCACACTGATTACTAATCATTTTAAAAACCTTATTTTTCAAATGAAAGTGCTTCTAGTGTGTTGGTAAATCATGTCAATTGCTCACAATGTGATACATGTGATGATACACAAGCACAAGCGAAAGCACAAGCACAAGCACAAGCGCAAACCCAAGCATAGCAGCTCTTATTGGACTGTGGACACAGCCTCGACACAAATATAAATATGAGCACATGCACGAAGATCAGACTTTTTCCTTTTTTCCCCCCTGATTTTGCTTGTACTTGCATCAAGGCTGTTTTCACAGTGAAATAAGAGCTCTTGTGGTTGTGGTTGCATTTGTGCTTGTACCTGCACTTGTGTCTGCATTGTTGTACTCAACAACTAGGGTGAAAAAATTAATAATGAATAAAGGGGGAAAGTTTCTAATTTCAAGAAATTGTGGTGCTGCATCAGTTGAAGGTATAACAAGATCATTTGGTTTAATCAACTGAGTTGATAGTGTAAATTGGCAATGGTAAAGAGTTTCTAAAGCTGGATTTCAAGTGCTAGCCTTTTGCCACTCACTCTGATGAAGGGTTAACGCTCCAAATACCAGTTATATAAACTCTTTACTGTGGCCATTTACAACATCAAGGAGGTTTACACCTAAACATTTGAGTTGTTGATTCTGTCAATTTGACATTGCATATATTTCTTTTCATAGACTCAACAGTGAATTTAACAATTTACACCTACCTCACCAAGACTTTTGATATTAGCTGATGTTACTGTTATTAGCTCAAAATGTTGACCTGAAAAATATATGGTCAAGCAGAAAATATGAAATTTATAACAAACCATGATGATTCTCTGTATAAAAAAGTTTGGTCATATAGGGTATCAACAACTCATACCATGAGGGTTTTTGAAGAGCTGGATAAGACACTGTTTCACCCCTAGAATAGTGTCATTCCTCTGTCGCAGAGCCAGTTTACTACCTAAATTGTTGAGGTATGCAGCCACAGAGATGTCCTGCCCACACCGTCGACAAAGCAAGGTATCTGCAAATATACAAACTGTTCTTTATCAAGAGGGCTATGTCATGATGTAAAGTGAATTAGTTTCTCAAACATTATGAACTATTTAAAAGCATTCTGTATGACAGTTATAGCAGATCATTTTTGTTGTCTTTTTTATCAGTCTTCTTCAAAGCAAGAGGTGCTTACATAAAATTGAACACATAAACCAAACCAGGGGGAGGGCATTTGAACATTTGAAGACTGGTTCATTCAAATTCCTGCTGTTCACCCCAAAATTGCACTGCAAAGCCCCAGTCAAGCACAATTTTTTTCTAAAAATTATTTGTATGATCAATGAATGTTGCTGAATTTAGCAAAGCCATGTATTAGTTTTTGGTGTCACTATTTGGTTTTTCCCCTGTAAGCATCATACTGCGATGTGAAAATTTTCTTCTAAGCCATTTGCTCATGAAAACAGACTCTTTACCTTTAAACTACTCCTTATTTTGATTAAAAACATGTGCATTTTGCTGGTTCAAATTCCCCATCCCACTCTGGCAAGGTTCCAATTCCTCACCCCTGTAACATAGTCAAATGTCTGTGGGTTGCTCAGGGAGGGGGGTGGAGGTGTTGAAGCTTTAAATTGATTGGGGCACTATGTGTAGATAGCCGTGTGTTTTGACTTTGAGGGAGGTAGAAGGAAGTTAAGTTTGAAAATGTGTATTTGCGTGCTCTGTATTGTTTAAATTTATTTTGAGACTTTCTGTTAGATGAAATATGTACCATAAATGTTGCTTTCCTTAGATCATAGAATGGAACTTTTGAATCTGTACAATAAAATATGGGGATGTAAGTAAATTTTAAGGACACCCACTGTTCCCTGGCCCTTAAAAAAGGTATTGCTTATCTCTACTTAGTTACCATCATTATCACTTTTTTGTATGTAATTAATATAAGCAGCCTTGTTTATGGTTAACAACTGACATTGACATACACAAAAGTGCACCCAAAGTCACATAAAAGAGTAAGTCTTCATAATGTTTCCTTTTCTTTTTTTTTTAAGTTGAATGAGAACTTTAGGTTTTTGACCACAAAATTCATCATCACCCATGGTTGTCCTACCTCTGAATGTACTGAATAAACCCCCCCATTAACAAGTTGATCACCGTTGGAAAGTTGCTCATCAGATTTGAGGGTTGATGTGTTTAACAAAGAAAAAAAGAAACTTGTCAGTAACTGGTAACATTCATCAGAGCCTATCAAGTTCAAAACTAGTCAGTTAATTGAGAAATCTCAAAATGAATAATGATTGACAGAAATTTATTGTTATTTTCTCAATAATAATTTATGGATTCTTTTCTTTTCAATTACAACTGTGATAAATGATCATTATCAATTTCCATGTTGTGGAGTGAAAATGGAATGGAAAATTTACTGTCACATCAAGGGTAATGATCTTTATAAATTAGTTTCTTCAAAATACAACACATGCAGGTGGGACACATACAAAATTAGTGAACTGTTAACACAAAAAAGAAGGGACCAATGAAAAACTATCAACACTGATTTAGAATTCAAACTGTAAACTTGCCTAATTACTAATTAACTGAAGAACACTCAAATTGATCAGTAATCAACATTATCTTATAAACAACAATTTGAATTTGCTATTACACTATGGCATATTCTTCATCCTTAGTGATGAATCTCTGGTTTGATTGAAGGAAAATTGTGTGTCCACAATTGAAATGGTGTTTATCACTCTTCCTGTGGCTGTGAACAGGCCAGGACCTGAGCCAAGGGTATGTTACTTGAGATATAAACTTAATACAATGAGACTTAGAAACTTGAACCCCTTTTACATTGGGTTTCTAGAAAAACAAACGGTATAATATACTGGGAAAATTTTCCTAAACCTGGATTTTAATTATGTGATTCCAGTATAATCATTTGCACTTTAGTTTATTATCATATGAACATGACAGTAAATCTGAGGAAGGAAAATAGAACGAAGGGGCCGCAAACTTGGAGTTATTGATTGGACAAGATTTCAGGGTGTCTTTCAAGTTGGTGAGGCCTAGCACTGCTATACAATCACAAGATACTTTCATCAGGGTAGTTGTGAAAATCGTGTATCTGTTATCTGAACCCTTCCGTTGCAATGCAAAAGTACACGATTTTGATTTTAAAGCCCACAAATATCACTAAGATCAAAGTCAACTAATGATAAATAGTTCGAGAAGGAAAACAGGAAAGTGAGGACTTAATGGATTTTACAGATGGGTTTTCATTTGTAGACATGTGAAGGAAGGCAGATTTAAGATAAATTCCAACAAAAGGAGGTAATGTGCTTTGACGCTTACAGTTTGTTCAAGTTCCATATCAAGAGCAACCACGCGCGCAAAAACACTAAAAGAACAACAGAGACCAAGTACGCACTCTTGCGTGACAGCTAAAATTTGCATGAAAACAAAGTGAAATATATACCTTGATGTTGCTGTATTTCCACAATCGTTGAAAACGCTACATCAACGCTTAAACATACTATAGCAACAAGAGCTAGGAAACGGTTCCAATGGTGAGATTTCATAGCAATGACCGGCCACCGGGAAGAGCTACGTGCACATTGCGTTGTAGACAGCTTCCGTGGTGAAAATTCTTTATGGTCAGCGGTTATAAACACGCTGTTCGTATATTTCGAAAACTGACGATCATCGACGATCACTCGTGAAAGTGAGGCAATCGATTCGAACTATTTCACACACAACAGAATTTGCTGAGAGAGCTCATTCCACACCTTGAAACTGAAAAGAAAAAAAAAATGAAATGACCAGCAAAGTTCAGAGAAAGCCACAATTTCCACCACAAACAAACAATTGGTGTTGGAGGACGAGATCGTGTGGCGGGATTAACAGCGACCATGTAAGTTAGTTCTTTGGTCTCGTGATGAACTCGTGAATTTTGTACAGAGAGGTATAGCAGCAGATGGAAAGAAAACATTTCACGGTATTTTCCTCTTTAAGATTTCGAGATCATAAAATGTCTTGGAAGTTAATTATCTGTTAACTTTAAGTCAGTGAGAATTTTTCAGGAGAAATTCTTGCACTGCCTTTGTACGGCCTCTTGCAGTCCATTAATTATGGAAGTAGTTTTCTAATGAAAGCGCCATTCCAGTGACTGTTTATTTTGCATATTTTCAATGAGGGTCAGACCGATAGTAAAATCACTTAAGAATCAACATGAATAGGACGATTTCCTTAGTGAAACGCGTAGAGCTGCTCATTCGAAATATTCGCTCATGGCGTATAAAAATTTAAAGAACATTGCATTTTAAATATTAATTTCACATGTTCACAAACTGGAGAAGAAAAAACACAAAACAATGCTCTTAAGTTGATTTACCCATTTATTAAAAAGCTTAAGTTTTTAATAATTCTTGGTTAAAAAATTATTGTTTTGAATTGAACATGGTCGAAGGCTGAAAATTTTTTTTTCGGTGTCCTCTTTGCACGTGTGCAAAATCAACCAAAAACAAACCACGTGTTTACAATTGAGGTCCTAGGGACTCATGGGAATGTTCTTATCTGACAAGCCAGCGACGGCCATGCCAAGAATGGCCTTTCTTTCGTAGGCCTTTCGCATCCGGTTAGTTGATCGAGCATCTTTTGTCCTAGATCTGTGATGGAGAAGAATTTATGACGGCAAATGATTTTTGTTCACGTATTATCGGTTATTTCAGTTGCTGGATGTTTTGTATCCTGGTAGTTTTTGCAAACGCAGCAAGTCACACCCCCGTACTTTGTGTTTAGAACCAGTTTGCGTTCATTATTGACTTAAGAAATTTCTGTTCTATTTAGATCCGTCCAATGAGTTTTCCATGTGTTCTTGGCATGAACGAAGTTGGATGGGAAGATGGAGCGTACCACAGCAATGGTATGACTCCAAAACTTGTAGGACGCACCAGTAATGGTGGATCGAAGACGAACAACAGTGGCTTCGAAATCGATGTAGGTGGCAAATCGAACGGTGAAGTGGCAAGTTACCTTTTCCAGCGTCAAGGAGTCGCAACAAGCTTTTCTAAAACAGTTTCAGAAAACGACAAAGGCAATTTTTCTGGCCAGCGATGGTCATCTGTTGGTGAAGGAATGTCAGAGCAGGTAAAAACCTATGTCAACAGTGTTATTTTAGCTTGTGTATATGACCGAGTAGAATTACGGTGACTTGGTTCGTGCTAGGAACGACTAAGCATTCTTAAATGCAACAGCTACTTTTGTAGAGAAGTGATAAATGTTTAAATGCTTAGCTTTTGGTTGGTTTACCAAACGTATGGTTCCAGAGTAGGCAGTGCAGTTTAAGTGGATTGCAAAATTTCATTTCTGTGTTCTCTTGAGACATTGATTGTCGGCTTAAAGCGTTGTTGTAATAACGCTTAAAGCGTCTTCCCGAAATGTCGAGTAAATCTTTTCATATTTAACTTCTTATAGCACGATATTGTGGAGTGGAAATTTAAAATGCGCATCGCGAATGTTGTGAAGCACGAATTTTCCTGTCAGCTAAAGGCAAGAGCGATGAATAAATTTCACTATCTACTACAATTCTCTGCGTGAACTGCAATGTTGCGATGTAAGCTTGCTGCTTAATTCCATCGCCAGGGTTTTACGCTACTGTAGAATGGAATATGCTCTCTTATTTTGTTTTGAAATATACGATCGACTCGTCTCATTTTGATATAGAGTAAATTAGTTTAAATGCAATATCAGAAAGCTCTGATACGTGATCGAAAAGAAAGCATCGGTGATTCAGTCAAGTCTTGCATGTCGGGAAGCAGAGCTACCGTTTTTAAAATGAGTCAAAGATGGAAGTGAACACACTGAAGCGTTGTGAAATTCCATCTTAAACTTCTTTTCTAACTTGTTTACTTGCCTCCATGGGCCTGCATTCCACTATTCATTGTTCAATTATTAGTGTAACAAATCAAAGCTATGGCCCTCAGCAAAACCTGTTTTATTTTTAACAACTGGACTGCTACATGCTTTTTTCCTTTTGTATATATTTCTTTCCTTATTGCTGAATGTCAGTGATCTTGTAAGTCCTGTAGTTTTGTGTTTTCAAGGATAATGAATTTTTGGGGGTTTTGATAGATATCTTGCTTTGCACTCATTAACAAAGACATTTTTGGGAAATGCCTTCAGAGATTCTTTATTATCATCCTTGTAATTATTGTTTTCATCTAGAGACTTAGTTTTTATGACTGCTTAAAAATGCACAAAATAAATGTTATGGTTTTTTCCTTCTGTTTCACTTTCCTACTTTTGCCTCTATGGGCAGCAAAGTGCATGCAGCATTCGTGGTTTTTCAATTTCATTCTCTATTTGGAGGCAACATTAATGCCTTCTTTTAAACCTAAAGTACCAAGTAATAAGCTTCAACTGATGATTCAACCTTTTGATATCTATTTAGGCACTATCTATCTATTACTATCTAAAATCAAAGTCAGTCTTACTTGCCTGTCTGTTATTATTAGTAGACAGAATGATGCAATGGCTCTCATTAATGTAGGGTGCTTGTTTAAATACCAGGCCTTAGTTGTTTGAAGGCTGGATATGGCTATCCACTGGATATATCTCTGTCCACTAGATAGCAAATTATCTGTTGGATAGCTTTATCCATCCTTCATAAAATTGCACTTTGGCTTTTGTGGTCAATTCTTCACGAGAATGAGCAGTATTCACTGAGGCATCTGTAATGCAGGCACCTGACCCAAAAAAACATAGGAGAGATTGTTGAAGCCTGCTATTTTGAAGCTCTTGGGGTTTATGAAGAGCAAAGATAATTTAAATATTGTGTTAAAAAATGAATCATTCTTGATGATTGTAGTACACTGGATGATGCTGACAACTCAACAATGATTTTACAGATGGGTTTAAAATATTGAAATTTTCTGTTGATTTATGCTTTTTTATGTTTTTGTTGAACATCGAAGAAAGCTGACTTCTTTGCTGTTGAGGTTTGGCTCTCTGGGCAAACAAACTTGAGCAAGATGGAGTCTCTATATTTTCTTGTGGGATACTCTTTGTGAGAGCCATCCTCTACGCCATTGTGCTGATTCATCAGAATGTGAAATGTTTAGAGATGAATCATCAAGCAGTAGTATGGAATGAAACTGAAAAAATGCAGCATTAATGTAAACATCACAAGTTGTTGTAAGAAGTTACTGATCCAAGAAGTAATTTGGCTCACAGGGCATAACTCTTTGACCCCATAGTGATTAGCATCCAATTTCTCCCTATGACATTACACCTGGATTGCTCAGTAAGGTCACAAGAATAAAGAAAATTAATGTCCATGAAATAAGGCCTTGATCGTCAAACAAACTAACCCTGTCAGCACCCCAGGATATGTACACAGAACAGTATAGAGAATATGCATGCTGGTGTTAGGGTGTAAAGGATTAGCACTATCATTAGCACAAGCATGTGGCTAATCAACATTTGCAACTGTAGTAACAATAAGACAACCAAATTTAAGTGGAGGTCTGCCAGTGTAAGGACTTTGAATTGATGATGCTCTGAAAAGGGTGGCTTCACTTCAAACCAATATTTTATAAATATGTGGTGTGTCAAGAATTTGAATCATGGCATGTATTGGGTCATGTTAAGAACAAGAGATGTGGTCAGCTGAATGATTTCTGCAAATGAAAGGGTAGAGAGAGATTATATTGACATTGTTGTATTTTGATGTTAAATTAAATATCTGATCTAAGCTCATGGTAGTTTTCTTATGCACATAGTATACCAACTCTAAAAGGTGAAGAAGGATGGTTCTAAAATGATTTGAATGATGCCATTTTAATAAATATGATTTCAGTGGAATGAATATTTTCTTCATAATTTAAACCTTTCTATTTTGAAAATTCCCATTTGCAATTTTTGGCTGACTGCTCCAATTGTTCCTTATTTAGTCAAATTCCAAGGATGGGGAACTGGATGACAAGTTCCAGAGTTTGTCTTTGAACAACAATGAAAAGAAAGCTGACACACCAATAGAGGAGGTAATCACTATTTTTTCACTGAGCTTTGTTTGTATGTAGTATGGAATATTGTCTTGGTTTATTTCTCAACCAAAAGGAACACTTTTTTGTGATGTTTCACAAGTTTACAAATATTACTTCTTCGTTGATAGTTATTAATTTCTGTCCCCTTAAGTCACCTTTTTTCATATGAGCTGCATGTAAGGATTGAATGCTTTTTAGTGTCCAATTATGAAAATGAGTTGTTAGAAAAGTTGTTTCTTCAATCAAAACACGCTCCTCTTCCTGAAAAATGACCAAGAGACTGTATTTAAGTACAGCAAAAAAGATTGATAAATTACAGATGTTCAAAATAATTATCTTTGGTATCTGACTTGAGCAGATCTTCAAATTATTTGGAAACCCACATTGTATCTAAACTTTGAATGAATTTCTTAGCTTCTGTCTTCGTGTCCTTCCTGAAACACACTCTTAAAGATTTCAAGAGTGTCAATCAGAGTAGAACAGAGAATTTGGAAAGCAGATGTTTTTATAACATTCCCACAGTATGGCTGTCAGGGGGAACAGCTAACATTACCCTGGCTGCCATGCGATGATAACAATGTATATATTGCTTATGTGCTTAAGGCCAATCAAGCAATCTTGCCTTCAGTTTATTCCATGAAACTGTATATGAGAATTTTCCGATTTAAGACAAAATCAATTTGTTTAATCCTGGTTTATCTCTTGTGAGATGCTGAGTGAGTTGTAATTTCAGGTATTGTTCCCATTATTTTGTATTATAAGTTATATCTTAGCCTTAACTGTAGATTTCAGAAAAATTTTTGAAGGGCTTAATACAATTGGCAAGGATGAATCTGCTAACAGAGTCTCTACCATGTGACATATATCCCAATCGTGGGTTAAGTTTGCTCAGTTAATCTGCTGGAAGCCTTGTTATGTTTATTTCTCAACCCTTCAACCCTCAAGATCTGATTGTTAATTCTCCCCTCTAGCTGCTTAACATTTTGTTTTAAATTAGTTGTGAGAATGTTAAATCAAGATAGCAACTTCTACCTGATAAGTTTGAATATCCTCATTACCTGTCTGCTGATTAATGTATGGATATTTTAGGGAGAAGTTTTATGTGAATCACTTCTGGGAGTTCAAGGGTTAAATAAATTTAATCCAATCATGTTTTGCAGATTGCCTCTACTGCAAAAAAACTTTGGGATGTTCAAGACTCTGGTGAGGAGAATCAAGGGGGGATGACATCTGGCATTTTTTTCGGTGAACAGTGGAGGGAGACAGCCTGGGGGCCATCAGTACCTCATATGGCACAATCAGAGCATGCTGTGTCTCAGCCAATTATGGTGCAACGTCCAGCCAAAGGAGGAAATTTCAACAACCCTTCAGAATCACAGAGTGTTTTGTCACCCAGATCAGCTGATGGAGTTGGGCTTAGCATGGTTGAATATGTTCTGGCATCATCACCTGGTGGTCAAGAGTTAGATGCTCAAATAATTAAAGCTGGATTTGTATGTAATATTTCTATATCATGTTAAAGTGACATTTAATAAGGGTATAGGTCATCAGTTAAATGAAATAGACCTTAAAAAAGTGTTAGCTCCCCAATTTTGAACTTGTGATATCCATTTTCAATTCATTTAAGTGCTGTTTGATCTTGCAGTATAATGACTATGAAAAGGTTGTTGATATACCTTGCATCAAGTATGCATAAAGATTGTTTTGGTGCAAATATTAAACTGATATGCAGATTGCTTGATTTTCAATCTTGATGGTGCAATCAAGGGAGGATTAAGGTAAATCTCAGCAGCATAAAACTCTAAATTTTAATCTATCAGGAGTCAAGGAGTCAGGCAATCAGGCAATGATATCCTAAAGGCAAAGAAATGGCTTACTTAGCCAGGAATATGTTGGCTAGTTACAAGAAGGTTTTCCTTAAATTCTTCATAGGAGTATACAACACTAGCTCAGGTTGTTTTGCCTTACAAGGGAACAAACCATCTTATGTCAAGTTATTTTACAGGGAACATCTCCATCGTCTGATGTTTTGTCTGATAAAGGAACTAAATCAAATGGAGAGAGCAAAGGAAGCAAGGGCGGATCTCCCTTTGAGGAAGGTGCTGGAGATGAAGTTAAGCATGCCCTTCAGGAGGAGCAAGGTCATGATTCCCCAACACCTACCGCAAAGCAGAGCACAGAGGATGACAAGACATCTGCCTCCTTTAGGTATGTGATTTTTTTCTTCAAGGGCCATGCACATTTGATTTAATGTTACTTGGGTAACATTTTTGTAGCTTACTGCTTAAAGAGTCATAAGCTACTATGCTGTCCTTCTGAGTGAGTGAGTGTGACAATAGAATCTGAGCCCACAATGAACTCTGCTGATTTTGATCCAATATTCCCCGATCTTAACTCCTTTTTGTATCTATGGACTTCTGTGAAGTGGTAGATACTATGCTATCCAGAGTGTAAGTCCTTCGGTATGTCCATAACCTGTGGATAATGCTCGGAATTCAGTTCGGTCTTCTCTAATATTGTTTGATTTTCGTATCTTGCGTTGGCGATTCGTGATTGCTCTGTCTGTTCAACTGCTTGTCTCTTTGGGTGTCAACATGTATGGCTCTGTATCCGTTGATACATATTAAGTATCTGATGGTATTTAGTATCTCCTGGCCATGTTCATATGACATTAGATGACCACAGCTACTATGCTGTGCTTCCTAGGTGCTGACAGTGCTATTGTCATTCAGCCCTCAGTTACATTACCAAATTCAAACTTGAAAGGAAAATTAATTGAATGTGGCAGCTTTAGAGGGAAAAAACTTTTAAACCTGATTAAAGCTCTTTTGTGCCACCTATAAAAGTAAGTCAGTAGTCTCAACTCAAAATTCACCTCTGGAAACTCTCAAGAATCAAGTAACAGAAATCCTGTTTTGAGTTTTAAGGCTTAAAGAACTTTTTGGTGTGATACCTTAATTTTATGCAGACAAACTAGTTAGTTTTCAATGATTCTGCAATGATATATTTCTTGTTGAAGGTGGTCAAGATTGTCTTGGATAAGTGACTGTAGTGTAAGCTGAAACAGGAAAGGTGTAAATAAAGGAAAGTTTCAGTATGGCAGAGAACTTAGCTATGTAGGAAGTATCTTTCTGAGCTTGTTGCTTAAACTGTTGAAGTAATTAGAGAGCTTACTTTTAGATCAGCAGTAAACTGGTTCAAGCCTAGTTGTAATGGAAAAAAGACACTCAATATAGAAACTCTAATCTTTGTATTGGGCAGGATCCATGCTGTTAGGATTTTTACCCATTAGTTAGGCATAAGGTAAAAAGCTTTAAGTGAACAATTAGTTGCATGAAAATTCCTTTCTTTTCTTGTCTGAAAAGCCTGGAAACTCCATTTGAAAGTCTTGCAACTTGACTTGAGCCTCAATCCTTGAAATTATCAAGTTATTCTCCAGAATACCTTGACCTTGGCATTGCAGAACTTTAGTAATTAATGCAGCTCCAGCAGCTCATTGTTGAATCAAGTTTATGATTTATTCATAAATTTTGTCTGAATTTCATTTTCTGTAAGACTTTGAGTTGAGGTTGCTAGAAACTGGTTTTTTCAATATCTTTGAAAATTTTTAGAAGTCCTGGTAGATGGACAGATGTAGGTTTGAAATTTTCTAAAACACAAGCATGGCTTTCAACTTGTGATGTTTGCAAGTCAATTTGCATGTGTAGCACTATAAGGTATGCCTTCTGGTCACCTGTTTCCTGTTTCATCAGAAATATAGTTTTAGTAGATGGTTTGTTTGTAATAACATCATTTGCGGAGGAATCTTGTTAGGGGAACATCATTAAAAATCTTTTGAACTTTTGAGTTCCAAGAATATCTGCTCTCTCAAGGGCAGCTGTTTCAGTTAGGATCATGCTTCTTAACCTGATTGTCTCTGCAATACTTATTTTTTTTTGTTAGCATAAGTCTAGAGGGGTGTTCAAATGCTTTTTACATCATGCATTCTAACAGTGCACTTGTACAGATTGGAAAAAAAAAAAGAATAAAAAAGTTGGAGTGAGTTTAGTATTGATCATTGACAAAGATTGGTGAACAAGATATATCTGTTGTCCCAAAGATAACTTGAGTGAAATATTGCACATTATAATATTCTCAAAGGTATAGAAAATTTTTATGCATTTTAGTATTTTAAATTGTTCACACTTCACATTATTTCCAACCTTCTCCCCACCTCCAAAAGAAAAATGAAGAAAGAAAATTCATAGATTTTTGTTTGGAGGTTACGTGGGATCGGCAGTTTGCAATTGTGCAAAGTTTTAAAGGCAGACAGTTTCTTTGGAGAAATTCTAGAAACATGACATGGAGAAAATGTATGCAAAACTTCTGGCATATGCAGGGTACTATTATGCTTGTGATTGTTTTTGGGATGAGTAATCTTTAGTTCTTGGCAATTAAATTTTAGTGACAATAAATTAGTTTTCTGTGAGAATTGAAACAAACCACCACCAATAAAAATAAACCCTAACCCTAAATTAATAGTTATGGTTTTTATTACTTTACCTCAGTGTCAAGCAAACATCTGGTACCTCTTTTGTGTTGGGAATAAGACATCTGCAAACTGACTTTCACATGAAGAGAGCGTGCATGAAGAAAGCTAATTGTGTCTGAAGCCCTGGTGATTTTCCAGAATTTTTCAAATTGTGTCAAAAATTGTCTTTGATTTGCTCCTATTAGTTTCCTAACTGTCGTTTCCCAGGTTTGAATCCTGAAATTGATGGTTCTTTCTGGTCAGAAATGCATGAGGAGATAAGCAATTCCACATAACATTTCACTTGTTTCTTTTTTTAGCCGAACTCCTGGCAGTAGACAACCATCTCCTACTTCAGGCCCTCAACATCAAGATGCTCAGCAGACCACCCAAACACAGCTGCCCACACAGCAACCAGTGGGTCAGAACAAAGCCAAACCCTTCAAACAGTCTGATGTTATGGAAGATATTGTCACGCCTGTGGCATTAATAGATCCTCTGGAAAGTGTACCACTGGAGCAACTTTCATTTGCACCCCAGAGAGAGCCTGTGGTGGGTACTCCTACAAGTCCATCAGATTTTGTTATGGTCTCTGGAGCATCTTTACAAAGCCATAATGCTCCCTCTCAGCATGGTCAGTCACTTCACTTGACACAACATCAGTTGGCATTAGCAATGGCTGCTCAACAACAGCAACAACAGCAACAGCAACAACAACAGCAACAACTTGGATTGCAGTCTGGCTTGCAATCCACTGGTATTGGCCATCCAAACCCATACTTCATCACAGCACCACCATCCCAAGATCCATATGGTAATCCTTCACTTGCTGCAGTCAGTGGCGGTGCCCATCAGGTGGTCCATCCTCAATATGCAGCTTATAGTGTTCAACCATGGGGTGTGTATTCTGCAGCTGGAGCATCAGGTACAGGAGGATACCTTCAACAGCAACAACAGCAACAACAACAACAGCATGCTCAGCTGCTCCGCTCTAACTCGGGTGGGATGACTGGACGGCCTATGCAGGGACAGGTGGAGATTATTGGGACTCCGCCATCACACCAGCAACAGGCAATGGCTGCTGCATCTTCTGGAACTAACTACCAGCTAGTAGCTCCAGCTGGGGCAGCCCCTTTGGGACTAGGAACTACTGCTTACTATGATCAGTCAGGGAACTTGGTGCTAGGGAATACACAAAATGTTAACAATATGGCAACAGCACAAATGGCAGCTAGTCAGATGGGAGCCCTCAGAATGGTATCACCAGTAGTGGTAAATGCCCAGAATGCAGGTGCCAATTCTGTCACTGGAGGACGACTGGGAAATGCCAGCTCAATGGGTGGTGCATCAACATTAGGGCTGTTTGGACAACAGCAGCAACAGCCACAATTGAATAGCAGTGCTCTGGGTATGCTGGGAGGTGTTGTGGGAGGTTCGTCTGGAGTTGGGGCTGTTGGTACCATTCCAGGTGGAGGAACTAGAAGAGATTCTATGAATGCTACTGAATATGGCAAACGAGCAGGAATCACCCAGTACTATACAACCCCGGGTGCTGTAAGCAGCCTTGCAAGTTTGTCAATCTCAGCACAACCATCTTACAATACTCCCCAGGAGCTGCCAACACCTCCTCTTCTTTCACAGGGACAGTCAGGGTTTGGTGGTCAGTCAGCATATGGCGGACAGTCAGGCTTCACTGTAGGAAGCCCCTTATCCAATGGACTCTCTCGTTACATGCAACTTGCAGCTGCTCCCAGAGATACTCCTACAAAATATCAGGGATCACTTGGTGGACTAGGTGGAATGCAATATGGCAGCTCAGCTTTAGGTGTTGGTAGCTTTAGAGGATCAAGAGGTAAAGAAACAGGGAGAAGTAGGCTTTTAGAAGACTTCCGTAATAATCGCTATCCCAACATCCAGCTGCGTGACTTGGCAAATCACATTGTGGAATTCTCACAGGACCAACATGGTTCAAGATTTATCCAGCAAAAATTAGAACGTGCTTCTCCTACTGAAAAGCAGATGGTTTTTCATGAAATCCTCCCAGCTGCTTACAGCTTGATGACTGATGTGTTTGGAAACTATGTTATACAGAAGTTCTTTGAGTTTGGGAGTCCTGAACAGAAGCATCACCTTGCCAACTGCATTCGGGGACATGTGCTGCCTCTTGCCTTACAAATGTATGGATGTCGCGTCATACAGAAAGCATTGGAGTGTATTTCTCCAGATGTTCAGGTATGTTAACCCTCAGTGAACACGTACTGTATTTCTACTAGAAATATACATCTAAGGATCAGGAAATTCACTCAGCCACAAATGGTGCAATATTAGTCTTAAATTGAAGTACTGAAATATAAAAATATCTTGTACAGTTTTGTGAAGTAAATTTTAGCTGTGCTGAATCAAAGCAATTGTGAAGGTATGATTTGTCCTTGAATTGATGTCCTGATAGATGGTGAGACACAAAGGCACTTATTTAACTCTTTAACTCTTTAACTATCATGAGTGACCAAGACAGAATTTCTCCCTACAATATTAATAAAATATCTAGCAGAAATGAGGTGAGAACAGAGAAAAATATCAATAAGGGGATTATAAGGTGCTCCAATACCAAATTCCCAAACTAACATTATAAGAATTTTATGGTAGACAGTAAGGGGAATTACTCATGTGATCTTGCAAGTGAAAGGGTTGAGAACTCTTATCCCTTTCCCTCCCCAGATCTCTTTCTTAATTCTCCTGACTGTTTGCTAAACAGTTCTTGTGATGCAAGTTTGGAGAATTTGGTGCTTGATCAGCTAATGATCCCCTCATTGATAGATATATATATATATATATAGATATATATATATATATATATATATATATATATATAAACCCCTATATATATATATATATATATATACACATATATATATATATATATATATATATATATATATATATATATTTTAATTCTCATACCTTGTCTACTTGATATTAGTCCAGTCCTTGTTACAGATGTACAGGTTTGTCCTTCCTCTTCTGTGTCACACAATAAAATATGTGTGAATATGTCTACCAGATGGGGTCAACAACACATTGTCTGTTTTAAATAGCTATGTTAACTTATGGTATGTTATGTGTTGTAGAATGATCTGGTCAGAGAACTGGATGGACATGTGCTGAAGTGTGTCAAGGATCAAAATGGGAACCATGTAGTACAGAAGTGTATTGAGTGTGTTGACCCATCTTCTCTTCAGTTCATTATTGGAGCTTTCCAGGCACAGGTATTTAGTAGATACATTTTAAAAACAGTTGTCGCTTCAATTGTAGGTATGTTAATGTCTGTGATGATAAAACATGCAGAAAAATTGTTGTACAAAAAAAACTTCAAGTTAACAGGATCTGTTAACCTTTGGCAGCTTTCATTGCGCAAAGGTTAGTGGATTGGAGTGGAGTGGAGAAAATTAATGAAGCATCCCAAGGTTTAACCCTTAAACCCCTAAGAGTGACTCACATCTAATTTCTCCTTACAATATCATCCCTGAATCACACATTAAGGTCATGAGAATAAAGTTTTGATTCCAAAGTTCCTACTTTGTATTTGTTTTTTTATTGATGGTGATGTTTATGAATAAATCTCTAAGTTAAGATTGTTAATTGTTAATGCCAAGTATTGGGAAAAGCAAACAATAGGGGGACTCTAAGGGAGCCTTTTCCAGGATTCTATTTTTCTGGAAAAAAGAACAAGAATAAAAGCTTAGTTTCTTTTTGTAAGTTTGCCATTTGCGACTTCACCAAACAAATTTTTTTCTTGGTTCTAAATATTCAAAGTCAATTCTCCATGATACCATGAAAATGACTATCAGTGATGTTACTTAACTTGTGGATAACTCATTGTTCCATAATTGCAGGTGTATGCCTTGTCAACTCATCCTTATGGATGTCGTGTGATCCAACGTATCCTTGAGCACTGCATGCCAGAGCAGACATCACCAATACTGAATGAGTTACATCAGCATACAGAGAGACTGGTTCAAGATCAATATGGTAACTATGTGATCCAGCATGTCTTGGAACATGGCACACCTGAGGACAAGAGCAAGATTGTGCATGAACTCAGAGGCAACATACTGAATTTTAGCCAGCACAAATTTGCCAGGTAATTTTGCTTTTAAGAATTATCTCAAAGCTGAAACAAAGGGGGTATCCATAGTAATTTCTTCAAGTAACAAGCACTAAAGTTATTTCAAGTTTGAAAATACTGAAAAAAGAAAAAATCAAAAAATGAACCATATGTTTTATTTATTACCAACAGTGCTCAATTTTTTTCAAATCTACCATATTTCACAAGTTTAGAAGATTGACTGTCTCTTTTTCCTTTTCTTTTTTTTTTTAGCAATGTGGTTGAGAAGTGTGTTACTCATGCTTCACGTACAGAAAGAGCTATGCTCATTGACGAAGTTTGCAGCAGCAGTGATAAGTAAGATGCAGTGTTTTATTTCAATTTTCCTTAGAATGTCAATAAATATGTGCCCCTAAAATGCTGTTACTTTGATCTTTTTTTTTAAATTTTTTTGAGCAAATTCTGATGTAATCTTTACTTTGACACTTGATCAGTGTTTGCAAGGCTGCAACTTCTTTAAAACACAGATATTCATGCCTGTATGTTTTGGTGGAGATTAACAAATTTGTACTTGATGTGCATTTTGTTTGGTTTAGAAAAGAGAACTTTTTATACTTAATAACTTTGGAAATGTCTTAAAGGTTGTTCCCAAACATATTTTGTTACTTCTAGTGAAAAATTTTTATTTCAGTATTTGCAGAAGGCGAAATGAATATTTGTGAATAATTGTCAAAGTAATTATCAACAACATTCATTGAGCCTGAGGCAAATAATTGTTTTAGTATAATTGCTCAGGTGCTGCTATAGATTTGTTTTGATGTTGAACCATTCTTTTGCAATAGCTTTGATTACTTTTATTGAGATAAGCAGCCAATTTCCATTTGAATTTAACAGGTTTATTTAATTCAGCAGGCAAAAGCTCAACATATATTTTGAAAAGTGGTATGTCAAACTCAGCAGCATCTTTTGCACTCCTTGGAATTGAATTTCTATAGCAATTTTAACTTCCTCTGTAACACTGACGAAATGTAAGGCAACCATTTTGAAATTTAGTGCTCTCACTATAATCATCATGTGCTAGATGATTATAGAAAGATGATGCAATCCCTGAGCAATCGAACTGAGTGCATCTCTAATCACTAGAGCAATAATAACTTTCTGTAGACTTGCTACTTTGGGAAAATACATTGATTTTTAATTCTTGACATGACTTTTTATGTTTAGTGCCTTGTACACTATGATGAAGGATCAGTTTGCAAACTATGTTATTCAGAAGATGATTGATGTGGCAGAACCACCTCAACGCAAGCTGCTGATGCACAGGATTCGGCCCCATGTGGCAACATTGCGCAAGTACACTTATGGAAAACACATTTTAGCCAAGTTAGAGAAGTACTACATGACAATGAAACCAACACCAGATTTCCTCCCTTTGACAAATGGTCCTTTGCTTTAGAAACATACTTGGTTGAAGGCACCCATTTTCTGTTTGTTTGTTTGTTTGTTTGTTTTTTTTTTGCTTAAATTTTTTGGAGATGTTTTTAGATTTGACATCATGAATATAGATCTATTGATACTGATCAAAACCTTGATTTGGTGAAATATTTTCATTCTTATGAAGCTGTAAATTTCCTTGTAAAACTGTAAAGAAAATCCTTTCTTATAGGTGTTGATCTTATATTTTACTCAATTTAAAATCTTTTGTCTCCAAATCAGTTCTCATTATTGACGTTCTCGGTTCAATTATTGAATTTTATGCATTGAAAAGCTTCATCTGTGTGTCAACTGTATCAATGAATGCAGTTAATTTTTTTTACCTGTAACTGTATAGGTAAAACGTAGTTGTTGCGTCTTTTTGATCAAGGGCAGATTGATGGTTGAATTTTATCATTTCAATGAACTTTTAGTTTTCTTAAATGGAATAGCTATCATTGATGACAGTTACATGTTAAATGTATACATTTGCTTAAGTAATAGTTAATAAAAATGCTAGGTCCGATAATTGTAGTATTTCCTTCCGCGTGGGAGGTAGATTCTTTTTGGTAGATAGATAGCACATGCATGTTATGTTAATAAACAAAGCTTATTAATTAGGAAAAATTACAGGCAGTCAAAGCCAGAGTCAGCAATCCTGTTATTTTAAGTGGGTTTCTAAGAGCTGTGAGTGTCCATCCCTGCAGTATAGACGTGTTACTATGAATCAAAGCCTGCAAAGATTATTTTAAATTTTGTTAGGTAAATGTACAATTTACCATTTTTGGCATCTGTTTTGACATTTAGAAACGGTTAATCTTTTACAAGATAAATTGTTTCCCATACTAGTTAGCAAAGGAAGTACATGCCTGTCAATGATTTTTCTGTAGTTTTCAGGTTGTTTGCAAAAGATAAGAGTGAAAATTATGTAAAGTATTTATTTGACGGGAAACCCAAGCCCATGTATGTAATGTTAACAGGAAATTGCTTGTACTTTAGGTTAATGACTGTTTGTTGGTAGAGGTTTCAATACCTTCACTGAAATTTCATGAGGCGTATTCGTTTATTGTTTCTTAAGTTGGAATTCCAATAGTTTCAACTAGAAGGTTGTTCCTTCATACTTAAGAACTTTTTGACAGTTGTACATGTTTCACTTACTGAAGCAAAAATGCTGTGACCATATTTGGGAAAGGGAAGGTGTAGCCGTCTTAGAGCGTTTTCACTCGCGTGGTGAGCAGCCTTGTGAATTAATTGGAAGAGAAGAAAGTATTTACATAAAAAGAGAGTTCAGATTATACAAGACTGACTTAGTGTACCAATAACAGCCACGTGGGGTCGGCCGGAAGCGATCTATAGGTCAGGGCTATGCTCTTCCCTTGCTTTTAGAAAATAATTTTTTCGAATTCTCCCCACTATTGTATTGTCTAAGGTGAATAGGCGAGGTAATTAGCCACGTGTTGTAACATTCAAGTTTCTATGTTTTGTAAGTATGTATGTGGATTTAATTCAGGTGGCAAACTTCTATATATTTGATTCAAAGAATTGTAACAAAATGTAAACTGTAACATTGCAATGTTTTTAAGGCCCTTGTAAGGAAATTCCTGTACATTCTGTACATTTGTAAATGGCCACTGGCGAGAGCTGCATTGAATTGTAACCAGCACACTGTATAGATAACGTAAACATACTTGTAGCGGCTATCGCAAGTGCAAGTGTTCAAGTGTTTTCATAAACGTTTCGGGGTCCATGGTTTGGATGTTCAAAGGTTGATTATCAGATACTTGTACTTGGGATGTATGTCGCTGGACAGAGCAGTTTTGCTTCGGTAAATATTTCGTACCACTGTTTATATGTATTCAGAGATATTAAACACTATCAAAACAACAAAGACAAATATATTGTAAGGATAATTTATCATTTTGATCAAGAGCGCTTAAAACTTTTTGCCGTTTTAGGTTTTAGGGTAATTTTAATCAGACTCGGTTTTCCTTTTTTTTTTTTTTTTTGGAGTCTCACGGTGTAATGAAGCAGAAAGGGTTAGTGTTTTTGTATGTTTTCTGTGTAAAACTGAACAAGTCCCGCCTTGTACAATGTGTGCGGTTGTGTAGAAGTATGTAAATGATGTAAAGAAAGTAGCCTTTTCAATTCCTGTATTAAAATTTAAAGGTGGTTGCACAAATAAATGATATTGTTTATCAGTTTTGTTTTGACTTCTTTGTAGAAAAGAAATCTCTGTTAGGTCATTTTTAAAAAAGTCGCCTCCTTCACAATCAATCTATCAGATGTCTCCTTATGTAATTTACTTCCTAAATACCCACGTTCTTTGAGTTCTACTTCCTTTTTCTCGCATCTTTGGCGGGAACCGATTTAACTTTTTGATATTGCAGAATGCCTATAGGCTGATAAAAAACTGAAATTCGTTTACTTTTTTCTTCAAAGGCGTGGCTCAAATATCACGTCTATCAGGCGTAATTTTGGTGAGCGAGTGCTAAGTATTTTCTTAACGAAAATTATAACCGCCACCTTTGGTACAGAAGAGGGCTTCTTGTACGAATATAGTAAATCCAGAAATGGATAACTACAACATAGTAAGCGGTCATATTACAAGCGATGCTCTGTGGGAGTAAGGCGAGGTATTGTTACTAAGAATTTGACTGTATTTTTTAATTCCTAGAAGCGATCGTTAATACTCCCATACAAACTCATAATTTCGCCATGACTCACATTTCGCAGGACGGTCATTTCACAGCTGGAGCTTGGGCTGCTTGTGGTCTTAATTTTCAACCTCAGTTAAAAGAGCAACCACGAGGCAAAATTAAGATTATTGACTTACTATGCTTTATGCACATGCTTTGCGCAAACCAGATTCAGCAAAACAAGCGTTTACGAAACAAACGCCCTAGTGATGATTTCGTGTTGGGTCTTCAGCGGACGGTGTGTTCGTAGTAACTGAAGGAGCGGTACACAAAACACGTCCTTTAAAACTTCTAAATGATGGTAAAAATTACCTGCTGACCTAAACACGACGAACTTCTCACTATAGCAACGAGGTATCGTGCAGGGCATTCACCATTGCACTGATTAGATAAACCCACCGCGATAAATTTTTAGTGTTCTTAGTGTGCGTCAGTGTTGATTTCATTGTAATATTTAGCGGCACACTAAGTCCATGTCACGATTAGCTACTTAAATAATTTCAAAAACATTCGAACAAAAATGGTCCAACATCTCTGCTGTAACATTTGATTATGTAGTCTGATCGTCCGGATGAGGGTAGTCCTGAGAAGGACTGTTGTCGTCAGTGGCGACTCAGACTGAGGACCTACTTTTCTCCTTCTATTCGCGAAAGTATTCACTGGTATCGTGGATCGCAGAAGTGAGCGAGATCTATAGCTTCTGAGTCATGTAAGCCTGAACAGAAACAATGCGTAGACCAGTTGTCCAAAGTTAACATAACTGAGGTTCACTGTAGTATCATTTAAGCATGGCGACGTCATCGTTTCTGCTATGAGGTTGACCATATGTACCTTTGGAGAGGTTAACACTGCAAGAAAATATCTATGAATAGCTTCGAACAGTCGAATTCTGAGCTACAGTGACTTTAACAAGCTCCTCAATTTTAAAGATCTCGGCCGACAACCAGTCCCTTTCACAATGAAAACTGGTTTTATTTAACCTGTTCTAAGTATTTATATAAGTTTCAAACAGTGAAAATTGATCTCCCTCAGATAAAGTTTAAAATTTATGTTTGCTCCATTTCTTGCAAATAATGTGATCCCACGACTAAGTGTGTACGCACTGCGGACCTACTTTTCTCCTCCGCTGAGTGAGTTCTAAAGCTTCTGCGTCATGTAAGCCTAAACAGAAACAATACGTCGAACAGTGGTACAACATGGCGGGTCAGTACCCTGGCTATGGTGGCTACAACCCAGCAGCTGGCTCAAATCCGTACGGAAATCAGCCTCATCCTCAAGGTAAGAACAAGGATTCTCCTATAACGCAGAATTTACTATTATTCAAATGAAAAAACTATTGTAAAAAATACGACTATTTTATTGTTTTAAAAAACTGTGAAGTGCTATATTGTTCATGTAGAAAGGTGTGTGAAGTTATCAAAGGCATTGTCCGGGATTATCGTTAAGATTATTTGGTTTCACCTGAATCACGTTTGCCAGTGTTTATTCAATGAAGGCCTCTTGAAAAAAAAAGCCATCTTTCTAATTTTTCTGTAAGGTAGCAACACTCTCGGGACCTTCTCAGTTCTAGAAATCCAGTGGGTCTCACGCTAACTTTCTCTTTAAATTCACGACATTTTATACCATCCACATACTATTTTTCACAAGTATGCAATAATTTTTTATCTCGCAAAATGTTTTGGACAGAATTTATTTGATCAAGGAGACATGTTCTAGAAAAGAGCCTTCCTATGTCACAGCTTAGAACTTAATGCCAGTTTTCAAAAGGAATGAAGCTAATTTGGGAAAATTCAAAGTGTTTGAAGAACTAAAAACCTCTTTTCCAAGCAGCAAAGTAAAGAAACTTTTTTAACTTGTATATATATATATATTGTTTTTCAAAAATCCTTCCAAGGTAATTTTTATGGGATGCAAAATAATCTGCATCTATCAAAACCAATTTTAGGTAACAGGCATAGTACATTTGATTTTATGTTTTCCTTTTCAGGTTATGGACAGCCTCCTGGTTACCCACCCAGCATGGGCTATCCACCTCCTGGTGGGGGGTACCCCGGGGGGTATGGAGGACCTTCTGCTCCACCCCCAGGAGCTGACCCTACCTTGTGGAACTGGTTTGTTACTGTTGATAGAGACAGGTCAGGTCAAATAACAGCAGATGAATTACAACAGGCACTGCTTAATGGAAACTGGTCCCACTTCAACAGTGAGACATGCAGGCTTATGATTGGTAAAGTGCCCTTTTTCTTTGACATTTACTTGTCATATTAATTTTGTCCTTCAGAACCCAAGTTTGTCTCACATATATACATTTTTTTATTATTACTTTTGAAGCCAAAGATCTCTCAAAGATCACCAGGTTTACCACACTTGCTGCTAATATTAAATTTGTGCATTCAGGCATCTCTTATTTGTTGTAAAACAAAAAAAAATCAAAGATGTATATTGATTTTCTTGTTTTCATATGTACATGTAAAAAGGCATTTTGGCCATGATTGGTTAGTGATTATGAACATCAATGGATCAATCTCTTGTTATTATCCAACTACACTTACTAGAGTACAAATGATGTGCCAATCAAGTACAAATATCACATAATATTTGGACAGTTGGTTATTTTACACTGTTAGAAAGCTAGTTCAACTAGTTTGCAACATGTGCTATGCTTTTCTATCTGCTCTGCTTTTCCTGTGGTTTTAAAAAATGCATATAAAATAAAGTAGTTGGGTAATAAATACCAACAACTTATTAGATGTTTTGATGTACCTGGTATTGCTGAGTGTTTTAACTTGTAGTTTGTATTTTGACCTGCCCTGCGTCAATCCATGATAACTGAATAGGTTTCCTTATCCCATTCAATGGATTTGGCCTAAAATTAGTCACTTTAATGTCAATGATTTGAGCAGATGAGTGGACCCCAAACCTACAGCAGAAATTGGCTGATTACTAGATAATGTTAGCCTGGATTCTTGACTCTGCCTGTCTACTCATTCAGATTTGGGATCCTAAGTCATCTGTATCAGATCAGGTTATCCAACTCTATGGAATTGGTTTTTGATAGTGATGGTCCTGTGCAATGAACTATTTGGCCACTAGGATATTTCTGGCAATGTGTAACCTTGTTAATTAAAAAACAATTTAACAACACTATAAATAGTATGTGTAAATGTCTTTTTCATAATATTTTAAGAGTCCTTATGCTCAATAACAAATGTATGGCTGTGTTTTTGTTGTTGGAGTATAGAAACTTGATGCCTGTGGGGAGGTGGTTGCATGGAGATGTTGAACAATCAATTACAAGTTGTTTAGTTTATGGCATGTGTTTTTATCAGGTATCTTTGACCAAGATCAGTCTGGTACTATCAGTTTCCAAGAGTTTCAACAACTTTGGAAGTATATTCAGCAATGGAAGGGTGCATTTGACAGATATGATTCGGACAGATCAGGAGCTATAGAGTCTCAAGAATTACATCGAGCTTTTGCTGAGATGGGTTTTAATGTTTCACCGAATTTTGTCAACATCGTCGTTACCAGGTACCTGCAGCTTCTTGCATATGAGTATAGAGTGGTTCGTAAATTGGTTTTTTGTTTGTAAACATCATCCTGCAATGTAAAATTTTCTTCTAAGCCATTTGCTCATGAAAGAGGATTCATGATATTTAAACTCCTTCAAATTTTAAATTAAAACATTTGCATTAAGCTGGCTCAAATTTCCCACCCCATGAATGACAGCCAAAAGCCTGTGGGTTGCCAGGCAGAGTGGGGTGGGGGTGTGTTGAAGCTTCTAATTGATCAGCACACAACCTATTGTAGTCACAGAATAATGTGATAGTGTAGTTTAATCGTCTGGTTGAGTGTAGTCCTGAATAAGCTTCTCTTTTTTTTTTTCTTATGCACTTTCTTATGCACTTTGACAGGTGTTGGATCGTGTCAGATAAGGGACTTGTCAGAAATTAGCAGGGGGGGAGGGGGGGTGGGAATTTTAAATTTGGGTTCGGAAATTAGGTGACCCAGGTGAAATTTGCTAACCCTCCCCTTGAGCTTGGCCTAAAATATCATGACCCTCCCCCTCTTGTATAAATGATAAAATCTAGTTCTTGCAATACACTAGGGTGCGTCAGTATTAGAAAACTCAAAATATATTTCTAATCTGTTCTTTGTCATGCTACATACATACATTTTCGATGACAGCATTAAGAGTCCGACTGATCACTCGACTCTCCTATTTCTCCCAATACAAAGTCTTCATCACTAGAACAAGTGGGTAATGCCTCATCCCCTTCATCTACCTCACATTCATCATGATCATCCACCTCTTCCAAATAAAGAACTTCCTTTTTCTTCTGTGGGTGAACCTCTACATGATCATGGGCATATATTTGCATGACCCTCCCCCTTTTAACTGCCCATTTTTCATGACCCCTCCCTTTTCTGAGGCTCAAAAAGTTGTGACCCCCCCCTCTGTTTCCACCCCCCCTCCCCCCCTGCTAATTTCTGACAAGTCCCTAATTAAAAAAAAAATGTTTCAAAGTTTACTAGGAAGCCTTCTAAATCACCCTTGTCTGTTTACAGATAAAAATTTTGTTGGGAAGCCTCTCTTTTTAGTTTGCATTACCTTTGTTTTCTCTACCATCTACTCCCTCGACATTGGTCCAATTATGGAGGCCTTTGCTGTCATTGCAGTCCTAAATCATTAGGGTTTTTTTGGAAAACACTTTGTGAAGTTTTAGAAAAAAATTAAAATGATATTCTCCAGCCTAGGTTGGTCTGTATTGGGAAAAACTGTGCCCTCTGTCTTGAGTACTGCCCTTTGTCTTGAGTACTGCCCTTTGTCTACAGCCTCAGGCAATACTCAAGACCTCAGGCATAGTTTTTCCCAATATGGACCTCCCGGTTGGTGAATGACAAACATATATTTTAATATTAAAAGAATGTTTTTGACCTATTTGTTTACCAGTTACTGGGCACATTGACACAAATTGGCCACATTGTTTCTAAAAGTTGATTTACCCTTACTTTGTTTATTATGAATATTTTGTACAGTTTATTTACTCTGTTCATCAGGTTTGATCAACATGCTCGTAGAAGTTTAAAGCTGGACAGTTTTATCCAGTGCTGTGTGATGCTGCGAGGACTAACAGATGCTTTCCGAGTTAGAGACACAACCATGAATGGCAGCATCACCATTAATTATGAAGACTTCATGTGCATGGTGTTGTTGAACAAGCCTTAAATTTGTGTTTAAACTGGATAAATTAAAACAGTATTGAATTCCCCTTTCACATCACACTTATTGTTAAATTGTAGACTCAACTGAGTACTTTTTATCTTTGAAAAATACAAACTACTGTAGGTGTTGCATATCTAATTTGGACAGCTTTAAAGAAAGTTTTTTAGAATTGTTGGTGGGCCAAAAAGGCTGACATCTATTGGCTACATTATCTCTTTAAAAACACCCTTCCTACTTTTGTTTGAGTGCAGTTAACCATTTATCCTGCAGAGTTTGGTTAGCAAATTCATCTGGATTAGTCCTGAATTGTTCAAATTTTTATAAACATCACAAAAATGAAAGTGTGGAAAGAAAGCCTTTTTTTCAAATTGAAAATTTGTTCCAATCACATTAGTATGGACAAGGGCAAAATGAAATTGCTACTAAGGCCTTATAAACCTCATAATTGTACATACATGAGATGTAGCTATATAGGTGTAAAATCTCTGTTATGCTGTTCATTTATTTAGTCCATAGAACTTTACCTGTAAAAGTTTACAAGTAGCTACTCAAGAAACCTCTTCACAGTGGATGTTTAAGAGATAAGCAGACAAATACTTCCTTTTAAAATTGGACATCCACTCACAGTGTGGTTAGGTGATTGCAAGTGCAGTTTTGAGTGTTTCAGTATTTACGACTCTTTGTTGTCTGAAATGAAATAAAACTCTCTTATTACTTACTCATGTCGTAATCCATTTTTTTATTATTAAGCATTTAATTGGGATGGCACTTGCTTAGGATGACTGAAACAAACTTTAAAAAAAAAATGGAAAGATATTTTCCTGGGGAAAAACTGTCAAATGAGGAGATAAGCTGCACCCCTGATTTGATACAAACATATTAGGAGAAAAAGTTGTTAATTCTCTGCTTTAAGGTAATTAATGATGCACAAGTTTTTCTCTCCACCCTTAATTTGTGACTGGGAGCATTTTTTTTTTCACTCAGCCAATGTGGTTTGCATTTTTAAGGGAATTTGATCTTTTGGAGGAATTATGATTCATCTTATTCATCTGATTCATTGGATTTAATGCTCAAACTCTGCAGAATTAATTGTTTGGTTATATGAGAAATATGTTAATTAAGGAGTGTTGACAATATTTATCTTGCCACAAATTCTTACAATATGCTTCTTTTGATTTTTTTTGTCTACCTTACTAAAAATGAAAGAAATAAATTATGATTGTGCATGTTTACTTGTAGATATATCCTTTACATTACTTTACTGTGACTTGGAAAGAAAGTTGCAAGAAGGAAATTATTTGGTTTTCAAACAGAATCACTCAGAGTTGTTTCAGTCATTGATGGCCATAAAATTCCTTGTTGTTTCCATTATTATTTTGAAGAATTTTGACTGTATTCACCACACAGCACCTGTATCACTTGGAAATAAAATTTTGTCTAGAGAGTTAAGAGGGCCTGAACAAAATGATTAGATTGGGTTTCAGTAGTTCAAAAAGAGGTCAGTGGTTGTGATGTGCTTCTCTTTCTACCAAAAAATTTAAATCCATGGTTTTTCTGTCTTTAGTGATGACCTGAATCTTGTATTAGTGTGTAGTAAAAATGTCTGGCCTGAATGCTGATCCACGTCACAGACTTTGCTCAGCCACAATTCGATGTCAATTTTATGCCATCTCTCAACTACAGAACAAATTCCTCTGATTAAACCAAAGCACAACTTGTATCTGACAGCAAGATCCACTGGAAAAAAATACTGTGTGGGAAAGTAACACATTTTATTCTCCCATACTGAAATTGTACCATACAAAAATAAATAATAAGATTTTACATTGATTTCATGAATTTCTTTACATCTGGCAGAGTTTTGGCAATACTGACAAACCTTCAATAGTATTATTTCACCAATTGTAAGCCTGAATGAATACTCCATCATTAAAATACAGAGACTACATAAATCTGTTTAAGAAGTTTGTTACCTGATGTTTAAAAAAATATAAAGGTCATCACAGGCTCACAACATTGCAAAGGAAACTTTTTTGTTGGAGTGACTATAAAAGTGATCTTAGTTATGAAGTATCTTTTCTCAGATTTGTAGAATTGTTGTTTTAGGTAACTTGTTAGAAAAAGCTATTTATTGTATACCTACATCTTTGTATGGAGAATCATCAGAAAAAAGTTTGACTTCATGGGTACAAATAAATGAAGAAAACTTTTATTCAGTCTGTTAAATATTGCATCAAACATGCTTGAACCAGAATTCTGAAGCCAAAATGTGAGTACATCACTACTTAAGAGAAAAACCTGTCTCTTTCTGTGATATATACAAGCTACACAATTCAGCTATAAAACATTTGGACGGTCTTTAATTAATGGGTGTTTAATGAACCTATATATGTTTCTGTCCATCTCTTGAGATTGGCCTGCAGAAAAAAAAAACAAACAAAAATTAAATTAATCTTAGACTCAAAACTAGACAACCAAAAAAATTGTAAGAATGTCAAGAAACCTAACAACATTTTTGGGGCAGAGATTCAGTGTCTGTTGTCCATATCAGAGAGGATCCATGGTGGGGAGTTTTTTTCCAAGTAGAATACATCTCTTGGAATTTTAACAGGAAGTAAACTGTCTGTACTGGAGAGACAACAAACCTAGAGAGATGTCCTTAAATAGAAGTTCAATTGACTGTACTTATATTAGAAAATTTGTGAAATAAAATTGATCAAACTGTGAAGAACTTTTCTTTTCAGTGGGGCAAACAGTCAAGCTTTCATTGACAATTTTAAAGTGAAAGTAGAGTTTCCTCACATATTTAAAAACTCTATGACAAAGGTAAACCTAAATCATTAAACACACCTTGCACCAAATCAGCGATTCTTCCAGTTTTTTGTAAATATACTTCATTTCCACATCACTGAATAATTGTGAGCTGATCTCTGAGGCTACAGGCTACAAAGAAATAGTTATGTTGTTAATGATTGACATGCCCCTGAAATTCAAGTTCCCCTGATTGTTTTTATACCTAAATTTGTGATATCTCCAGCTTCCAAAATACCACTAGTCTAAGCAAAACAATATTTTAGGTTGAATATACCATAAAACAAGCAAACCTTCACAGGCCTCAAGAAATAAGTTTGACCTACTAATGCTGACAAAATACTTAATAGTATATAGAATATACTTGATCTTAACATAAATTTAAAGTTTCTTCCCAATTGACTCTTTATGACCTTTTAAATATCCAATCACAGCATAGGCTTGAAAAGACAGCTTTGAAACTCTTTACAGTGGCTAATTTACATTGTTAACTTAGTTGATAAAACCAAAATTATCTTGTGTGGAATGTACACTGGTCACACCTTTGCCACCCTACAAACATTTGGTTGTAATAACAGAAAGGATTGAAAAAATGGCTGGACCATTGTTTAGCTAAGGACTTCAGAAAGTGGACATAATGATGTTAATGGGAGGAGTTCCACAGTTTATTGGATAATCTGTGCTCTTAGTGGTACTAAGTAGCTATAGGGGAAGCCACAGGGTCACCACTTATAAGCTAAATGTGTATAGATCCATTGAGGGTACCTGTTACATTCCCATCTTGTACTTTTTCAGCTTGTGAACATGTGTTTAGGCCTGAGGGGGGGTGGTAGTTGGGGGAGGGGGGGGGAAGGCACTTGCTGGACACAAGTAGATATTTCTGCAATGCTCCTCTAGAATAATACCATATAATAAAACTGACCACCAGGTTAAACTTACCATTACTTTCCTACTATTCTTTAATGAGACATCACGGACAATTTTCATGAGAATGGTTCCCAAGACCTGAAAAGCACATTGAAATTTCATCCACACCAAGAATTACTGCTGAAGACAATTTTGGTTTGCAATCACTCATCAAATATTTGTTCATGAATACAATAAAACACTCCATGACTTGTGATCTGATAACCTTGAATATAATTATATAAACATTCGCCTCCATTTGGTGTGAAAATAATTAGTAAATAAACCTCTTCTGACCACATGTTTGTTGGCTGATTATGTCTACGTTTGAGAGATTGTCCAAAAAAAGAATATTTGGCCAAGAAGTGAATCTTTCAGGGCAAATTTGAATACTGATTATTTGTGTATACTGATTACTGTGTCTACTAATTATTTCATTGATTATAAAAATATATCTTCAGGTACACTGTATAAACATGTACCTTGAGGTTAGACTGTGCCAGACCACTGGGTGTATTATCCATTAGTCCATACTCAGTAGGCTTGAACAGCAGTGTAGATACCAGTCCTCTTGAGATAAACAAGCCCAGCAGTAACATGGTGATCACTTCATTGGTCACTTTAGTTAAAGCACCTTGGTCAGTGAACATCATGCTATCCTGTATATCAGCATTAAAGATAACAGGCTCAGAATAAGATTTAATTGTGTTTTTATTGAAAAACTGAACCTGATTTAACCCTTTAACCCAAGATATTCACCATTAAATAAAAAATTAGTCACCTGTACTGACAACTTTTACTGGACGATGATTGCCTTTAACCCTTTACACCCTTACATAACATGCATAATCTCCAAACCGTTCTCTAGACATTGCCTAAGGTACTAGCAAGGAGAATTTTTTGAACAATCAAGAGTTTCTCTGGTTGGTGATCATTTCCTTTATTCTCATGACCTTACTGTGTGATTCAGGAGTGATATTGTTTGGAGAAATTACATGCTAGTCACTCATAGGGGTCAGAGGGTTAACAAAGTGACTCAAGGATTGTTACACCTGTCTAGTAATCAGTTAAATGGACAAAAACTTTGACTGATTATAACCATTACAATTTCATCAAATGTGATTGGTGCATTGGCTGCTTTATTTTTCACTAATTATAAGTGTAGTGTTGTAATCAGACAGTTGTAGTTAAAAACCTGTAATTGGACAGTTAAAGCAGCCAATCATATTAAGTCCACTCAGCCAAATCCATCAACCACAGAATTAATCATAGTAACCATAAAAACTGAGGAATTTCAAAAAATGGAGGAATTCTTTACTGAAGACATTGTCTCCACGAGAAATATTTTCCCTAATTGTATTTTTTATGGAATTGTAATGGTTATGATTGATTGGTAATGGGACTTTGTGTCATCCAATTCATTCAATCCAATTTTCTTAAACACTTGTAAGATTACAGACCAAATTGGACTCCACTTGGTTTATTACCATTATTAATTTTGCTCCTCACCTAAATAATACTAACCCCTCCCCTTGTAATTCTTATAAATTCATATGACTTAAACTTGCTATGTCTATACAAGACATTGGCACCCAGGCTGGGGGGAGGTAGGTAAGAAATACAAACTGAACAATAAAGGAAATATTTACACGTAGCCTTCAACCTCTGTCTCAATTACCTTTGTGAATTAAACTTTACAAAGGGTCCTCTTTCAAATACCTTTTCAACTTGCCACAGGTAGTTTGGTGGTAGAAAGACACCTTCCTGAGTCATAAGCCACAAGACACCCTCTCTTGAAGCACTTAAAATTCCAGTATCAGGTTTAATCTGAATAATATCATGAATAATGGTCTCAACCATGGATGAGAGTTCTTTAAAGGCACTTTGAGAATCCTTTGAAAGTCTCTGAAAAACACCTGGATTTTTTATGTAAAAATCAAAGGCTTCATCTGTAATAGCATCTTGAATGGTAGAGTACATGGACCAGTCATGGCTGAGGTAGTATTCTCTATGAAGTTCATCAATTGCTTGTTTTATAAGACTGTTGAGGTTTTCAGTGGCACTCAGCTGCCTTTGATGAGCTTGTTTTAAGAGTGCTATAAGAATAAAACATGCCCAGGCGACATAACCAACATGACGTAATTTTCTGACCCTGCTAGATCCAGGAAATGGATATGGTTGTTCTTCATTCCAGTGAACTTGGTTACTAAGAAATCCTTCTGGTCTTAGAGATAACCGAGGTTTCATTGGTGTTTCTGGAAGTCTTTCTGTTGGTCTTACAGGAGTTGCAACACCTCTTGGTACCTGAACACAAATGACAGTGACAAAATACAAAATTTGTGACTCATCATGATAATTCATCATAAACACAGTATAATTAACTCCAGGCTACTGACTCTATCTCGCTTTTTCCATCTCAAATGAGGCATTTATTTAAGGGAAGCAATCATGAGAGGGTGGCACTCATTCGAGTAATTACTGTAAGTATAAATCAGCCACACACTGATCTGAAAGGAAACAAATACATGTATCTGTTATAGACAGTAGCTTAACAAGATAGAAAATAATTGCATTTCATATATACAGGTACAATGAAACATTTAAAAACTTACCACTGCTTTTGATGAAGGATTTCTTTGAGCTGGATTTCTTTGAGCAGGATTTCTTTGAGCAGGAACTTGCAGGTGGTTTGCTACTGGCTCAGGTGCAGCTAAAATCAAAATTTTAGCCCATAAGAAGCTTGCTTTAAGAGGAAAGACCTCAAGAAACAAATGTGAAACAATGGAGAAATAATAACAACCAATGAGAGATTTTTTGGGCTATGTAGGACATTAATAAGAAAGTTAAAAAAAAACAGAAAAGGTGCAGAATTAAATGCTAGTATAAAAAACTGTGAATTTTATCCAACAAAATTATTTCTGCTGTTGAAATAATTAAATCAAAAAAGTACCTCTTGGGTGATTCCTGTTTGTTGCATGAGTAGTAAATGGAGACATTTCCCGTTGACCAATTTGTTCAATCTCCACCGGTTTGACAACTGACAAGCTTTATTGTAGCATGTTGGTTAAGGGAAAACGAAGAGAGCCACTCATCAATACAACTTGTTATAAAACATTATTAACTGAATGTCATTGCCCAGACTTACTGCAATACTCAATAACTGTTTTTAAAGAAAAAAATATTTATTTAGTAGTTACTGAAAAAATAAAGAGAAAGTATAGCCAGCTTAGGAGCCTGGGAACCATTCCAGCCAAAATTTATCCCAGTTCTAGAAGGTTGAAGCCCTTGACAAGATTCCCATCCATCTCAGGGTTTTCCCTAATATTCCAAGAGGTTTCCCTAAATGTTAGCCACTACCCAGTTACACTGGGTAAATAATGAAACTATGAAATTTTAGTGCCTTTCCAAATAATACAACCCAATGACCCCTCAATCTGCAGTCCAATACACTGATCACTCAGCCATTGTGTCAGATAAATTTGATGGAAATAACAGTTACTAGGGACTGAGAAATGGAATAAATATAAAAAATTAATAAATTTTATGTTTATGAAGTATCAGTGTGTTATAAAAGTTTTACATTAAAGCTACCTTTGCTGTTGTGTTCCTTCTGTATTGATTGATTTTCCAGGTTGTAAGACCATCTGTTGCAATAATAACTGTTGAAGCTGTACATTCTGGGACATCATACTGGCCATCATATCTTGGAAAAATTTAAAAAACAGTGATCATGGTGTTGTCCTTACCACATCTTGATACAGTTATAGAATATCAACAGGAAAAGCTCCCTCAAACTGATATGAGATACCTGAGTGGGTTTTTCTCAAAGCACTAACTAAAGATGTTTTCATGTAAAATCATATTTCAGGGTATCATCATCCCATACAGGGAATAAAACCATTCAAATGCGTTTTGAAATGTGAAGTTGAGAAAAGTAAGCTGCAGGAATCAAATTACGTGCATGCTCTAAGTCATGGTGCCTATATGTGATTCACTTTGGCTTGTATGAATAAAGCAGCAGTTCTGATTACATGTTGCACTCTTGAGTCACTGGTTGGTGCAATACAAAGGTCATTAGTAATTCTTATTCACCCCTATTAATGTCTGATATATTTTAGTTACCTTTCATATAGTCATCATTTTGGGTTTGTATTGATGGCTTCTGCAGCTGCTTCTCCCTTTCTTCCTTTTGCAAAAAAAAATTATGTTGTAGAGATACAATCAATAAAGGGTGATAGAAAAACACTTTTAAAGGAAAGTTAAGAATAAAAAGTTACATGACATTTTGACAGCTTCATTATCATCATCATCAAATTTACATGTTAAAGAAACAAACTTATTAAGTGATCCAATCTACAGTCCCCTCCAAACCTAGGCCATACCACATTGGACAGTCTCACAATGCCTTATAAGGATCAGACAACTGGTCACGTGGTTCCCACTTAAATTTCATGATCATGAATCATGGATGGCATCCCACCTTATAAGGCAAAAAGATCACTGATGTGATTGGATAAATATAATGGTAGCTTCTCTCAGTTAAGCAACAGAATCTTGTGCAAATTTAAATGTGGTTTGTATGGTGCAAACTATATTCATTTCGGTAAAAAACACTGTTGCCTCTATCAACATATACAGGAACATAAACCCTCACTAATCAAAAAACATATTTGATAATGTACATAATCTGAGACCTGTGAAAGAGGTTGCTAGCCATCCTAAAAAATGCACTACCAAACTAGGTAGAGAAAGGCACTTTGAGGATACACTGTCTCACCCCAAAAACACAACAAAATGGCCCAACTAAGGTAAGAACCCACACAGCTTTATCAAACATTGAGCATGTTGAACTCTCAACACTACATTTATTACAGTGAGAGATGCAAAGAATAGGTATACTGTACCTTTACTCTTTGAAGAAGTTGTTTACTCTTCAGAGTTTCAGCTTGCAGTTGCTGATGGAAACCTACACAACCATAAAAATAACAAAAAGTTTCTGTGGCAAAATCATGTGGTAGACATAATCTGATAATACAAGGAAAAGGAAGTAAATGTAGGTACTTCTAATTAGTATAATGCATTAGGCTTAGTTGGTTGAGAGTATTCAATTATTAAACAAAGTTTACATGATAACTTCAATATCTATGTATTAGCAGAGATTGCATTTCTCATGACCACTTTTAGGTCTGCCTAGTTTTCAATCCCCTCGTCTATGTAGTCCCCTCGTCTCAAACTTTTAAAACTCAGAGAGATTGCAGATTACTTAAAAAAAATTTATGAAAATACAGTTATTGAATTCGCTTTTGCATGATATCATGAATTATCAAACCCTGTGTCCACGTTATCTTCTGCCTCAGTCTTGGACTTCGGCAAATAACTCAGACCTCAGTTTTGATAATTAATGATATTTTGCTCAACCTCATCCAATAATTGATTCATATCATAAAATGACCATTTGATGAAAACGTTTTCAAAAGCAATAGGCGCTCACACTCGTGCTCTCTTGCCGAACAAGGTAAGCCGACAACTTTAATAGACGAAAGCAGAAAAATGGCTCTTTACCCTTGAAACCAATACCGTTACACTTGTGATATCTATTAGCTTTAGCTATCCTCACCAGCTGTGGAACTTGTCATTGCAGGTTGATCATAGAAATCTATGCGCTGTCCTTCTACGTTTCCACTTGACTGGCTTCTCATTTTCTTAAAATTGACCGCAGAGGACAGAAAACCACGAATTAAATCAAAGCTTGCACATTTAATGTCACAGAATTGAACTCACTTGTTGGAGCATTTTCAATCGAAGCTTTGTAAGTTCATCCTGAATCCTTCCGTCCGCCATCTTGGTTATCTCTCTCGGACACATTATACACCAGACATATCCAAAAGTATGGCCATTCTTATCCGCTGACCACTAACAACTTCACGTGGCAAAGAGCGATTCTCCGAGCACCATAAGATTACAAATAATCGAGGATAGCTCTTGCGATCATCTGAACAAATATGAGAGGTATTCAAATATTACAGCGGAGTGGGAGACAAGTCTGTCAAATTCTTACAGTTCAAAGATGTCATTATCATGACATGTCAAGGGCTTGTGTGATTGGAACTGGTGCTGAAAACTTTCCTGAGTTTGAGGTAAGTTCCCCTTCTTACAGAGACCGTACTTATTGACCAAAATATTAAAAAGCCGCCTACCTCATTTACACCATACCTTTTCCTCAGTTTGTGAACGCCTAAGGTAAAGAGCCTCGAGTAACAAATGTGTTGCTAATAAAACATTCGGAACAGTTTTGCATAATAAAACACATATGATAGAGATGTTACAAAAGAAGAACACGTCCGGCCACAATTTGAACCAAATAGTAAAGTTGTTTATCCTCGATTAAGCTTCTCCCCTCAATAATTGACCCTGTTCTAACCGTGAAGGTTCAAACTTTAGCATATACATTATATATTCAGCAGAATCTACGGTCCTTTAATGACGTCAATGGGTGGGTGTGAGAGGGGGTGTAGCCCGTGGACGCTCTCCACTGAACGGACTCCATCTTATACTAGACTTTCCCTTTCATTTTGCTAGTTGTTTTTTATTATTATTATCTTTAGGCTCAACTGTTGCAATTGCCAGAGTTTTATGAAATGTCTGCCTTTTACATACAATTCTCACTTATCTACGAGAAGATTAAATAAAGTACCCTTAAATCGTATTTATGCATAGACCAAGCAAAATATTATGCTTTTGTAAAAGGCGATGTACTTTTTGCTCATGCCTAACAGGACAACAAGGCAAAGATGGCCTCTGCTGTTCAAGACCTGGAAAACACTATTGCCAGAATAAAACAAGGTATCAATCTTTAACATTTAGACATGAGTAGGGGCCAACTTTGATGCACAGGTCTTAAGTCTCTTTATTAAAAAATGTGAGTCTCTCAGGTACAGGATCATCTCTCATATTTGACTTAGTTTCAGAAATTAAACCACTTGTTTGTGTTATTGTTCATTAGCACACTAAATGTAATTTCAGTGAAAAGCACAAGATGGTTTGTTTGAATGTTAATGAAATACAGTATACAGTTGCTTAATTGTCAACATGTCTGTACCTACCATCTGTTTTGGAGGCTTGAGACATTGACTCTCACTGCTGACATTTTTGCAAAAGACTCAGTCATGTCTGATGATGTTCTTGTATTTCCAAGGGAATGTTCTGTGTCAAAGTTTCTGTAGGCAGTTGAATGAGTTGACACAAACTTATCACCCGTGCTCCCTCTTTTTATTTAATGTATTGGTCAAAGCATGTGTGCAATCATTTGCATGGACTGTTGTCATCTCCCAGTTGTAATCTCTCAGATAGTTGTAACCTCTCAGTTAGGGCATTGCTTGCTGATACTTTTCTCAAGTTGTAAGAAATTGGGTGGCAAAGGTGTCAAACAGGGTGAAGCAGAAGGTTTTGATCTCCAGGCAAGAGATTGTGTTTAAGAGATTAGAGTTGGCATAAATATATATCTTAAGTATTTTAGTAGGGAAAAGTGGCCACCAACTCTTATGAGCTTATTTTTTCAAAGGTGGAGATGAAAAAGCAAGGAAGAGACACACATCTAAAGGAAAATTGTTACCAAGAGACAGGATATCCTGCTTGTTGGACCCTGGGTATATTTCTGTTTGTTTTGTTTCTTCTTTCACAGTGGTAAACAATAACCACTTATAACAACATAAATGTACAGATAGCTAGGACTGATGCATGTTAAGAATAATATGATTTAGTATTGAGATTAAATTTAGAATTTAATGTTTATTTACTAATTTAAGATTTAATTTGATCTTTTTATTCTTGGGGTTGAGGAGGCAGAGGCAGGATTGGTGCTTTTTTTTTAACAGGGATGAACATGGTAATCCTTGCATGCAAGTATACTTGTTGTTGTAGACTAAACAGAAATGGCTGAAAGTCAATGGAAGAATACTTTAACAGTGCATTTCTATTGGATTTATAGTTCACCATTTCTGGAATTGTCTCAGTTGGCTGGACACAAGTTGTACGGTAATGAAGAGGTGCCTGCTGGGGGAATTATCACTGGCATCGGTAGAGTGTCAGGGTGAGTTAGAAATTATCCACACCAGTAATTAGTAACAGTTTTTCATGTCACACTATTGTCCTACTGAGGTTAGTTCCAAAGAGAAATACTTCTCTTGAACATGAAGGTGCCTGCTCAAGATATCAAAATTTTAGTCACTGTCATCAAAAACAGTGTTTTTGATGATTATCCTCAACTACACAACCACAATACACAATAGATTTGTCTTCCAGATGACAATTTTTAGTGTGAAGGCTTTTTCAACAGTTATGAGGAATTTGATTTTTAAGGTTATATCTATATCCATATGTTGGAATGGAGTTTTAAGCTCTTGGTCTTTTTTTTATATAAGTTAAGTTTTGAATGATGTGTTATGACTTGAAGACTGGCATAGATATGTTTACAGTCTAAATGTTGTCTAACATTTAAAATTCAGACTGCAATGACTGAAAAGGAACAGCTGGATACTGTTTCTGCTTGGTCATTCATCATCCTTTATTTACTTTTCTGTCTCAAATATATTTTGTTCATCATGATATGAGAGAAGACACTGTTTTCTGTGTCTCTATGTTGTAATACCTACAATATCTCATTTGTTATTTTTCAGAGTAGAATGTATGATTGTTGCAAATGATGCAACAGTTAAAGGTGGAACATATTACCCAATAACAGTTAAAAAGCATGTCAGGGCTCAGGAAATTGCTCGGGAAAACAGGTTACCTTGTCTTTACCTTGGTGAGTTGATTAGAAACCATCAAATACTTGTCATCGGTTTTTTTTCTTTGTGTCATCTGTTAACCTTGATTCAACCCTTTACTAACTTTGCTTTCCATGGACAATTTAGCTTTGAGCCAGGACAGAAATCCTTTACATTTTTGTTGCGAAATACTCAGATCTGATTGTGTCACTGGCATTTTCTTCCCCACATCTGTTGGGATGTACTGTATATATAGCTGAAGAACTGTTATTAGCAGTGTGTATGTTTGTGTCTTGTATAGGCATGATTAGCTATTAGTGTTTGATCCTTTTAGTTTGTGAAAACTTGTTTTTAAATAAAAGTCCTTCCATCTGTTGACTTTTCAGTTGACTCAGGTGGAGCTAATCTTCCAAGGCAGGCTGAAGTGTTTCCTGATAAACTCCATTTTGGTCGCATATTTTACAATCAGGCGACTATGTCATCCAAAGGAATTACTCAGGTACACATTATTCCTACTTTTATTGTTTTAAGATGATGAAATAAGTTTTAGCTCAGATAGACAGAGTCAGTTAGATTCTATACTTGATTTAAAAGATCTAAAGACATGTGCATAGCTGCTCTTGAAAGTGGAATTTTTGATTTGGAGTCAATTCTATTTCACTTAATTTACCTTTCAGGATTATTGCATGCACTGAACTGCTTTTATTTGCCAACTTTACTTAAAAATGAAAAACAGCACTTAAACACCTAATTATGCTTTAGCTCACACAGTCATCATGTCTTGTAATGACAGCATTGTTTGATCCTCAGATAGCAGTAGTCCTTGGCTCTTGTACAGCTGGTGGTGCGTATGTGCCTGCTATGGCTGATGAGAGCATCATTGTCAAACATCAGGGGACTATCTTTCTTGGAGGGCCACCCTTAGTGAGTATGAAAGTTACCAACTACAGCTAAGTTTATTATTCTAAACTTGATATGCTGGCCTAGTAAAGTTTACTTTGGGTTGATATGCTATCACATCACAGAGGAAATCATATTTAAAAGGTTTTAAGGTTTGTGTTATTGACAATTCCATTTATTAAGCCATTGGAATAATAATCACTGACAGGAATAGCTAGTACTTAAGAGCAAATCAATAACAAGGTGACTTGCAACAATTCAGCCTCTTGATCATTGCCTTAAAGAAGACTAGCAGTATTCTGTCAAAATATTACATTGTGACAACATTACACATGGCAAGTTATGACACATCAAAATTACTGCTGTTTAAAGTACAATGAATAACTACAGTCTTTTTTAGCAGTTATTAAGCTGTGGTTCATATGATAAATGGGTTCAGGTTATTGACAGAAAAAGAAATAAAATTTTTGGAAGGGAAAAGCTCACTTGAATTAAGCAGAATTTAAAGTTATAAAGGGGTGTGGTTTTTGAAGGTAAAATTTGTGAAAAAATGTAGTGACCAATTTCAGAAGTCAACTGCAATCATTTCAAGTTGCCAAGGGTGTGAGACAGGAGATGTAACAAGCAATTAACCAAGCTTGATTTTATGAAATAATCACCATTATGTTACTGTTATTCACCTGTTTGCCAGGTTAAAGCTGCAACAGGGGAGGAGGTGTCTGCTGAAGAGCTGGGGGGTGCTGACTTACACTGCAAGTATGTACCTGTTCTAGGTTTCCTTGATATTCCTACAATATGACTTTTATGTGTAGAAACAGGTTAATTAAATCAAGAGAGAAAATTTCAAAGTAGCCTGTAAGACTTTAGTTGTAAGCCACACATCTATGGCCAAAATTAGCACACATATGTACTTATGGTTGTTGTTAGTAGTCATGGTAACTTAATTACCAAAATCAACTTCATGTCTTCTAAGTACCACTGAACTGAGAGATAACTTACATACATGATGAGGGTCTGGGAACAGAGCTCATACATGGGAAAGACTACTGTTAACTATTGGAATTATTTGTAGATTATCTCTTAATCATTTAAAAGCAGCTCCTAGCAGTTCCAACTTCTAACTTGAGTCTTCTGAACTCTGAAGTCATGATCAGCTACAGTGATCTCAGAATATTAGAACACTAGACAGTGAATTGAGTGGATTATGTGGGAGCCTGTGTGCTTTTTGTTTGTGTTTGTTGTTGTTGTTGTTGTTGTAATGGGCTAAACAACTCCTAAATAACTGAATGCCTTAATATGAAATGATTACTGACAATTTGGTTTGTTGGGTATTAACATTCCTTCTGGGTGTCTTGATAGGATCCTTTTTGGTAAAGTAACATTTCAAGCTCCTGTCTGGTAAAACCAATGGGCTTAACTTTGACCTTTTTAACTAAAAATATTGAAAACATGATGATTGACTCTGCAGAACATCTGGTGTGACAGATTATTATGCTGTTGATGATTTTCATGCCCTTCAACAAGCTCGACAGTGCATTAAGAATCTTAACTACCAGAAAACTTTACCAGTACATGTAAGTTACTTTATTGATAACATGACTTGTTTACTGTCGTGCATGATCCATAAGGGAAAAATAGAATGAGTATCTTCAAATTGGTAAGATGGCTGCAGTCAGCTTGTATATCAATTTCCACTTGACAGGATGGCTGCAATCAGCTTTTCAATCCATTTCCACTCACAAAGGCTGTCAAAAAAACAAACATTTCACAATGATAATAAAAATGATAATGATGATGATGAAGTTGCTATTTTATGAATGTTTCAAATTTCTGTAACTGTAAGGTACCAAGGGAACTTCCTAAGGAGCCTCTTTATCCAGCTGATGATCTTTATGGCATCGTAGGTGACAACTTGAAGAAACCTTTTGACGTAAAAGAAGTAAGAAAATAAAAGTTAAAAATAAGATATCTAGTCAATGGCAAATAAATGGTTCACATGGTTTTTTTGGACTTTTATTTGAGTCATTTTATTTCAAGGCTGAGCAATAGATCTCTAGCTAAACAGACAGACATTCATGATAAATAATTCCCTGTAAAGTCCTCCAGATGACAGAAATGTAGTAGCATTAATAATTACAAGTACCCAACAATATTACATTGAACTTTCTTCATCAGTTACTACTTCTCATAAGCAACCAGCAGCTGCTTCAGATCTTGTGCATGCTGTTAGGTCATAACTGATTGACATTCAAACCCTCATGGGTAACTTGGAGCTTTTCTTAGTCGTGATGTTAAACATCTTTCTATAAGCAAAACAAGTGCAGAAGAATAAAACTAACTTATGGAGGGTCACAAGAGTAATGACTTACAATCTTCATGTGATGCATGTGAACCCCAAAAATGTCACTTCTCATAACCAACCATTCCTGTAAAATTTAGATATTTCTTTTCCTGGTGGTCTCCAATCAACTGAGATTCTTGCCCACTAGGTTATTGCAAGGATCGTTGATGGAAGTCAATTTGATGAATTTAAAGCCATGTATGGAGACACTTTGGTGACAGGTGCGAGATACACATGACTATGATGTTCGACTGTTCACATGATTTATTATCGTTATCATTAATATTATTGTTGTTTTATTTGGAGAGAAGCTGAAATTGAGAACAAGGTGCTCGTGATATTTTCAATTTGAACTCACAGTTTAGTATTAATAAAAGCATACCAAGTATTAATAAACAGGACGTTCATGGACAGGTATGAAATATTCTGCTAAGATAACTTGAAGTTAATTTTCGTATGGTCTTTTTATGTTTGTTTTTGTTGCAAAGGTTTTGCTCGAATTCATGGCTATCCTGTAGGAATCATTGGAAACAATGGAGTTTTGTTTTCTGAATCAGCCCTTAAGGGAGCACACTTCATACAGCTGTGTTGTCAGCGGAAAATTCCTCTGCTTTTTTTGCAAAATATAACAGGTAAATATGTTAGAGTTAAGACACTGTTCATTCAGAATTTAGTGGCAGCTATAGTTACATTTATAAAATAACGCAACCGTTATAATATACCACACAGAAACCATGAAAAAATTGTTTTTGTCAAGTTACCAAAATATGTCAGGAAATTAAACTCTTGAGGCAATATTTGGCCCCTTTGACTGCTTGGAGATGAATAGTACTTGCTAATCACTTCTGAACCAGCCAATCGGCGCGTGCGAAAGACACCATTTACCTTAAAGTGGTATATGCGTCATTAAGTACTGACATGTCATAGGGCACTGAGCTCAGTATATTCTTTATTCACGTTGAAGGAAAAATTTGTTTGCCTTTTAGGTTTTATGGTTGGTAAGGATTACGAGGCTGGTGGTATTGCCAAAAATGGAGCAAAAATGGTAACTGCTGTGTCGTGTGCACAGGTACCAAAGATAACTGTTATTATAGGTGGCAGTTTTGGGGCTGGAAATTATGGAATGTGTGGACGAGCTTACAGGTAAGGCTAAAGAAATGCCACCTCTTACAGAAAAGTTTAATAAGGACACTGGGTGCAGCATCCTGGGTTTCAACAGCTAAAAAATATCGGCATGCAAAAATCTACAAACATTTGTCAAATATTAAAGAAAGATGATTTTTGCTTTGTCACGGGCGAGGAAAAAAAATCCGAAGCCCCACGAGGAATCGAACCCTAGTCCTTCGGCTCCCGCCCTCGACGTTCCACCGCTGAACTACAAAGAGCTTTATGGCCAGTTAGGTTACAATAATATTGATGTTTAGTTTATTTTTCGCGATTATCAGATAACTATTTCTCAGAAATTAAAGCCACTCAGAAACTTTAATAAGTTGTTTTCGTTGTGACGCTGATTAAAAAACTGTTACAAAAATAGTGATATTTTGCAAATACGTTTCGTGAAAGGATTGCAAACACATCAAACAACCCTTTCTGAGAAGCAAAATTTTAAACAAGTTCAACAAACATATTAAACAAACTTGTTGAACAAATTGTTCTAGTTGAGTACTTGTGGATCAAAAGAGTGGACCGGTATGTCAATGCCATAACCTATTCCTGAAATGTCTTCTAACCATGAGTCCAATTAATTTTTTTAGTCCCCGTTTTCTGTACATGTGGCCAAATGCTCGTATTTCAGTGATGGGAGGAGAACAGGCAGGAACAGTACTGGCTACTATCACTAGAGACCAGAGGGCAAGGGAAGGAAAACAGGTTGGTCTATTGTCAGCTTCAAGCAATTTAAGCTCAACACTACCGTTAAAAGCGCCATGAATTTCGAGTACTTTTTGTGGATCCAGTTGTTTTGTCGGCTCTATTTTTCCTTTTATGAGTAAACACCATCAAAAGTGTTGCAACTTGTGTTTTGAAAAACTTTGTCAGTTCAGTTCTGTTGTATATCGCGATTACCGCACTCTGTGCGATTAAAATACTTTGTGCAAAGAACTCTTTTAGTGACATGCCGCGAACTTGGAATCTGCATAATTTTAGTTGAAATAGTTTGGGGTATTTGTTTTGTGTTTATTCGTTTCTGTAGCTTATTTATTCATTTTTGTTTATCACTCTTGTACTTGTATATTTAGGAATCAGGTTATCACAACCTTGAGTCTTCGATGGTAAAACGTTGCCTCTACTTCACAACAAGTTCGAATCGGCCAGTTATCTTGTTATAGAAGTCATGAATTTACTCATGGTTTTAAAACAAATTTGCTGTCTAATCAAAACGGATGATAGCACTTTTTTGAACAAATGACTGCGTAAGTGAATACTGCAAACGCTAATCTGTTCAACTACTTATTATCCCAAAGTTCAAATGCCTTGAGTGAAAGTAATGTTGAAACCATAAGGAAATCGGCGCAAAACAGCTCAATGTAGTTTTAGTTTAATCCACCCAGCAACACGGACAATTCAAATGGTCTTTTCAGTCCTTCATCGATGCAATCAATCCCTTAAAAAGGGAAACAGAAAAAAAGAAAACTTAGAGTGCTCCCAAAAGGAGTCCAAACTTTGATCTTCCAATATTTACTTCGGATGGTGTGCGCTCAGCTTTAAGGCTGGGTAAGGCTTTAAACCAGCTGATTCTTGCGACATACATTTAAGGAACGGATTGAATTTGATGGTGAATACGGATGGAAATAAAAGCCTGCAGATGTAACAATATTCGAATGGCTAAAGCTCAAAACCTCAGCCTTGAAATGCTTCATGGTGGCTAATTAACAATATCAACTCAGTTGATAAAACCAAATGACCCTGTTAAACTCCCTCACCGACGCAGCACCACAGTTTCTCTAGAAAGTTACCCCCTTTATTCAGATCGATGTAACAGTAACCTAATATAATTGACCAGGCTGAGGCTCAGCAGCAGGCTTAACATTTAAAGAGATTATCGGAAGATCGTAGCCTTATGTCCTATGTAAAGCACAGTAATTTTTTTTCCAGGCTTGCCTGTGTCGCTAACTGAAAAACATCATTTTTTCCTTAATCATGCAGCTTGCTTAAAACACACCACTTTCATTTACATCACAAGGCAAGATACAGCTTGAGGCGTCATTTTGCACGAACGAGGTTACTAGATTCTAATGATACTGTGTGTCGCTCCGGCTGAGAGTTCTTTATCCACTGTAAGTTGGTGGAGAAAAGTGAACACTGTTCCGCTCCGTCGTCGGGTTGCGCTAGAAAGGCCAGTTTTTCAAAATTTGCTGCGGTGGTTCAGTTACCTTAATCAAATTTTTATTGATAATCAATCAATTGTATAATTTTATTCGAGTTGTAAATTGATACGAATAGCTGGGACACCCAACGATCCTTTGACCAACAGATCTCGTGGTTTATTTCTATTGCTGACAAAACTTGATTTTTCTTTTACCAAATAGTTGACAGCAGAAGAAGAAAAACAGATAAAAGCTCCAATAATCTCGAGGTTTGAAGAAGAAGGCCATCCTTACTTCTCGTCCGCCAGGTATTTGTGCAGTCTAAGACGTTTTCAACTCAAACTAACCAGTGTTGTTGTAATTTAGGAAGGCTTAAGATATGCATACTTCATGCTTTTCGCCGTTCCGTAGTTGCGTGGGAGATTGGGTCAGGTTACGTGTCGCAAAGCATTATGTGACTGTTTGAGGGGCTGCCATTTTCTTGAATTTCTTGTAGCTTTGTGCCCATTTAAAAACAAGGGTATGCTTATGAAAGTAAAAATTATGTTATTAAATGACGAAATTTTTCATCGGTGATTGTCATGGTTGAAGAATTTCATAGAACAACGTCTTAGTTATGACCCTTAAAAATGTTTCCACGATGAAATGGCTGACAGAAAGATGAATTCAATTTTGTGCATTCAGAAATTATACTTTGGTTCTGAAATCGCAATCTCACACTTGTTATGTGAGGGGGAGGGGGAAGTGGGGGGGGAGTAGGGAGCTTGAAATTCGGTCCATAAATTTTTCATTTAATTTACCTTGTTGCTGTTGTAGATTATGGGATGACGGTGTTATTGATCCAGTGGACACGCGGACAGTCCTGGGACTCAGTTTAAGTGCGGCCTTGAATGCACCAATCGGTGATCCCAAATTTGGCGTGTTCAGAATGTGATTAGAAATGCTTCTTATAACCAGGCTGACTCTTCACAGGATTTACCAACAGTGTCTCCACACTGTTAATCCTCTTCTTTGTCGGACTGGCATAAGAGTTTCTCCAAATATTGGATCATTGATCGCTGGATTATCTTCATTACGGACAAAACATCCAGGAGCTTTTCAATGTCATCGATCATGCCGAGTGCCCATGCATACACAATATAGAGGAAACTTCTAAAGGACTCTACACGAAAAAAAAATTGGAAAAAATATAGGGTATGGCCATTAGAACTGCCATAATCAGCCCAAACATCGACTGGACAATATGTTTAGTTAAACGATGTTGCACTCGAATTTTTTATGACGCACAAACAAACAAAGCAAACTTAGGGAAAAAAAACCTCAAATAACTTCGTATATACTGTTGACATTCTAAGTTAAGTAATAAAAGTTATAAATATTGTATCAGGAATGTGGAATTTTAAGTTAAAAAAGCACGGAAGAACTCACTTTTAGAATATTTGCAGACGACATGAGTGCTTTACTCCAGCACAAGACCTCCAGAGCCTTTCTCGACTGATTTCTACAAGTCTGAATTCTTCCTTTGTTTTAGGAAAGAAATGCATTTCCCTTTCGTTTCATAGCTATCAGTTTTTCACTTGATAAATGAACAGCGGCCTTCGTTTATGGTACCCTACGTGCATCCCCCTCAAGGAGAAACGTTTCTCCTTGGGGGGGAGGAGGGTACGGCTACACGTAAGCTACAATGCTGGGATACATTTGGGGAACCAAATGTTCGTTGAGTAAATTTACCCAGACAGCTTTAAATCGATAAAGTTCCGTAGCATTTATGAAGTGGATTTCTTTGCATGTGTCTCTAAAAGATCTCCTTTGAAGAAGAGCCGGTAAACCGGTAGAAAGTGTAAGCCAATGCTTAATAAATCATACATTTGACGTTATATGTATGGTGTGACCCAGATGAACAAGTGGTGTTTTAAAGATCTTGACTGCATTTTTCAGGATGATTTGATACAAGTTTGCATCAGTTCTCTGGGAATGAGCCTCTTAGAACTCAGAAAGAGGAGTCTGGGGCGGGCAGCCTGCACCTCGTGTGTCCCTCAGTTTTGTGTTAATCAGGTAATCTCTCTCGCGTATCTGAGCCTTTCTGCCTCAATGACTTGTTACCCGTGGGATTCACTGTTTATACCGAGGTGCCAGATGGCAGATATCTGTTGCTCCACATGCTCGCACAGAAGAGCTCATGTTACTGGACTACAGAGTTTGTTTGGTGTGTCTGCTTAATATATTTACCCGAGTAAGTAGGGCAATTAAGAATGACAAAATAAAGATAAAGCGAAAGAAGGAAAGCAGCGCAAAATATATTTAGAAGCGATTTCAAAGATTTTATTGTTTGAACGATGGATAAATTATGTCTTCCTTAATTAAGAAGGTGCTAATCATTGGGCAACCACAGATCAGTCGAACACGAATTTCGTTTAAATGCAAGGTAATTTCAATTCAGAATTTTAGAAATGTTTATGGTTCTTTTGTCTATTTTAGGGATCATTTCAGAGGCTATGCAGCATTTTAAATCTTGGAACGGTTCCTGTAATAGGTTTGGTTACTATGGTAATGATATTAAAGGAGATTTGTGGGTTATTGTTGTTTCCTTACTTAAATAACTTATGTGAAAACCAATTATCTCGTGTAAAAAGAGCTAAGAGTATTATTAACTTGGAATGCAAAAGGTTAATCACGATCATTCTGTCGTCTGTGAAAGTTGATACAAAGATATTTATCCGAAGAATTCTTTGCGATATGACCGTATGGCTTCCAAATACAGTTCACAAAGTGGAGAGAGAAACGAAAAGTCCAGGGGTTTACTTCCATGCATAGGCGAAAACGAAGTTTTAAACCAATCCACATCATATGGAAGAGGTTTGATACCAAAAAGTCCATCGAAACGAAGGATCCGCGTCAACTCAGAGCCATACATCATCGACAATTCTGAGGTGAAGGACTCTGTTGCCGCCGTGAGAAGCGGCGAAGATGCTGCAGACGATGTCACCAAATCTGGGAAACTTTCAAGTAATCAGAAAAAGTTAACAAGACGAGTGTCAGTACCACTTGGTACTTCAACACATAAGGACAGTTCGCTGAGCAATGCAAAGACGACAAGATCTAAAACTGAGAAAGTGAGGGTCAAACCAAAGGCGCCTTCACCAGACGTCATTGATCTTAGTAACGAAGATGTTGTACATGAGTTAATGAAGAGATTGTACGAATCACTTGGTGTCCCGGACAAAACTCATTTTCAACAACTCACCATAGATCAAAATGATTCTAAAGTGGAGGGATCATGCAAACAAACAAGAAATACAAACGAATGTACAAAGACGGATGAGTCCACCACAAGGCTACCTCACGTCAGCAAAATTACATCAAACTTAGAAGTGTTCTACTCAAAGCCTGCCAGCTGGAAAACCTTGATGAACAGTCGACATTTGTGTCTAAAAACACGAACTAAACGTTATTTAGCTTCTAAACCCACAGCAAATAAACCAGTCAAAGAAAAACTGATGCTAAAAACCAATGAACATCACTTGACTTGGCCTTGGAAGCGGAGTTTTGATCTCTCTGGTCAGTCAACATCGGTAATGCGCGAGAGAGGCCTCAGTGAACCGTTTGTTGCTTTTACTCCTCACTCAAATTCAAGGGACTTGTTCAGGAGACCATATGACTCACGCAAGTCTGTCACATTCGCTGAGTAGCGATCTAATCGAGAGTCATTATTTGGAAATTCATTGTTTTTTCACGAGATTGCCAGACGTGCAGGTAAAAGGAAAAATATGTGAACACTGCATGGTATTAAGTATAATCTATTATGTTATTTTTGTCTGTGATTATTTGGTTGAGTGAGCGCTGTATCATTCTGGAACAACGAGTTGGATTTTAATTTCAGGTTTTGTATTTGGTGTTATTTTTAAATAGAGTGAGCCCCAGGCAAAATTCATGAGTAAGCTTTTTTAGAACGCTAGTGATACAAATATTCAATATTTAAAACTAGTGTTGAAGTCTTTTTCAATGATGAAAAATAAAAATATAAAGAGATCACTTCATGGTATAATTTGCTTTCCTTGTGATTCCATGTTGGGAGAAGAGTTCTCCCACATACGAAGCTGTAAATGGAATATAATATATAACATATAGTAGTATGTTTTATGTACTTAAACAATGAATAGCGTGGAAGGCGCGCTATGATTGGCTACTCAAACCCCGAATATCCCGAGCTATTCAACTCAGAGCAACTCGCGCGGGATTTACGCCCGTAAATGTTGTAATCGTTGCAGGAACAAATGAGTTAAAATCATCTCACTGTGTTACATTATCTCACCTTTTAAATATATACTGAAAAACTATTCGCCTCATTGTCAGTGGCTAACGGTAGATATTTACCTCGGTAACTTTTGAGAAACTTTTGACGTTTGGTTCTCGACCTCGAGCAATTTCTGCCTGTTTTGAGTGAAATATAGGAAGAACGAAAAGTCAACGATTTCATAGAAAACTTCGATTTATGAAAATTTGTTGAACGATTATCAACCTTTTTTAACACAAATGAATTAACCAACTGTTTTGTTCTGCTAGAGTTAAGAGTATCCTTAAGTTTTGCCCATATTTGCGTGCAACTCTTTAAAGCTAAGTTTTAAGCTACTTTCCATGACCGATGTTGGCAATCACCACGAAGATCAAATAATCAAGCTTTTAATTAACGTATAAAGGTACCAAAAAATTTAGTCAGCAAGTTTTTGATTTTGGGAAATTTTTGGCAATATTTGGTGAGTCTTGGCAACTTTTCAGTATTTTGCGAGCAAAATCGCGACAGGCCTAGCCGCTGCATGTCTCGGTACTTGAAATATCCGCCACCAGCCACCTCCATAACGGTGAGTAGTTGTTTAAAATTATCCCAAGCATTTTCTAACTTAGAGAACCCTGAGACGGTTTTCATAACAACCAACCTAAGTTCAGAGTATGAACTGCCCACACATATCGGTTAGCCACATCTCTAGAGCTTTGGTACTTTTACTATATTCTTACCGAGTTGTTGTGGGCGTCATAAGGAATAACGCTGTTCCTTATTATTCAAATATAAAATTGCTGCCATTAATCTGATGGTTACTATGACCTCGTTAAAACTTCGTAAGATAAGCCCACTTAAAGTTGTGCCAGGGTTGTGTCCTCTATAGTTCTGTTCAAAATTTTGGAAAATAGGAGGAGGCATTGGCATCAGTCGAAAGTTAACAGTGCTTTCTCGTGATATTCTTTAGCCTTCTGATATTCACCATGTGACTTAAACAACAATGTGTAATGTCAGCTAATTTTTTCAGTTGGATACGAGTGATTAGCGTTTGCGGCTAAACTCATGAAACAATTAATTCTGAACAAAGTGAGCTGGAGTAATAAAAAATAACAAATTTTGAGACCCTGTACAATAGGATTCGACACGCGCAGCTCTCGCTCGTATTGGTATCACACTGCAAAACAAAGTGGCGGACATAAATATATTTCTGTTGGGAAAATTGGTAAAAGTTCCGTACAGCCCCATACTACATTATGCATTCAGTTCTTGGATGGAGGAAACAATGACAAAAACAATACATTGCCATTGGGAAAACAGATTTGTTTTACAATAGTATGGGGCTGTGCGGAAATGTTACCGAAAAATTCACCAGATGGCATTACAATACACAAAACAGTTTAAAATTAGTTCATATCAATACTGATTCTTTCTGATGTTTTATCTGTGCGCGCCTAATTCATATTAAATGTGTTTCAGTGAAACCTATAGTCGATGTCTAGAAGGATTCGTTAATATCATTTCATAGACTGTGAAAAATTTTTCCCTGTCTTTTTTACACGCGTCGTAAAATTTGCTCCGTCGCTGATGAATGCAAATAATATAGTGTTATTACAAAGTTAGGACTTGATCCGTAGAAAAAAAGAAACGTTGAAAAGCTAAAACTACAATACCACCACTTTGTTCTTTTCTCATAACATACAAAGTAAAGGACTGGAGCTCGTGCATTTTAAATCAGACTGTTCTGCTTTTAAAAATTTGATTTTCCCCGTCTCTGTTTTAACCCTCTAACTGTCAGAGGTGATTCACAAGTAACTTCTCCTTTTATGATATTAAAATATCAAACATAACATTTGAAAAGGCGATGAGATCAATAACAAAAAATGACCATCTTAAGGATGTCATCTTGATCCAACATTAAATTCTTTAAGAGAACCACTAATCAGATCTTGGAGGCGAGAGTTTGAGGCGGTGCAAACCAATTAATTTTGCCTACAGAAAGTAAAGAAAAGTCTTCCTGAATTTCTGAGATTGTTTGGATCCCAACCAAGTTTAATGTGTTGGCTGTGTGACTACAGAAACCAAAAGTAAGAATCTGAAATAACACCAG